CTCCAATCACGATACGATCTTTTCTCTCTCTCTCTCTCTCAACCGCCAGTCCAGTCGTCTTTTATTTCAGAGAGAGAGAGAGAGAGAGAGAGAGAGAAATGCCATCGATCAGCGGCACTGCATTTTCCAATTTCCTCCGGGGAGCAACAGCAGCAGCGCGATCCGATCCCGCTCTCTTTCTCTCCGTCTTTGAAGGCACGGGAAAAGGGAGAAGCCGCGGCGACACATCCTCGAGCTGGAAAAAAAGGACATCCGATCCGTCCTCTCTCTCTCTCTCTCTCTCTCTCTCTCTCTCTCTCTCTCTCTCTCTCTCTCTCTCTCTCTCTCTCTCTTGCGGTCTTGCGGGTATACCTTGCGCGCATAACATAATATCCTACGCGTACATTGCTGCTGCAGCAGGACGCATCCTGTCGCGTATAAAGTCGAGCGAAGGGCAGGAATTGCCCGAGAGCCGCTGGGTGGAGTAGCTTATTGCTAGTTAGTCGAGTTAAATGCGATTTAAGATGCCCGAGCTTCTTCCCATTGCATCCCTGATTCCTTGCTTCTTCGCTACTCCGCTCCCGCTTTTATTCCTCTTTTCCTTCGGAGGGCCTTCTTCCAGCGACTTTCATTGGTTTTACGATTGCGATTTGAAATTATTGATTGTAACTATACAAATTGCCATTGGATCAATGAGAGGAATGCGTGCGATCGACGTAAGCAAAGTGCTAGTTTGCTTGAATAAGTGGCAGCAAAGGTAATTTTTGTTTTTGGAAAGTGATACTTCGAAATTGACCATCTGCCAGCGAAACATCAACTTAAAATTTCAATTCAACAAAAAATCATGCACTTTTACTTCTTCTTCCGAGTCTTTTAGTAAATGTTCATCTTTTCAATTTTCGCGGCTTAAGAACTTTGTCTTACATCAATATTTAACGCGAATCGATTAATCTTTCACAGTGAATGCAAACTCACGTTTACTATGCAAACGTCTTTTCGAGTTTAATTTTCAACCAAGTGGCCACACATTTTTGCAGGTACATTCGGATAACTCTTCAACTTCGTTTGAGAATGTTTAATATGTCAATACGTAAAAACAAAATCTACTTTTCTCTTTGGAATTGACCATCGAGCGTCAAGAGATCAAGTTAAAATTTCATTACAGCATATCTTAGGCTGTACTAAGTTTTCGAAATAAAAATCATTTGTACGCTATGCACCATGTAAACTTCACAGAGCTCATCATCAATCGCCACAATCAAAAGCCACCATCAATCTCCCACCCCCAGAGGCAGCATCCCTCCTCAGCCGAAAATTCCCACGGGATGTCAAAGGTTTCACACGCTTGCGCCTTTAGATTGACTAAATAAGATTTTTAAGTCTTACACAACGACACCCGAAAGGAGGAAAAAAAGTACGCACGCACTCGCGACATTCCGCCTGCGTATAAAGTTAAGGCGGCCAGCAAAACGAGTCGTCTCTCTCTCTCTCTCTCGTCTTCATTGCTAGCTTGGCGCGATTGTACTTATGTTATATTGCTCTGCGCCATCAGATAATTGCCGAGATAACATCGTGAAGTCTCTGTGCGGCTACTCGCTCGCCACGTAACTCTGTTCTACCGAGCTTCAGCCAACTGCTGTAGCTCGCGTGTTTGTGTAATGCCGCGCGCAGCACATTGTCCATTCTTTTGATTCAATTAAGCCTTTATCAGCTTACACGGCCACTTAGCTGCCCGCATCGGTCTTTTATGAAATCGCTGTAAATCATCTAAACTGCCTATCGCGTGGATGCACGCGCGCCTAGTTACGACGCGCGAGGATGCACGCTTTAACGCGCGTCCGTCATGCTTTTCGTAGCTTCGCGCCGACGATGGTCGTTCCGGTGTCGGCGATCGCTGCCTTGCCAGACATCAAACCATATTGTCAAACTGTGATAGTTTCGCCTCTAATTCGTCTTGGTTTCTCTTTTTGGAATCGAGATGTCCGCGCTCGCATACTGCGCAAGTTCAGGTTCGCGCGCTCTATAAGGGCCGCGGCTGTCGCGGTACAGGCATAATTATAGGAATAGGTTCTTACGCTACTATTGAGAAGCGTTTGTAGCGTCCAAGAATTTAACTTGGTCTAGCTAATTGTTACATACAAGGCGAAAATAAACTTAACGACGAATCCCATTAGCTTGACGTCCCGCCGAGCAAAGGCAAAAGCCCAAAGAAAAGGAGGACACATTCTTAACCCTGTCTCTGGTCGCAGGTCGCTCCGAAGTGCGCTGTAGCGTGCAACAATCGAGCATCGAAATGCGCCACTTCGCTGCGCATCGATTTCTCTGGTCGAGCGTTGCCGCCGCTGCGCTCGGCTCCCGTCGTACAGCTTCCCCGCGGCGATGCCAAAAATAAAACGATCTGCCGGAGAGCCGAAGAGGTATCCGTGTCAATGAGCCAACGAGAATAGGATCGAGGGTGCAGCAGGCCGTGCACGTAAGTGCGCGCGCGACCGAACGCCAACCGCCGACGTGGCCACCGATACGCGGGGAGAAAGTCTCGGTGCGCCGCTGTACGGCTTCGCGAACCGATACCTCTCCGGCGCGTTTTCCTTTTCTCCGTGGCGTTGCGCAGCTACTGCGTCGGTTATTGTCGTCAAGCCCGAGAGCGCGCCGCGTCTCGCAATTAATCGGGCGCTGCTTCGAGCCTGCCTCGGACGCGGAGCCCGTTCCCGCAAGGCTCGCCGGTATGCGCCTACGATTTCTCAATTTCTCGCGGCTCTCGCATTGTTGTTTCGGGCCTTCGGGGGAGAGGGAGATCCGATCGGGCCGCGGCACGGCTGCGATACTCGCAATAGCTGTCGGGCGCGAGAAGACGCCAGATCGATCGAGCCCCTGCGACGGCTGCGCGACGAGGTGCGCGCGTTTATCGGCGGACCGAGGGGCTCGTTATCGGCCGCTCCACGGGAGCCGAGCAGCGCGCGGGCACCATTCGACGACGACGGTGGCGGCGGCGGCGGCGGCGGCCGTCCCGCATGGCTGCGGCTCGATTTCACTCTGTGCGATCCTGCCTAGGCCGCCGCCGTCGGGACACGTCATATACAAGCTCGGGGTGGACACGCGCGAGCGAAACTGGCTTTTGCCGATCCGGCAATAATTTGTCTCGGCACCTACACCGCAGCCATTGCGAAAGGGGCACGGCACAAAGATTTCCTTTCACTTTCGCGCGCCAACAATAACACACAATGGCCTATCCGCCGCGAGAAAGTGTCCGTCGCGAGATGCGCAAAAAAAGAATTGTACGGGCGAAAAGGTCGCGCGAGATGCGTGCCGCGATAATAAAGCAGATGCCGCCCCTCTCGCGAGAGGGAAAGTAACGAGGACGAAAAAAAAAGGCTATTGGAAGGGCGAGAAGATGTCACGGCCGATTCAATCTCCTCCTCCCCGTCCTCTTCCTCCTCCTTCTTCTTCTTCTTCTTTTGAAGGGCTTGTTAAACCACTGCTGCCGCTGCTTAGCTCTCGCCAATTGCGTGCTCTTTCGAGATTAATTTCTTTGATATGAAAATGGCTTCATTCCGCGACGAATGATTCGCGCGCACGCAAGCGCTTTGTTTGGCGGTCCAGGTAAATTAACGACTCTAATTTGACAGAGACAACTGTAATCAAGCAGTTACCCATTCGTTTGGCTTAATTGATCGATATAGCCGAAAACAAAGCTGTCTATTTCGGTATGAGACGGGGCTAGCCTGTACGAGCAAAGTCAATTAGTCGGCTACGACGGGGCTCCAGTCGCCACTTGCTTCTTCATCCGATAGCGGCGTCTCGCGCAACAATTCAATTTGCCAGCATCATCGCCGGCGCTTTGACATCTCGCTAAGAGAGTTTGGACTGCGTTGTCTCTCTCTCTCTCGCGGGGACTATTTAAAAAGAAGCGGGCAGCGAGAAAAGGACCAAATAAAACCTCCCGGAGGTGGTTCTCTGCAGATAGTATCGCGAATAAAGAAAGAGAGAAATCGCCCAGCGGGGGATTTTCTTTGGGTCATGCACGTACACACACAACAACGACTACTACTACTACTACTTCTATCCGTCGCGCTCGGCTTTCGTTTTGTTTCCAGCCTCGATATTATATATAGTCTGTCTCTCTCCGTGCGCTACAAAGATAACAATGAGAACGCTGCGATCACGCGCTCAATACAATACCGATGAAAAGTTTTTATTATTTGTCCAGCAGCAGCGACACTCTCGTATACTAACAAATCGAAAATAAATATTCCAACGAGCGTCTTGAAGAATGCGTCCTTCTCGTCGCAGATAAGCGGAGTCGAGTGTACGCATATATATAAGCTATTGAGGAATGAGTACATAAGTGTGATGGTGGTCTTTAAAAAGATAAAAAGGAAGAAGCGATTTATAATTCAGTTTTAAAATCATTCGTGGGAGAGAGAGAGGCATTTAAAAGACTTATGGGTCCTTTTGATCGGCAGTGTACACTCTAAGATAAAACGAAGCAGCGGCTCTCTCTCCTTGTCTCTCTGCCTAAAAGCACATTATTTAGGTGAGATCGTCGACGATTACTCGTCGTCTCCGCTCTTACCCCTTCTCTTTATCTCTCTTCTTTCGATCTTGTGCGTTTCTGTGATTTAGCTGCAAAGGATCATTGAGATATTGCGGTGTGAACTATCGTCGCTGGACAAGTTCACTTAGAAAAAACAATGGCGATCGTAATAGACGAGGAGAAAAGGAGTCACGCTGGTTTTTAAAGGCTCATCGGAATTTTTATTTAGTGCCGAGGGATAGATATCGCTGCCAGAAATATAGCATCGAGTTTTTATGCTTTGTATGCGTGTTTTTCGGGATTTTCGGCGCGCCGCTGAGACTCTTAAGTGCCATGTGTAAAGGAGTATATCGACGCTCAAAATTTTATTGCCGAGAGCATCCGCAACGATTATACTCGTGTGCGCGCACTTAATTGAACGAGAAAGAAAAACAAATAAATTGTTGACGTTTGAAAACAAGCTAATTTTAACGATTTTGCACTGCAGGTTCGCGTGAACGTGCTGGACAAAAATGACGTGGCGCCGAGTTGGGGCTCGGGACCCTGGAGATTCGAGATCTCCGAAGACGCACCAGCGAATACGATCGTGGCGATGCTCAAGGCGCACGATCCCGACAGCATCGGCACGCTCAAGTACAGCATCGTGCCGCCAAGCAAGAGTCTGTCCAACGACGAGGAAGACCACGTCGAAAGCAGCAGGTGAGGAAAAGGTTACCTCGGCCGCGGACGAGTCGTCGGGTCATTGCTTACCGGCCGACATAATCAAAGAATTCGGTGCGCCGAGGCGAGATCGCGAGGCCGACAGTGGGCGATTGCCCATCGGAAATGGCGCGCTGCCGTTCGCGCGAGGTCCACTCGTTATCGCGATATTACGCGGCCGAGCGACAAACCAGTCTGCCCGTAGCCAGTTGTTTTGCGCACATTGTTGTCGCGCGCGCGCGCGCTTTGCGCCGTGAATTTCAGTGGAGAGTCAGCTTCGCGCAGCGCCCCACACCTACGTGCATCGTGTAATTTTACGCTCAATTATCTCACGCGTGCGCTCGACGCGGACCGAGAAAGCGCCGCATTGATTCGATGAAACGAGAGAAAGAGGCAGGATGCTTTATGCTTTCATAATGATCAGCGAGTACTTTTCATATTGTTATTTATACCTGGCTCGTAAAAAATCATCGCTGTGCTTCTTTTTTCTTTCTTCCTTTTCATTTGGCTCGCGAATTTGTATCTCTCGGGGGTATTTAACAGCCGCACGGCTCGATGACATTTATGAAGAGGAAATTTATACCCCAAGGATTATTGTCGGATTGAATGGAAACGATGCCTTAATAGATATCGCGTACGATCATAACGATTCGCGAATCGAGTTGGTTTCTGAGAAATCGGCCAATCTGCATTTAGCGAAGAAGCAACAGAAAGAAAAAGAGGCAGGAAAGAAAGAAAGAAAGACATAACAACCCCTCGCGCGCACGCGATAGAACAGCGATATGCAAATAGCGCGAGAGATAAAATAAAAACACAGACGCGCATCTATCGATAAGGCGGAGAAGTCTTCCGGTTTTGAGGCGTGCAACTTTTACGAAAAGCCGCTCTATGTTGCAGATTGTCGAGTCCGTTCAGGCTGGACTCGGTAACGGGTCAGCTGCGCCTCGGCGAGTCTCTCGATCGCGAGACCAAGCAGAATTACATCCTGAGTGTTCGTGCCGACGATGGACTCCAGCAGACCGACGTCACGCTTGCCATTGCCGTGAGTATATTACATTCTATTGCCGGCTACCTTACCTATACCATTCGTACACGTGCACGCACGCGTCCGTTCGTTGGCTCTCGCGCGCCAGAGAACGATATGCGGGTCATTAGCCGCCGCCGATGCCGCCGCCGCCGCCGCGACATCGCGCGCGTCAGTTCTTCGCCGGTGCGAACCGAGCCAGCGCCGTATTTTCGGCGACGCCGCGACGGGCCCACGAGAGCCATGAGAAACGAGCGAGCTGACCGGCCGGAAAAAGGCCAGATACGGAGGCGATCGCCCGGCGATTTGTCTATGAGCGTTTTAATCGATTGCCGGGCCGCGGAGCGGGGCAAAAGGTCCGTTTACTGTTAGCGGATGATTGTTGCCCACTCGGCTCTCCGCTAGCAGCTAAAACTCGACTCGCGCGCGCCTTTCGTGATTATTATTTTTAATTGGCCGCGCTCTCCTCGTGAAGCGCATTTTTCCTCTCTATCTCCCAGAGAGGCAGCCCCTCGGGCGCACGTTTTTGCATTTTTACCCCGAGCGCGCCGCGCGAGTTGTTGCTTGCCGTCCGCAGCGTGTTTTCACACACATACACACACACACACACACACACACACACACACGAGCGCGCGCGCGCTAGTGTACGTAGGAGCTCGTGTGCCGTGCTCTGGTATGATGGCCTCAAGCCATTCTTCGTCGTGGCTCTCCCTTTTTTCATTATTCTTTCCTTCGCCGCGTCGCATTGCTACGACGATGCCGCGCGCGATCGCGATTTCGCTGCCCTGATATAGTCGCGCCGTTTTTCCGCGCGTCGACGTGCCTGGATCTCGAGCCAGCTAATATTTCAGGATTTCGCAAGGGGCGCCACGGCGCGTGTCCGCGATGATAACTCGTAATCTCATTATGCGCGTAAGTAAAGTAGCTCGGCCGATCTGTCGTGGATGAAAAAAAAGGCGATCGATTTTTTTCAAACGAGCTGCCGGCAACACATAAATTCTAGCGCCGGGCATTGCGCAAAAGTGATAAATGCAGCAATGCCACTGGCGTTGCGCAAAGCAGAAAAGAAAAATGTCAGGCTCGCGCGTAATCGTCTATAATCCTCGTACATCGGCACCTTATATTTTAAATACGTACGCGCGCGTATTGGTTAATGGTTATCATAGTAATCCCGAAGGCGGCGGCAGCTACATTCATTAAAAATATCATCGATAAGGGATATTTGCAGTCTTTCATAACTGGTTGATACGTTGCTTGCACAGCGTAATTTTCGCACATAATTCATAAAGCGCCGGCCTCGACGCAAGTCGCCGGTTGCAGCTTTTCCCTGGCCTTCCCCGAGGCGGGCATCGCGCTCGCGAAAATCACGGGAACGCGCCGCAGTGATCGTCGTCGATTATCGAGCGGGGCGCGCGTCGCCGAACGACGAGGCTGCGAGCGCGAGTCCGGCGGGCAAACGAGCGCCAACGAGCCGCAGCCGGCCGCGATAAATTAAAAGTTGGAAAAGCGCGCGCTCGCGATCCCAAACTGTCGGCCGGTCTTCGTAATAAAGTCAGCCACGAGCAACGAGGCTCGAAGCCCTCGCTCGCTCGCTCGCTCGCCGCAGAAAAAGAAAAGAAGCAGCGAGGAGGGAATGCCGCGCGCGCGCTCTCCCTAACTAATAACCCGTCGCGCCGCCTTCTCTCGCCGATTTTCCCTCCTCTTGTTCGAGCCATCTCGGCTTATCTGCGATCTCTCGCGCGACCTCCCGAAGACGGACGGTAATGGAGGGCCGATAGCGAGGCTCCGGTAATAAGGAAGTGGTCCGCTCTCCCCCTCTCTCTCGCTGTGTACTTTGTGGCGACGTCGCTTCTTTTCTCGCAAAGGCCTATACGTTTGGGCTATCCGTACATTTGACGGACTTACGAAGTTCGCCGGCCTGCGCGCGGAGTCTTTCGGAAGGGAGAGTAACGAACGGGCGTGACGGGCACTCTCTGCAAATTGAAAATTAAAAATTGGCCTGTTCGCGTCTCGAGCCTTTGTCTCGGCTGGCACGAGCGCGCCGAGACGCACGCGCATACATTTCGACGGATCCGCGCGCTCGTTTTTATCGCGCAAAGTGGCGCGCGAGCGAGGGGCGAAAAATAAGCGACAAGCAAGCCTCGTAAATCCTGGCGCAATCTGCGCCCAATTGTGTCTTACAAACAGGGCGTTCTCCGTCTCTTATCGATGTCACGTCGAATCGTTCGTTTTCTGCCTCTGGCGCGCGCGTTGCGCGTGTGGCGCGCGCGCGCTCGCGCCGGCTAAACGCCGCTAAAAGGCTTAATCAGCGAGTAAAAGGCAGCTCGCAGTTGCGGCCAATCATTCGGCCATTATAAATCGCTGCTTTATTGCCGTGCGCCAACAAACGACAAAACTCTCCCTTTCTCTTATTCGTGCTGGCGCTGCCCGCCGTACGAGCCATCCTGCGCCTATCCATGTATGCGCGCGCGCGTGTGTGTGTGTGTGTGTGCGTGCGTGTACGTACAGGCATCGAGCGCCTCCGCGCTCGTAAAAGTTATGATTGACCGTGTCGCCTCGACAACGCTCACAACGAAAATCCGCGTACCAATAAACGATTGCCCGCACGAGAAGCAAGGTAGCCCGGCTTTTAACGAGGCAGGCCAAGCTCGTCTCTACGGCTACTTTCTTTTTCAAAAAAGTATTCGCGCGCGCGTGCATGTTTCTCCGTATGAGGTCTATAAAAACTGCCTTTCCTCCGGTCGTCCGCTCGCGTTTTGATTCGCCGTGGTTATGAGTTAGTCGCTGCGTCCAGGGGCGGTGGCGGCGGCGGCGGCAGGGGGAGGGGATGTATATTAATCACTTGCTAAAAATGCTTGTTCTTCCCGCGCGGGAGAACGGAGCTGTTGTCTTTGATTCACGACGTGTATAAAATACTTTGAATTTATGCGCTAGCGCTGACACGCGCAGCGGCGTCGACTGCTCGCTGCCGAGCGTTGCGCTCGCGGAGGAGCCGTATAAAATGACAAAGTGCGCCGTGGCGCGACGCAGCTCGACGGACGGCTACCGCTCGCGTAAAAATTGGTCCCGAAGAGGGCGCAATCGAAGGACCATTCAAGGAACGATTACCGCCAAGACGAGGAAAGAGCGCGCTGCAGACATCGAAGGGGGAGCCCCGTCGACGTTGCCGCAAACGTCCATGTCCTTATAACGTTTATGTTTGAAATTCCTTGGTGCGCTCGCTGCCCTCATCGGCCGCCGAGTCGCTGTCGGAATGCCAGACCGATCATAGTTTGCCCGTCAACCCCACTCTCTCGCTCGCGGCCTTTCGCTCGCTTCTCTTTGTCGTCGTCGTCGTCGCCGTCGTCGACGGATCGTCGTCGTGAGAAAGAGGTGTGCATGCGAGCCACGCTTGCACGGCGCCGCCTACTCGCGTTTTGTCGCCGAGCACGCCGCTCTCTTTCCCTCTCCCCCTCTCTTTCGCTCTTCAAAGACGGACGATTATTATTGTACCTCACCGCCGTGCCTTTTTCATCGCAGGTGTCGGCCGCCGATAAAATTGCTTTTTTGCTGCACGCCTATGGGCATTTTTATGTTTTAATTAGCAGTCTTTTTCGTGGCTGCGGCCGGCGACTATTGCACGCGCGCTTTTGTCCCATGACTATTCGCTTTTGCGGTTCAGGGAGCTCGCGCGGAACTGATTCGCCGCGTCTGCAGGATTTATCGACACCTTCCTTTCCGACGCGCCTTTACGCATCGCGACTGCCTGCCTCTTTTACGATCCTTTTAGAAATTGTCCGCGCTCGCCTCCCCCTTTCCTTCTTGTCGTCGCGTGCGTCCTCTCAATCGCCCGAGCACGTCTCCGAACGGTTGCGATTCGGACGGTCAAGAAGAAAGAGAGAAAGGGGAAAAAATCGCGACTGTCCGCGATGAAAAAGCGACGCCCGGTCGACCGATCATCGGCTCAAACTAAAAGGTGCAATCGATTAGCGCGAGCTTTCGGAACAAATGCTGATCTTCAAAAATAAAGACGCGTGGATCGCAGCGAAACCGAAACAATTTGGCCAGAAGGATCGCTGCACTTGTCTAAAAGGAGAACGAGAACGAGAGACAGAGAGAAGATGAGAGAGAGAGAGAGAGAGATAGAGAGAGAGAAAAAAGAAAGGCTTCTGCGCTCGTCTTATCTCAGGCCGATTCGTATTAATGGAATTCATTAATAACGTCTCTTTCTTACGTTTTTGGAGAGATTAAGTCGACATGCCTATCTGCCGTGAATCATGTGCTTTTTGTCGCTCGCATATACATAAATCGGCTTTCTTTTTCTTTCGTGAAAACGCGCCCCGCTTTAATAATTTCACTCGAAGCCGTTAGTTTTTTGGGCGTAGGACCATATACGAAGTTGGTCGCGAGAGCGTTAACGATAACGATTTTTCGGCTAAAAACGAGAGAAAGAGTTGCGACGTCGTTGGGTTTTATTGAGCGACACAGGCCTTCGTGGAGATTGGCTTGATTGCGTAATTATCAGCCGCGCTCGCTCTCGGAACCACTTGGGTTTAGTGCTTTTCGGGCGCGCGAACTGTTACGGTTTCCGGAGATCGATGACGATTTCAAGCGCGACGCGCGTGCCCCGAGAACGAGTTTTCTTGCCCGCCAGCCGAGCGCAAGCCAATTGGAGCTTACGCGACAAAGTCTGATTGTGTTTTTTTTGCTGTTCGCAGGTGACCGACACGAACGACAACGCGCCGCAATTCCAAGCGACGGCCTACTCGTTCGACGTGCCGGAGAACGTGGCACGAGGCAGCAAGATCGGCCAGGTCGAGGCGACGGACAGCGACGCCATCGGGCCCAACAGCCAGATCAGCTACGCGCTGATATCCGACTGGGCGAACGATGTGTTCTCGCTGAACCCCAACACCGGCGTGTTCACGCTCACTGCCAGCCTCGATTACGAACAGGTGAGGCAACAGAGCTTTCTGCTTTCTCGCGCCGGCTATAAACAAGCGACACTCGCTGCTGAATTATGACGTTTATCGCCGTACCGTAACGCTGAATTCTGACTTGTCCAAATAAAGAAGCGAGTTTTGCAATAAACTTGGAGTGCGCGCACGCCCGTATAAATCAGCGCGACAACTTCCGAGACGGAGAAATCCGCTATACTCGTTGGCTCGACACTATATTATATACCTATAGCCGCGTGTACATTGTGCTTGAGAAATTGGGATGCGAGTGTTCGTTCGGCTCTTTGCCAAGAGAGAGAGAGAGAGAGAGAGAGAGAGAGAGAGAGAGAGAGAGAGAGAGAGAGAGAGAGCAAGAATTTTTGCTAGACAGTGATGTAAGCGTTTGTCTCTTCTGCCCTTTTTCTTTTTTGAAGTTTCATTGATAATTGACCGTGGGACGAAAGTATGCCAGATGTCCTTTTCTCTTTTCATTTTTGCAGCGCGGAGAACATTAACGAATAGTTCTTGAATTGATCTATAGTGCAAATTTCATTAAATCCCACAAGATTAGCTCCGTTCAATCCCGGTAATAAGCGATGGAAAGGCTAGGAAAATAGGGTAAGAGAATAGCTTTTGGTTTTGCAATAAATTTACTGTTTAACGCGTTACAATGGTCAGTGAAATAAATCGACATTAAACTTATCATACTGAACACTTTCGATCATCGCTGCTGCTACGACAAAAAAATGAGAAAATTGATGTAAGGAACAGCGCATAACTATCATTTTCCTAGGTAGCCGGAAGGATCTCTCCCCCGAAGTAAAGGACGAGCTCGTAAGTTTGACGAACACGAGAGTTTGGTCGACGTGCAGCTAATCGTCAAAGGCATTCTCAGTTTTTCCCAGCGCGCCGTCTTGTTTTAAATACGAATCCTCTCTCGGCCGAATTTTTCCCTCTCTCATCTGTTCGCGTTATTTATTCTCTCTGCTCGCGTAGATTTATGGTTTAATTAAACCACTCGCGGGATTGTGACATCCGCGCCGCGGTACTTTGCTAATTACGCCGAGGTTTTTTTTTTGTTTACTCGCCTCCTCGCCTCTTTGCGCGCGAGTGATTAACATTCGCTCTGCGTTGTCTCGCTGCGGATGAAGTGTGCCGTTTCTGCTGTGTGCGCGCGCGCGAAAGAGCGCGCAGCTAACGTTCATTAGCCGGCGACGGGCGCGAAGACGTGTACTTTACAAATTAGCTGCGTCGTAAATTCGACCAAAGGGATATTTATAATCGACACGGCGCATACGCTCATCTTCATTATGTGCTCCGGCCAATGATTTAAATTCGGCCGACTGGCTGCGTTGTGTACATTTCTTTTCGATTTCGACATTCGTTTCGATGTTTTTTCGTCGCAATCAACTAATTCAAGCACGCCGAGTGACCACGAACAATTCTTCCAAACTAACGACGTGCATTGAAATTCGTCGAAATCAACGACCCAACCCGAACCCCAGCAAACTCCATTGGAGTATTCGAGTGCATTGACCTACAACACGGTTATTCGGTACGATGTAAACAATAGTCGATCCATTTTACAGTGTAAGCAAATTCATGTTGAAATTGTTAATAACAATGAAAGTTTGGTTAACTGCAACATTCGTCCTTGGATGAAAAAACAATCTTTCAGCCATCTGCAGAGCATCCACTATAACCATAGCACGCCACAACGGAAAAACTTCATTCCCCGCAGACGTATCACGATAAGAATTGTAACAGTCGGTATAATTAGCGTCGCAAATAGCATAGTCTGCGGCAAAAAAGAACGCCAGTCGACTGCAGGTGCGCGAGCGCGTTCGACAAGTTTGAAAATTAATCCTCTCTCTCTTACTCGGGGCACAATTTTCTCGGCTCTCTTGCAGAAAGAATATAAATAAAAGAAGGCGTTTTGCGCTCTGCTGCTGCTGCGGGAGAGAGAGAGAGAGAGAGAGAGAGAGAGAGAGAGAGAGAGAGAGAGAGAGAGAGAGAGAGGTTAAAAGAGCAGAAAGCCGTTTATAGAACCCCTCATCAGCCTAAATACTTGAAGCTCCGCGGCCTTCGGACAGAGCCGTGAGTGTGCGCGCCCGTAGGTTTATGTACCAGCGTCTCTCTCTCTCTCTCTCTCTCTCTCTCGTGCTTCGGGGGCTCCGGGAGTGCAAACCAAACGATGTATTCTCGAGCGCTTGGCCGCACGCGAAATTAAATTGATGGCGATTCGCTTTTTCGCGAAACGCGTGACGAGCGAGGTAGCGTTCGATCGATGCAATTCGCCAACTGGTTTTCCCGCTTCGCCGCGCGTGGCTCTGCTTTTCCGCTCTACGAGAGATATGATAAGGTTCACGCTCTTAACGCTCGGCGAAAAATCGTCGCGCACGCATACGGCGCTACGTAGATATATCGCGTTGTCGATGCAAGCCGATTCGTTTCTTTTTTTGTTTCCCTCTTACTTTCCCTTTCGATGCGCCGATGCGAGCGTAAATTTCGCGAAAGAGAATTTTGAAGCCATGCATCACACACAAGCACGAAAATACATCCTCTCAAAACTCCTCGCCGAAAAAAAGAGAGGAAGAAAAAGGCAGCACACGCGCTCTCCGAAATTTCAGTGCTGGGCTGAGAGACGAAAACGCAGAAAATAAATAAGCGGCCTGCTTGCCTCCGCTTTTTAGTACTGTAAGCGTGCGCGGCTACCTTTTTTGCGCGCGCGGGAAAACGCAAAAGCGCGCGCGCATGCAAATCAAGAGAGCGGAGAAGACATTTGGGCGATGCATTCTCTATGTTTTCGGGGAAGAGCATATAAAAGAGGGGGGGGGGGGGGACGTTAGATTGTAATTACACGTTGTTATGCTGCAGCGGGCGCATTTTTGGTTGATTGCCAGGTTTGCCAAGCTGCTTTAACGGGCGAAAAGAGGGAGCGCGGGCAGGGGGGTTGGCAGTTAATTTATTGATTCGGACGTGACGTCTGCTCCGCGAGAGAGAGAGAGAGAGAGAGAGAGAGAGAGAGACTGCAGCTCGCTCTCTTTCCTTGCGAATGATTCATTGGGAATTTACGCCGGAGAGAGTCTGTTATTTCGGGTAGTGCGATCGACATTTTAGATATTAGAAATTGTACGTGTGCGTTGGCCCCGATATTTATTGGATTATCTAATCACTGATAGTTTGTCAGGCCATTTGATGGATATGCATCCCCGACTAATTGGCTCGCAAGGTTGTCATTAGGCGCGAAGCGCTTTCTCGCGCTGCCGCCGATGTGTAATTTGCGCGTGCGCGCGCTCTCGCCGATAACAATCCATTGTGAGCCGCTGTTGCTTTGCAGGTGCAGCATTACATCCTCGTGGTGCAGGCGACCGACAGCGGGCTGCCGTCGCTGTCCTCGACGGTCACGGTTTACTGCAACGTCGTCGACTTGAACGACAATGCGCCGATTTTCGAGTCCGGCGCACGCACGCTCGACCTCGCGGAGAACGCGAGCGTCGGCACCATCGTCACGACCACCAGGGCGCAAGACTTGGACTCGGGGTACAATGGCTTGGTGGCCTACTCGATCGCGAGCGGCGACGAGAACGAGGATTTCGGGATCGACGATAATGGCACGTTGTACACCAGACGCACGCTCGATAGGGAAGCGAAGGCCAGTTATAATTTGCTGTTGCAAGCCGCCGACAGCCCCAGGCTAGCCGCTGCCAAAACTTTGACTACGACTATTCAGGTTTGCAAAACTTTCGTCCGTCCTCGCGCCCATTCGCTCGCGCTGAACGACAACTACGAGCGGCCGCACTTGCGTTTCGACTTTTCTCCGTAATGATAGCGCGCACCGCGGGCGGTTGAGCGCGACGGCGCGGCGACGCGGCGACGCGCCGGTGGTCGTGAGAGAACGAGGAGCGGTGCTCTTCCGAGCGAGAGAGCAGAGCCGCGTCCCTCCGCGGCGCAGGCAAACGAGCACTTGCGAGCACTCGGCGGGCGCTGCGTCGCGATCGGACTCGCGCGTGGACGACTGCTGACCGACCGAGCGCGCGTGCCCGCAGATGACCATCAACCTGCTGGACGCGAACGACCAGTGGCCGGAATTCGTCTCGGCGAGCGAGGCGAGCGTGCCCGAGGGCGCGTCCACGAACGCCGTGGTCATGGTGGTGAAGGCGGTCGACCGCGACGAGGGGCGCAACGGCCACGTCGAGTACACGCTGGACGGCCGGGACGCGCCGTTCAGCCTGGGCAGCGTGGACGGCGTGCTGCGCGTGGCGCGGCCCTTGGACCGCGAGCTCAAGGCGAACTACAGCCTGAGGATCCAGGCGAGGGACCGCGGCGAGGCGCCGAACACGGCCACGCAGACGGTGAACGTGCTGGTGCTCGACGAGAACGACAACTCGCCGATCTTCGATCAGAAGCAGTACTCGGCCAGCGTGGCGGAGAACGCGAGCATCGGCGCGAGTGTGCTGCAGGTCAGTGGAAATTGGCGGGCCGTATATCACGCGCGGCGCAGCGCCCAATGCGATAATTGCACGCTGCGCCTGCGCGCGCGCGGCGGCGCCCCGTCGTTTTCGCGATTCAATTGAACCGGCCGAAAACGGAAAATTGCAGGTCTCGGCGAGCGACCTTGACGAGGGTGCGAACGGCCGCGTGCGCTACAGCATCAGCGCCGGCGACGACAACCGGGACTTCGCGATAAGCGAGGACACCGGCGTCATACGCGTGGCCAAGAACTTGAATTTCGAGAGGAAGGCGCGCTACAGGCTGCAGGTGCGGGCCGAGGACTGCGCCAGAGATTTACAGCCGCAGCAAGAGTCGAGGCTCGATAACGCCGAAGTTATCATCGCTGTGCTCGATATCAACGACAACGCGCCGGTCTTTCTGGACTCGCCGTACGTCGCCAACGTCATGGAGAACATGGTACCCCCGAATTCCGGATTCGTCATGCAGGTAAGATGCGATAACCGCGCGCGCTGCGTTCTCTGGATTCTGGCTCTGACGGGAAGGCTCCCGAAGCCGAAGCAGACTTGATCACCGCCGGCCGCGCGTTTGCTCTGTTCTCCGCAGGTCAAAGCGTACGACGCGGACACGCCGCCTTACAACGATCAGGTGCGTTACTTCCTGAAGGAGGGTGACACCGACTTGTTCCGCATCAATGCCAGCACAGGAGAGATTTTCCTGCTCAGACCCTTGGATCGCGAACTGCTCGCTGAATACGTGCTTACGCTCGTTGCCATGGATACCGGTGAGTTTGTAATTTTTTTTTTCCGTTTGGACGCGCGTGTACGTTTCCCTTTATGCTTATTCATTTGTCCATTTTTTCACCGCGGGATATGCGTCGAGTTAGCGTATTCAACTTTCCTTCCTGTAGTTAGATCCTTCGACTGATAAATACGTGATTACGGACGGAGAAGGATGGCTTCGATAATTTATTTGGGTATATCACTGATTCAGCGTGTTTACTCGAGCGTTATCACTCGATTTATCGGAAGCACTCCAGTAAATCAACGTTAGGCGTGTCCAATTCATCGTTAGGACAATAAATGTTGGAGCTCAGTCGCGCAATGTGGAAATGACGTTTTGTATTCCTGTTTTTCTTCCCTTCGTCGTCGGAGGTGAAACCGCTGCACGCACGCGCCTTTACAAAAGCCGCGGTACACGTGCGGGCGCCCACGACGCCGCGGAAAAAGACGAGAGACGACGTTGTAAAGCGTTTTCGCGCGCTACGTCCGTCAAGCTGTATATATTCGCGAGACGCGCGACGGATAGTGCAGGCTCGACAGCTCTGACAGCCGATCGATAAGAAAATCGCGAGTAAGCCACCAAACTACGTGCCTCGTTAGCCTTTTGTGCATATAAGCGAGGTGGAGGCCTTTTTGTCGAAAGCGATGCGGCGGCAGCGGAGGCAGCGGCGGCGGCAGCGGCGGCGGCAGCGGCGGCAGCAGCGGCAGCTCGCGCAAAACCCGATTTATATCGCCTCGTTTTGCTGGCCTGCGCCGCTTTTGCATTGTCATTGCCTCGCCTTCTTTTCCACCGTGCGTCCTTTAAGGATTAAAACCTAACCGAGACTGAAGGCTTCCCTTCGCCAAGTGAGAGAGTTCGCTTTATAATGCGCTCCTCTTTTTATAGATGTCATCCGACAGTTGAGTAATGCCCTCCCTTTTTTCCCCAAAACATTTCTTGGCTTTCTTTTGAACGCGATGCAGCATATAACACAAATATGTTTCGAAAACACGACGCGGACAAACGGAAAGCTTATCTCGACGATGGGCTTGTAGCGCGTCCCTCGAAAACCAACTACGTGTTGGACGCGTCGACACTACGGCGACTCGTCTTCTCGCTCGTGCTGTGATCGACTATACGAAATACGATTATTTCCGCGAGGAATAAAATCGCCCCGATGGCAGTGCCAACGAGGAAAACAACGATAAGAGGTAGGATTCCACGTAAACTGACCGGCTGATACTCCACGTTGCTACTCGAGGCAACGTTCACCGAGTGCTTCCTCTTCAGTCGGCTCATGATTCCGCAGTCCTTGAATTTGTGCAGCCTAAAGAGAGAGAGAGTGGAATTTCATTTTTTTCTTTATTTCGAAAGAGGATTGGCTTTGCTCTTTTCGCGCGCGTTTCTGCTTACTGATAATTTATGACTCCGGTGTAAGGATTCCCCTTGGAAAGCACCATTCCAAGGCTATCGAATCTACCGGTGTCGATGGGTACCAAATCACACGGTAACCAAGCGTTCAATTGCTCCTTCATTGCTTCGGTCGTTTTAAGCTTTCCAGAGAAACATCTCCTACCTTACGAAAGCCGTCCATCACGCTCGTCGGAAAATCCCCTGTATCCTTCATGAGATTTCGCATTTTCACCATGGTGGGATCGGTCGCGTGCTGGAAACGGATAAAAAACAAAGCAGTCCCGTGAAAAAATCGAACCAATCACGCGTCTACTCACCAAAAACATGTTGTAATCGGCGCTATCGAGATAAGTGATAAACTTGTAAGTACCGCATTTGACGAAACCTTCGAGATCGTTGAACGGCAGGCTAGCTGCCGTGAGAGTCAAGTAGCTGATCAGGCAAGCGGAGTAGATGGCCAGTATTATGACGGATAACATGAGTGATGAGAAATGAGCTATTCTCAATGGCGCTGCCGTTGGGAAATCTACGCACACGGCCAAACTGTAAGCGTAATGCTCTTAAGCTTCGTAAACATACCGTAAAAAGGACATTACTGGCTAAACCTTGCTGGCAAAAGATGCCCCAGACTGCCAGATAATTCTCGGATACGTGTTCTGCTGTCATTAACTTTCCCTCGATATTCAATCTCAAGATTGTCATTAAAATGACGGCTAATGCTTGAAGGATACCGAGGACGATCCATATTTTCCAACTGAATGCCTGCGAAAGAAAAACAAATAACGGAATTGCGTTGAATGAAGACGAAAATTGCACTTACCCTCGAATAAGACAACCATTTTACATTCGATCCACTAGGTGGTCGCATATACAATCGATTCCTTGACAGTATCAAGGGTACTGTGAAATCCACTACATGCATACGTTCCACCGTCATCGTCATTTCGGCAATGCCAATATCAGCTTGCCCGTTGACCATTCTACCCATAATATCCGACCACTGATTCGCTCTAGGATCGCGTATGTCGTAAGTCGTCTCTTTGCAAACAATTTTGTAAGTGAAATTTAACGTTATCGAAAGCTCATGTACGATCATCTCGAAGAGGCCCTTCTTTGAAATTCGAGATTGCGACTGTACGAATGGTGACTCCTACCAGGACGGAAGTTTTAGTTTCCAATAATCTCGCGCTCGACGGTTATCATCGCATACCAACCATGACCGCGGCGACACGCAGAAATTGTCCCCCGATGCTCGTCCTCCTCTCGTAGTAACCGCTGTATTTTTCTAGTATTTCGATGTAGTTGGCAGTCAGCGACAAAACGTGCTTACTCGAGAGCACGCGCTGAAGGTGCAGCATCAGTGCCGTCGCCGGCAGACCTGCGAAGAGCGAACGAATGACAGGAAGGTCGCGACGGCGTCGAGCCGAAAACGATGAAAACGCTGGACGCGCCGCTCCAGTTTTGCAAATCGGAGGCTAAAAGCACTTAGTCGTCGTAGAGCTCGAGACGCGGATCGACGGAGAGGAGAGAGTAGACGCAGCAGAGCGCCGCTGTAGCGACAGTTGCCGTCCCGAGCGACATGTCGGCTCGCGCAAGACTAGTCGAAAAGAAAGAAGCTAGGTGGAATACGTATCTGTGCACGCGCGTGAAGTGTGTTCCGCGCGAATGTTTGCCAGCGCGCACACACGTGCGAGCCGAGTAAATCGATGTTAATCCGTGATGCGGAGCAATCAAAGTGTCAGAGCACGAGAAAAAACGAGCACGGCGTATACCTCGGGCCAGATCAATCGTGCGCATAGTCGCGGATTATCTTCTTCCTTTCCGCCGACCACCGATTGGCTCTTTGTGCAGGCTTTTTTTCGGCGGGGGGAGGCAGGACTTTGCGTGCTGCAGTTTTTGGCGCCTTGACGCGCTCTTCCCATGGGGCATGCGATCTCTCTCTCTCTCTCTCTCTCTCTCCTCTCGTCGGTTTTTTCCCGTAGCTTTGCGTGAGAGGCAACGGATGTTTGGACGCATTTTATATATGCGCTCTTCTTCGCTTTTACGCCGTGCAGCCGCGCAGATCTTTCGCCGATAATTTGATAATTTGCCAAGGGTTTTTCCATTCTTTTTGCTGCGATGTGCTGCGCTCATTTTTTGTTTTAATTAGTTCCCGAGAAGAGGCAAGGAAGTCATTCTCGCGAATTCGTGCATTTCGGATAGATATCGCAGACCACTTGATGATCGACGTATAACTTAGTCTGTAGGCATGCGAGAGTGCGATATGTTAAACGATCACGTACACGACGTCGCGTTGCAAGCTCGCCTGCTATATTTCCTAACAAATGACATAAGCTTATAATAGTCATCGTAGGATATACTCGAGCCAACTGAATAGTTCATTTGCAATGAATTTTTTTATAAGTTGATGATTTGCAAGGGCCCGTGTAGATGACGGTACAGTTCTTGCAAGTGGTAGAATAGAAATTTGATTACTTTATAAGAAAATGTCAGTCTGATTCGTGCATGTTAAAATGTGTGTGGTTAAGCGTATACGTGATGTACTACGCACAATAGACCAATTTGCGAAATAATAAATAGATAAGAAATAGGCAACGTATTGATGAATCGTATTCCTTCTACTACGAAGAGATAATTTGAAGATTAATGTGAGCTTCGAGAACGATTCGAATTAAATGTAACATTTTAATTGAGTTTCTCGAAACAGTAAAAATTGCCATAGTAAGATTTACCGAGCTAATCTCCTGTATTCTGTCTATAGTGGTAATTACAACGGGCTCTAATAAATGTCATTACTTGACATAGTAAAACTTACAACATTTAAATTTTATTATGTTTTGTAGTAATTGTTACTATGGATTATCGGTTCTGTTAGTGTACTAGAAAAAGCGTATTTTTACCGCTAATCAAACGTCTATAATGACATGGACATGGCAGTATAAATCGCAGGCATTCAAATGCGAAACTGCGCTCGCTCGCGACAAATGCCTGGCCGGCGGATTTTCTGATTATCATGTTTTCCAAGCTGGCTTGTTCGGGGCTTATATTGATATTGTTCGCGTCGCGGTTATTAATGCCTCGCGTTGCCGTAAATTTCTCGCAAAAGGCAAAAGGCGCGCGCACAGTTGTATATACCGGCGGCTGCCCAATGTATCGCCGGCTAGATTTATCGCCGTGTGCTGCTGCGCTGCTGCCGCCCCGCAGACTTATTTATTATGCTCCGCGCGAGCGCGCGACGTGCCGTATAAGCAGCGAGAAAAAAAAATCCCAGCCATCGAGCGCGCACACGCGCGCACTCGAGGCTACCGTATGTATGCCGCGCATTCGTGTGCGTGTGTGATCGATCGACGATGCTTTGCCGCTGCTTTATTATTCTTCTGCCTTTATTTTTTATTTTTTATTTTTTTTTTTTTTCTCGCTGTTTGAGTTTGCATTTTGCCGAGAGGTGATTGGAGCACCGCGAGATTGCTTTTTTCGCTTTAGTTTTGAAGGCTTCGCTGATTATCAAATGATTTTATTAGCGATTCAATTGCTTCTGAAAAAGGAAACCTCGGTGGTGAATTTGGTACGACTGCGAGCACGAGCGTGACCGCTAGATGGGTTTAATCAGAGCTGCCTCGATTTCACGTCGAGTCAAGCGTTCGATAGTTCATTTATAAATGCAGAGAGGCCACTTTTCGACTTTTCCAATAATCATTTCCTTCGCTTCGAGTTCCATTTCATCGGACAATATTACAATTGAAAATGTGCAATGCCCGAGGAAGTAGAGTTCCTCTATTAAATATCTGTTAATGGAATAACCTGGTAATCCTCACAGCGACACTTCCGTAAGTGCGGCTTCCTACAACAGCGCCCAATGCTATCCAGTTACAAAGATTTAAAATTATTAGTCGCGCGTATACGGGATAATCGTAACCCCTCTCCCTTTTCATCCTGCTCTTCTCCTCTTGATTATCATAATCGGGGAGGGCTTGTAATTCGCGCTCGAAGCGACGCTCGCGGCTGCTCGCGGTTGCTCGCTGCTGCCACGCTCAAATTCGAATATTACGCTTTTAAATTGGAGCGAGCGGAGCCCTTCCTTTTTCTTCTCCGTCGAAGCTCCGTTTTGATTTTTATCGCGTTTTATACGGCTTAGAGCCATTAAATATCTCGCGCGCGGGAAAAATTCGCCTTTATGAAGCATTAATCACTTCTCTTTCTCGTTTTACTTGTAATTGCGTGACGCGCTCGCTTGCCTTTTTACCTCGCCTCTCGCGTCATGTGCGCGCCTCGGAATGTGCGTTTGGGCTTCTCTTTCTCCGAGCTTCGAGCTTTTTCGATCAAGTCCGAGGTGAAAAAAGGAAGGCAACGGAGCTGCACATTTTTACAGGGATCTGGGTTATTCCAGAGAGTCAATTCTTTCTTTCTCTCTGCTTTGTTTTTTCGTTCTGTCGCGAGACTCCTCGGTAGCGCAGAAAATGTTCTTCGAGCAATATGAATTTTCACCTCTCTCGCCAAATTGACCTTATTCCCGTCGAGCTTCAAATAAAAATTAGCCGAGATGCATTCATTCAGTTTTGCGCCGAGAAATCGCATGCAAAAGAGAAGAAGCGAATGAGAGGAAAAAAAAAAAAGAAAAAATAAGAAACGGTAATATTGTCGTAACCATTAACCGAATGACACATCTCGGATACAATCAATTGGCCCTTTCAATTTGTATCCTTCTCTCTCTTCCCTCGTCCGCTGTCAAGAAAAAGGAAGATAATTCTAATCCACGCTCTCTCTCTCTCTCTCTCTCTCTCTCTCTCTCTCTCTCTCTCTCTCTCTCTCTCTCTCTCTCTCTCTCTCTCTCTCTCTCTCTCTCTCTCTCTCTCCCTTTTCCGTTATATAGAGTCGTAATATCGCAGAGGCGCAACCGAGAGGAAGAGTATAAAGCGAGAGAGCGAGAGAACAGATGTACGCGAGTTGGACAAATGGGAGGAGGAGGAGGAGGAACGAACGGACAATGGCGAAGGCCGCTCGCGCGCAAGCAAAGCAAAGCAAAAGCCTTTTGCATATTTCAATTCGCGAAATGCCAAAGGCCCCCGCGATGTTGATTGATTGTTCTCTCTCTCTCTCTCTCTCTCTCTCTCTCTCTCTCTCTCTCTCTCTCTCTCTCTCTCTCTCTCTCTCTCTCTCTCGGCGAGCGACTTTTGTTGAGAAGGAACGAATTAGTGAATGGGACTGCAGCCCTTTTTCGTCCTTCTTTTTATTTATTTTATTGCTTGTCGTACGCGAGAGAAGATGCTTATCGAGAGTTTGCCGCTCGTGCCACTTGTGAATCCATTCGTATCGACGAGACTTCTCGAATTTTCGTTCGTCGGTTGGATTGGTATGTTTGGATCGAATGATGCCTGGCTTGATTACACGCTAGACGGCCGACCGGAGGTTCTTGCCGAAAGAAGGAAAGTGCCTTTCCTTCGTCCGTATCAGCGACTTTGCGAGCTGAATTGAGCGAAGCCTCGAAGCGAAGAACGTCCGAGGATGCCGCGAAAGCGAGAAAATCGAGGATTGTTTTGAGCAGGCACGGATGCAGAAAGAAGCGACGCAGCAGGCTGGCACGGCTGGCTGTCTTAGGCATGTGGCGCATAGCAGCAAACTATGTATAACTGCGTGTAAACGCACATTAAATAAAGACTTTAACGTCCGGCCATTTATCGGCTTTATCTACTAATTATATAGCTTGGAAGTATAAGCTCGATTTATGCCCTCAGCCAAGGAGGAAAGTTTACGTCCATAGCGGCTCGCCCTTATACGCGATAAAACGTTCGCGCGCGACGCGCAGCCCTCGGTAAAACGTTTAGCGCGGATTAGTCGGACGACGAGTTAGTGCCATTGTAAAATCCTTGGTGCGCGCGCGAGCGACGGGTCAGTTTTTTGACTCCGTTTCATCTCGATCTAAACGGCGTGACTTGCTGCTCGTATTCGTACAAACGCTCGCGTGAATTGCTAAGCTTTTAAGCTTTTCGTCGCCTACCTACGGCTGGCGCGTCCACCTTGGCCCGATCAGTCGCGATTTTGATAATCTCGAGAAACATAACGACGAGGCTCGTCTACCGGCCTTCTTTCTCTCGGGGACAAAGCAACCCTTTGAAATCCACACATTCCTTGCAGATCGTCGAAAGAAAAAAAGCAAAGAAAAGAAAAGATAAAAAAGAGTGCGCGTCACCTGGAGACCGCCGCCTAAAATCAATAAGCCCTAAACGATTCAGTTATCGTAATCAGCTTAAGTGCGCCGCGGAGACACCTGCCAAAGGCGACAAGCCAAAGAAATTGAATCGGAGCAAAATGTAAATGGCGGATGCTTGCAGGAACGCCGCCGCTGACAGGCGCTGGTCTGGTGAGGATCACGGTGCTGGACGTGAACGACCACTCGCCGGAATTTCAACGCCAGGAGTACGTGGCGAGGGTCAGCGAGAATCTGGCGCGCGGCACCTGGCTGGCTAATCCCCGTGCGCGAGACAGCGACGAGGGACTGAACGCCAGAATACGGTAAGACGATATTAGCCCGAAAGCTGCTTTGCTCGCCGACGAGCGCGAGACGTGAGAACGCTCTCCCGTACGCGGATTATGGGATACGTTCTACCCTCTCCTCGCTTCTTTTCCTGCATTTGGATATTGGGCAACACGAGAGGGTGGTATTACGTTGCGCCCCTGTCAAGCCTTTAGCGACTTTTTGCTCCTCTCCTCCGTGCTTTGCTGCCATCTGAGCTAAGCCGATATGACTGATAGAAAAATAAGATGATATCATCGTTGTCCTGGATGTTACATTGACTTTATTAGTGGGGCAAGGCTTCGCCCGCTTACTTTTCAATCATAAAAGGAATCTTTGGCCTCGATTACTGTACAAAATATCCGTTACAACCAGTCGGATGAATACGCGTTTATTCGCAGTAATGTTGGAATCACATTGAAAATATCAAAGAGTCAAGAAAAAATCGGCAATTTTGTATTCGTTGAATTAGATGCTAGTACAGTCGTTTATCCATTCTTTCTTAACCAACGTTCGATACGTTTGCGAATATCATAGATCTTGACTATCCTCGCTCGATGAATTCAAATATCTACCTATCAAGACTATGGACAATTATTCGTGTGAAAGTCCGTTTGCAATAGCAGTTGCAACGATACATATCTTACCGACGTAATTACTGTTACAGTAATTATCGTATTTATCAGCGCAACCGCCAATCAAACCACGCACTTTTTATCTTCGATTAGTTATCTCAATACCATAATTGTAAAGAAAAATTTATTAAATCGAAAACGGATAGATTATTCTCATGTTAGGAGAGGCATAAAGTATCCATAAACCATAGCGTATCGATTAGCTATTCGTTAGCGATACTCGTTTTGAAACCTCCAATGCTTGAATTCAAGAAAAAAGTCCGTCCGCCTAATGTTCATTCGAAATAAAAGCTAATCTCACCTACCATTCTGCATCTATGACATTGTTTTATCGTTTGCCGCAAGCACAATGTACAAGTGCGGTGCAATGCTAAAAACTGGTAAAAATTCAGATACTCTCCTAATAGCAGCTATTTTCAAACTAACCCTTGATACAGTTCCAGTTCTCTCGTCAAAATGCTCTAGTCTTGATAATTTTATGATGAAGATTTGCGCCAATTTTTTAGGTTTATTATGATTGGCCAATAAACCGTTTCATCGGCACTTAACAACATCGTTCTGTAACGATCGCACAAACAATTTTAGAAACTTCAATTGAATTACGTTAATTGAGCGTGACGTTCAATTTAGACTTGAGAAAGTGATTGTCAATACTAAAGTGAAACTCGATAATTTATGAAAACAAACTAAATTTCTTGACTTTGTTATTTCAGATACAGTTTACTTGGCGACAAAGCCGGTCGTTTTCACGTGAACTCGAGTACGGGCGAAATTATCACGCTTGAACGTCTCGATCGCGAGCTAAAAGCCGTTTACCATTTGACACTGGTAGCGCAAGACTCTAGTCCAACAGAACCACGAGCCTCAGCCGTTAATCTGATGATCATCGTCGACGATCAGAACGACAATGCGCCAAGGTTTTCTAGTCCTAGATACACCGTTTATGTTCCTGATTCGACGACCAAAGGTAAGCCGATAATGAACCACTTTACGCCGAACGTAAATACTCAACTTTCCTTGTCATTGATTTACAGGTGACTTTGTGTTTGGCGCGAAAGCAGTTGACGACGACGTCGGTGATAATGCTCGCATAGTCTATCGTCTTCAAGGCAAAGATTCTCATCGTTTTACCGTTGATCCACACAACGGCGTGATACGCTCAAAAGAGACACTGTCGTCGGGTGGTCACAATACTTACCAATTACAAATCGAAGCGTCGGATTGTGGCGTCGAACCGCGTTCCGTTACAGCTGATCTCGTAGTTCACCTTTGGGAGAGACAATTGTTTCCAAGTTTTCAACCCGCTACAACTACGAGATTTATCTTGAAGGAGGATGTGCCTGACGGCAAATTAGTGACGACACTCAGTGCTACGACTCCGAAAACTGGACCTGCGAGTGATTTGGTGTTTGGTATGGCTGGTGGTAATGTCGGAGAAGCTTTGCGGATTGATTCGCTTTCTGGAGAGGTATGTAATAATACAATTGTTTGTCGATTTTCATAATTTTTCGTGTATTAAAATATTTTCTTGCTTACATTTTCATGCATGAAGGTGGTGATTGCATCCGGATTTGACTATGAAACAGCACCATACTACGAAGCATGGGTCGAAGTTCGTGACTCTGGAAATCCATCACTTCGAAGTGTCATTCAATTACTCGTCAACGTCACTGATGCAAATGATAATGCACCTATGATGGATTTGGCTGTTTACAACGCTTCGGTGCCTGAAGAGGAATATCCACCGCAATTCGTGACCAAGATCTCAGCCAAAGATGCGGACTCTGGACAGAATCAAGAGATCACCTATCACTTGGTTAACGATTTCGAAGAGACCTTTATTATTGATGAGACAACTGGTGAAATCAATACCAATGCCAAATTAGACAGAGAAGAGGTATATATTTATCATTCAATTTTTTTCGAATGTAAAATTATATTATCTCATTTTGCTAATCTCATTTTTTGTTTTTCAGATCTCCGCTTACGAGCTTATTGTAGAAGCTCACGATCGCGGAATACCAAGTCTAACCGGCACAGCTACGGTTCTCGTGACTGTACTCGATAAAAATGACAATCCACCACGTTTCATTCGTCTCTACAGTGTAAACGTTACAGAAAATTCAGAAATTGGTGCTTTCGTGATTTGCATCACGAGTAGTGATCAAGATGCGGGACCAAATGCTAATGCAACGTATAGTTTAACGGATAATCCAAGTGGCAAATTTGCTATTGATCCATACAGTGGCAATGTTACCGTAGCTGGACACCTTGATCGCGAAGTGCAAGATGAGTATCTGTTGAAAGTGTCAGTGGTTGATGGTGCTTGGGGTGCCGAGACACCACTAACTATCACCATTCAAGATCAGAATGACAATCCCCCTGAATTCGAGGAAGAGAACTATCATTTTCACTTTCCCGAGCTGCAAAGGCGTATGGCACACGTTGGCACTGTTGTCGCAACCGATCGTGACAAGCAAGGACCAAATTCTGTGATATCATACAGTCTCCTGCAACCTTCGGATTTGTTCAATGTAGATCCAGCTACCGGTGATATCTTCAGCAAGCGAACACTGAGATACAAGCATACTAAACGACCAGCCTCACCAGAAAATCTATATTTTCTTTATGTAGTAGCAACGGACAATGGAAAACCACCGCTATCGACAAAAACAATTGTCTACGTAAGTATCGTCGATTCAAATAACAACCCACCTCGCTTCGAGCAACGTTCCTATCTCTGGCCAGTACCCGAGGGTTATCCTACTAGCAAGAAACTCGCTCAAGTGTTAGCTCTCGACAGCGAGGATTACGGCGTTAACGCGGAGATTGATTACTCGATAGCATCCGGCAATGGTTCCGAGTATTTCTATGTCGAACCAAAGAGTGGATGGGTATACGCGAAAAAGAGTTTAGCATCATTCGAACCTGGTGTCACATTCATCTTGACAGTTCGAGCTACCGACAAAGGCGTACCACCTCAACACGACGAAGTTTTAGCAGTAATAGTGATCACCGACGAAAATAAACATTCACCTGCGTTCGCTGCGGTGAGTTATCAGGTTCGAGTACCAGAGAATGAACCAGTCAACACGACCATTCTAACGGTCAATGCTGTGGATTCAGACGATGGACCAAATGGAATGGTACGCTACGAAATTTCAGCTGGTAACGAGAGACACGAATTCTCGATAAATTCGGTTACTGGTGTGGTTACGATTCTTAAGACTCTCGATTACGATACTATTCAAGAATATCGATTGAACATCACCGCAAGAGATCTTGGTTTTGAGTCCAAGAGTTCCATCGCTACTTTGACCATCAATGTCTCAGACATCAATGATAATTCGCCAACTTTCAATCAAAGTCTTTACGAAGCTTATTTACCGGAAAATTCTCCACCACAGTACTTTGTGTTTAAAGTGGTAGCAAAGGATATTGACTCGCCCAAGTATGCTATTATACAGTACAAAATCCTAGGTGGCAGTGGTAAAGAACATTTCCAGATCGAATCAAACACAGGTGTGATCAGATCTAAAATCAGCTTCGATTATGAAGAAGCAAATGAGTACACTCTGGACATAGTAGCTGCCAATCCAGACACAAATCCCCAGATGGTCGGATTCACAACGGTTCTAGTGCACATCACGGGAGTGAACGAATTTTATCCAAAATTTATCCAGCCAGTTTTCCACATGGACGTGTCAGAAAGTGCAGACGTTGCTACATCGGTTGGAGTTATCCAAGCGACAGATCAAGATGCTGGAATTGACGGCAAAGTTTTCTACCTCTTTGTCGGTGCATCCAACGATCGTGGATTCTCCATTGGACCTGAAACCGGTATCATCAGTGTAGCTCGAAGATTAGACAGGGAGACGCAGAATCGTGCAATCCTCACCGTGATGGCTAAAAATTCCGGAGGTATTCGAGGTAACGACACCGATGAGGCGCAAGTAATCATTTCCATCCAAGACGGCAACGATCCGCCAGAATTCCTACAAGACTACTACAAAGCTAGCGTATCCGAGGGTGAGAATATTGGCACGAAAGTACTGACAGTTCGAGCGATCGATAAAGATGTAAGACCCCAGAACAATCAATTCTCCTACTCCATTATTACTGGTAATGTTGGTCAAGCGTTCAAAGTTGATCCGCAATCCGGTGACGTGGAAACTGCCAAGCTGCTCGATAGAGAGACGATTTCTAGTTACGAATTGATCATAGGAGCTATAGACACTGGTAGTCCACCACAAACTGGTAGTGCTACAGTGAGAATTGATTTGACAGATGTGAATGACAATGGACCGACATTTGACGCGAATCAAGTTGTTGGTTACGTTAGCGAAAACGAACCTGCTGGAACAAGTATCATGACGTTGAGTGCGACTGATCCTGATTTACCACCCAATGGAGCACCTTTCTCATATAAATTGATCGGTGGCAAGCAAGTAGATTTGGTCAGTCTTGAAAAGCATTCCGGATTATTGAAGACTACCAGGAGTTTAGACAGGGAGATTGCGCCTCAACTCGATCTTTTGGTAAGATTTTTTATTTTTATTTTAAATTCGTGATGCCAAATTACCGTACCAGATAAGATAATAAGTGCGAATAGATAATTATTTCTTGTACGTTGATTGAAGAAGCTAAACAGCAGACACCGAAGCTTAACCAAATTTAAAAAAAATAAAAAATTGTTTCGTATGCCCTGCAGGTGGAAGTAGAAGATTCAGGTAATCCACGCATGCGAAGCGAGCACGCGATAACAGTGCACGTATTGGACCAAAACGACAGCCCATCGACGCCACGTTTGGTACACGTGACAGTGCACGCGTTCCAGTCGCGTGCTCCACTTGGTAAAATCGCCGATGTCAAGCCCAACGACCCCGATACCAGCGGCGATTACAATTGCCGTATAGTCGGTACATCGGCCCTCACTATACCAATGGCGTGCGATTTGCATGCCACGAAGATCACCCCAGGTTGGTAGATATACGAAGTAATTTTTGCCCTCGGGGCATCTTCGGGGCGATATCTTTCTTTTTTCATGGTGAGATGATTGAAGGAGGGCAATGATGTTTGCGTGCTCGCGTATACGAATTGATTGGTTTACTCGATAGAATTATTGCGCGTAGTTGGTTTTATCGATTGCAGTGATTATTCTTACGTTTATTATTTGCATCTACGCTGCTTTACAATACCATTGTCCATTCCACAGGTGCCGGCTACTCACTAAGCGTATCAGGCAATGACGGGCGTCATCCAGATGTGGTATCTAAAGTAACCGTAGAGTTCGTCACGTTTTCAAACGCCACTGTGGAGAATAGCGTGACCATGCAAATATCTCGTCTCAAGGCCGCAGATTTCTTGACCAAGTATTACAGAGCACTGCTCGAATTGCTCCAGGGTGAATTGGAAATCGGCGATACGCTCAACATTTACAGCGTCGATGAGAAGGACGGGCACATTGAAGTTTATATGGCCGTTTCTTCTCCTCAAGGTATTGAATTATTCATCGGCATGCATACAACTCGGCATGACATTTACAATAGTTGGCAGAATAATACGATCGTTTCACATTAAATAAAAAAGAAATTTATTTTCGAAGTTAACCATTTCCATTTACCGAAATTCTATTTATCTAGGCTATCGAACGAGGCAAGAGCTTCGTGATTTCCTGGAGCAAAAACGCGTGCAAATGGAAACACTTTTAGAAAGCTCGCAATTGACAATCGGCTACTCGCCGTGCAAGACCGAGGCCTGCGACAACAGTGGCATATGCAGCGATAAGATAGTCGTTCATGAGACAGTTCGTACCGTCGACAGTCCTACGCTGATACTCACATCACCGAGAGTTGTTCACGAGATGACATGCAAGTGCAGAGATGGCTTTACCGGCGATCGCTGCGAGAAAAAACAGGATCCATGCGCGCCTAATCCTTGTCATTCCGTAAGTCTGGCAATCGCATTTAAAGAAATTTGCAGAGAGTATCATTTCAGAAAATAATTTAATAAATTTGAATTTTTAGGGCGGACAATGTCGTCGAATGGGCTTTGACTTTCATTGCAGTTGCCCAGCAAATCGCGAGGGTAAACTATGTGAACTCGAGCGCGGTGACGTCTGTGCGAGTAATCCGTGCAGAAATGGTGGTTCTTGCAAAGAGAGTCCCGACGGCTCAAACTTCTTCTGCCTCTGTCGCGCTGGTTATCGTGGCAATCATTGCGAGGTGCTCACCGACTCGTGCAGACCTAACCCTTGTCTACATGGCGGACTATGTGTTAGCGAGAAACCAGGGTAATTAACTGTAGCTTGTCATAAAACTGCGTAGACACGTTACAAGATTTATGATCTGATCTAATCATAATTAATTTTTATTTTTAGATATCGGTGTAGCTGCCTAGAAGGTCGTTATGGTCGTCACTGTGAACGCTCGACCTTTGGATTCGACGAGCTTTCCTTTATGACTTTCCCAGCTTTAGATTCGAATACCAACGATATAACTGTCGTTTTTGCTACAACGAAACCCAATGCTTTGCTTCTTTACAACTATGGACCTCACAGTGGTGGACGCTCGGACTTCGTCGTGCTGGAACTCGTCGAAGGCCGAGTCATGTTCTCTTGTGGTGGTGCTAGAAGCGCAATCACGTCGCTCACGCTTAAGAGTGAAAGATCTCTGGCTGATGGTAGTTGGAGAAAGATTATAGCCACGAGAAACGGAAGAGTCGCCTCGCTGAGCGTTTCAGATTGCAAAGAGCATGGTGACGTGTGTGATGAGTGTAAACCTGGGGATGGGACTTGCTATGTTGACGACGTTGGTCCTATCGGGTATGTATTTGTTTCATTATTTCTTGAAAGTTTCATCATTGTTTACAATAAGATTTTTTTGTTTCACAGAACCTTGAACTTCAACAACAATCCTCTAATGTTCGGTGGTTTAGTCAATTCCGATCCAATCCTCGAGCGACCAGGCCAAGTTCACTCCGACGACTTTGTCGGTTGTGTTCATTCGGTGTCCATTAATGGTCGAGCGCTCAATCTTAGCAATCCGCTGTCATCGCGTGGTGTCCAACCAACGTGCGCCAGATCAGAGAATGGACCGTGTTCGAAACCAACAGCTAGAGAGCGAGATAATTTATGTGGGCACGGCAAATGTTACGACAAGTGGAGTAAGCCAGCGTGTCAATGTGGTCAAATTAATGCGCCGAATTGTCAAGGTGCTTTGGAAGCAGTCAATCTCAGCGAGGGTGGTTTCATCGAGTATAAGGTGAAAATTTTCTCTTAAAAATTGAATTGGAATAATTTTTTATAAAAAGCCGTTGGTAACATAACGATATATATTTTAGGTGTCTGAAAAACATCGTCGAATGCAATTGCTCGAATATCTCTACGGTGGAACGACATTGTGGCACGGTGGCTTAACGTCCCGCTATCCTGAAGAGAACGTTATTCCCCTGATTCCAACAACTGCACCAGCCAAGAGTATCCACCTAATGTTCCGCACAGTGAAACCCGATGGTGTACTCGTTTACGCGGCCACTAACAATCATTACACGTCGGTGGAATTACGAAATGGTCACATAAGTTATGCCTCTCTACTCAGCTCGCCGGTGAACATGAGCGGTGACGAGGGCAATAGTTTGGCCGACGGAAAATGGCATAATCTCACTTTGCACTCGCACGCTCGAGGACTGAAGATGTACATCGATGGCGAATTGGCTGGCGACGAGTTGGATTCAGCTGGTGTACACGACTTTTTGGACCCTTACTTGGCGCTGTTGACCGTCGGTGGTGTTAGGCGAGACTTGTATTTAGCGTACGACGGTTTGCCAAGATCCTTCGAAGGATGTTTAGCCAACTTTACGATAAACGGCGAAGCTCAACCGTTCAATGGTTCCGGCTCCATCTTTCCGGACGTCATTTATCATGGCAACGTACATCTTGGTTGTCGCGGTCCCATTGGTATTGCCGCAGCTAGTGCCGCCGATCCATTGAGCGTTGGCATCACTCTCGTCATCGTCTTCTTTATCATACTGTTCGTCGCCATACTCGCGAGCTTCGTCATCTTCCGGCTGCGTCGTCAGAACAAGGAGAAGTCGGCTACCACTGTGGTCGTTAACAAGAACACCAACGCGATTCTCACTGGCAATTCACTGGTGTCATCGCAGCAGGACAGCCTGATGACTAGGCACGAGAACACTTACATCTCCGACGGTTCGGACTTGCGCAATATTCGGCCGCCGGAGCTGGTTTCCAAGAAGTACAAAGAGCGCGAGGTGTCAGCGCCGCAGCGTCCTGATATCATCGAGCGTGAGATCAGCAAGAATCCACCGATCAGAGACGAACATCCACCGCTACCACCTCCGACGAACGGCCAAGAGCCGGATCTGCCAGAGCATTACGACCTCGAGAATGCTAGCTCAATCGCTCCGAGTGACATCGACATCGTGTACCACTACAAGGGCTACAGAGATGGAATGAGGAAGTACAAAGCAACACCGCCGCCCTTAAACAGTTACGCCAATCATCACAAGCATCCGAACCAGCAGCACAGACACGCTGGACCATTTCCCTCTCGGACGATGGCGCCGCCGTCTGTAGGCCAATCAACGCCGACGCCCAAGCTGTTGCAAAGTACGCCTTTGGCGAGATTGTCGCCGAGTAGCGAGCTGTCGGCGCAGCAGCCGCGGATACTGACGCTGCACGACATCAGTGGGAAACCCTTGCAGAGTGCGCTGCTGGCAACCACCTCGTCGTCGGGTGGCGTGGGCAAGGACGCTATGAATTCCAACAGCGAACGCAGTCTCAATTCACCCATAATGAGCCAGCTGTCCGGTTCGACTGCCAGCCGCAAGGTACCGCAACAAGTGCCAGAGTCAGTTAACAATGGTGTGGCCACGGTTCCCATGGGCCTCACGGCCGAGGAGATCGAACGGCTCAATTCGCGTCCTCGAACCTCCAGCCTCGTGTCCACTCTCGACGCAGTGAGTTCGTCGAGCGAAGCTCGCGGGCCCACTCACCACTTGCATCGAAGGCATACGCCGCCAGCAGTCAAGCGAAGAAACTCATCGACCACCGAGGAAAGCGGCAACGACGACAGCTTCACTTGCTCGGAGATAGACGAGCGCGCCGACGACGACGACGACATTTACAGCAAACCCGAGGAAGGCACAGCTGGTGAGGAAAGCAAGCACGGCTTCGACAGCTCGTTTCGCGGCTCCCTCAGCACGCTCGTCGCCTCCGACGACGAAATGTCCACGCGCATGGGTGGACTTTACCGGCCGACTATCAATGCCGAAGCGGCTAATACTGCGCTGAGTTGGGATTATTTGTTGAACTGGGGGCCGAACTTTGAAAGCCTCGTCGGTGTGTTTATCGACATTGCCGAGCTGCCCGACGGCAATAATCGGGTGCCTAATTCTTTAAGGCTGCCGAATAGCATCGCCAAACCGTCCGAAGAGTACGTTTAGAATGTGAATGTGTATAATCTTGCCATAGTGTAAATTTATATTCCGAGGGGTGTAACCTTGTATCAGGGTTAATTCCGATGAATAATGTGTACAGTTTTGTTTTGAAAGCCATTGGTGCAATGTAGCTTGTAAATTATTTCCAATTAGTACCTTCATCTTTCCACGAGTCCGTTAGGGTTATTTCATTCAAGCCATATTGTGTATACTTGCGTAGGTTTCTAATGTCAGACTGATTTAATTATTATATTATGACGTAATATTGCCATTTCGTTGTTTATTCGTGTGGCTTTCGCGATGTAAATTATTCTATTATTATTATTATTTTATTAATATTTTGTTGTTTGTATATAGGGTTGAACCCCAGTAAATGTGTTTTATTGTATAAAAAGAAATTAACTGCGCGAAAGTATAATGCATTTCGTTTTTAAGTTATTTTCTAAGTGTATTTTTAATAAACGATCGTATAGAAATATATACATGCTCTTAATTATCAACTGACACCCTTCTTTTATTCCACTTTTGTAGAGGATAATAATGAAACGTCTAGTTAATTATTTTTCATCAAGATTTTATTTCATATATAAAGATATAAATATAGATTTTTACAAATGTTAAGTTTTGTCATAAAAAACATTAAAAAATTTGTTCGATCGTTAAAATTTAATTGCCAAAATTTATGTTAATATAGTCTACTAACATGATTACAAGTTTTATATCATTTTGTACTATTTTGATAAAGTTCTGATATAAAAGTGGCGGAAGTCATGTAATTACAGTCTTAATAGTCAATAGCCTAATGAGGATATATTGCAGTCTTTTTATCAATGATGGTCAGGTTTTCATCGTAAATTATTATTTAATACATGCTGATAAAGACTCTAAACTAAGCTTTATAAGCTTTACTGCGTATTACATAATTACATACTTATTATATTATAATAGATTATATCAGTAATAGATTTTATTTTTTAATATTTTCTTCACTATATTCAATGCTCAATATGTATAATATAATGTGCACCTTATGAAACTATTTATCAATTATGACTCAATAATTAATAAATACTATTCTCAATTATGTAATAATAAATCTTAGATATTACTCAATTTGGTAAAATCACACATGTGCATGTACGTACATACATAAAAGTTGATGTACCATTTCGACACTCCATGCGGAAAACACGTACTTTCCGCACGCTAGACCAAAAACGTGAGTTCAAGAACGAACTTAAACTTATTAAAAAATACTGTACGATACATGTTCAGGAAACAGTTTATCGTCTCGTGTGGCCTTTCTCACACTTATATCGTAATGCACTATTCGATAATTAGAATAGGGGGTGTAGTAGCCAAATTACAGGAACATAACTTAACTTACCTCCGAATATTACATTATTCTATTTCAGTTTTGAATTTTTTGTTAACATTTCAATTATGCTCCACTCAGATTAACTTAAAAAATGGTGGATATGACTGAGCTATTTACGATAAATTCAAACTGAATGGGAATAATGTAATATTCAAGGTATGTCGGTAAGCGTTGTTAACTATAAGTATTTTATGTTAACCTACGACCTCCCCCGATAAATTAGTACATTACCTAACTAGTGCGGAAAAGTAGATTTTTGTCTTGTATGAGGTTTATGACCATGCAAAGCAAGGATGGAAAGGCACACGAGACAAGCACCTTTTTCCCAAACAACATCAACTTCATTCTTAATGTAAGTATAAATATTAATTGTAAAAAAATGCTATTGAGACATTGTAAAATGTCTAATAAAAGTAAAAAGTACCAATCATATGAATATTACCAGTTATCTAGAAACTCGAAACCAGTTTTTGGGATTTCAGATTCTTGATTAAGCTGTGATGATTGATAACTGCTATATGAACTAGGTGTATCAAGTAATGCAGTTGACTCAATATCCTCTGATTTTAAATGGGTTCCAAAACTAATATTCATTTGACTTTTATCATCATCTACTTTTGAATTTATTGACAACCTCTTTTGTGGCACTAAATTCTCCATGTCATCATCCGTAGTATTTTGAATTTTTAATAATGAAGTTTTGTTAATCAATTTGGCAAATATACCTTCAGATGGTTCACTATCTACACAACTGCTAAGAAGAGTACTGCTACGGTCTTCAGTTGAAAATATTGTGTCAGAATAATTTTCAGTTTGATAGAAACTAGTCTGGCTCGATGGTGGACTGTAGTTATCCTCTAAGGATTCATCTCTAATAGTACATTTATTCTTGAAGTGAGATGCATCAGACATGAAGCTGCTTATTACCTTGGTATTTATATCACTAGTTTGACCCAGACAATCAAGATTCATCTGAGATTGGGTCATGAAAGAGAATGGAGCAGAGTGTTCATCTTTAAAGCGTAGAGTCTGAAAATAAAGTTCAAGCCATTGGTGAAACCTAACGTAATTCTTAAATAATGTATTGATTACAGTTTGTTAAATCCTTACCAGGCCAGTCTCATCGTACATATACTTCATGCCAGTTTGTATCCTGAGTTTTGGATAACACTCTGGATAATCTTTGGTATATTCTAAGCTGTCGGAAGCATATTTTAAAGCCACTTCTGGCTTAATAATAGCCTCATCAATAGCCTTATTCCTTGCCTCAATACATGTACTCCAAAGATCCTCGAAGGAATCTTTTGAAGCAGAAATATCTTCACCAATTCTCTTAGCCAGTGGATTGATACTGTAAAAGTAATCCTCAGCGATAGCACTCATTGTTTTAGCACTCATCTTGAATAATCAGCCAATTTGTTATTATTTTGCGATGTACTCGTGTAGCTTTTTGGTATGCTTATCGCGAGAATCTTCGTATACTGTAGCTGTAAGGAATACACTTGTTTTCCACGTTCATTTTTGGCACTTGTAATTATTTGATAGAATTGAACCTTAGTTAGATCATTGTGTTTAGATGACTCTACGTCGTGACTTATTAATGGAGAGATGCATCTATCAGTGTGACGTCGTTGTTAACACCTCTTTTCAATAATCCTTATCCCCTCTCCATATACGTCCGATTGCTATCTCTGTCTCTTTTCAATCGAGATATATCGCGCTCGCAGTCGAATATACCTAATATTGATTCGAACGTATATATTATTATTATTATTATTATACTTGATTTTATAATTTTTTGATGACCTTTTTTATTTTCAATATATAAACGCAGTGCATCTAGTTAAATATTTTATTTAATTATATTTGATGTCATATTATTTTAAATTACCGGTCTTCCTTATATTTTTTTATCATTCTGTTTGTATCGCATTTGGTATTTCCATAATTATCAAGTTACTTTGTATAATTTGGTGTGATTTTGATCTTTCCTTTTAATAACGATATACATGGAAAATGTAATTAGAAGATAATTTGAGAACAGTAGCTATAAAATTATACTCGCAGTATAACTTTTTTATTAGATAATAGAAAATGAAGCAAAACGAAAAGCCACACCTTTATTTTTGAAATTTGTATATTTGTCGAGATTTTTTTTAACTAGAAGTCATGTTTATGTTGAGATACTGTTTCAGGTATAGTAGATATTAAAATTTTTGGTTATCAAAGATAAATGTTGGCAATATTTTCCCTTGGGACATTATTTTTTCCTTGATTATTACATTGCATTTACAAAGTCTCTTACAGGGATATTATTCGTAATTAAATTAGCAAGTACAATAAAAAGTTAACAAATTAACGTGATATAATATCACGAAATCGATCACTTTTCCCACTAAACGATGACGATTTTATAATCATACTGCAGCCTCGGATGACCTGATCCTTGAAATAACCGCATGTTATTAATTTTCGACATTTCTAAGAAAGAATTAAAAAAAATTATAGACCAATTATATCTCGGAACAGAAAATAATGTATTTGCATAAAACATGTATATTAATAAATACGTTGTTAATTGTACCACAGACACGTTTGTCTATTTAGTATAATATATTTAGTTCGAAAAGTACCATGTCACAATGTACCAGCAAGTACCAGCTCTAAAAAAGTACTGATTGATTTTTTTTCAATTAATCATAGCCATGTTAAAATGATAGATTAATTTAGAACGTGGTAATCGTTATATATATATAATATAAGCTAGAACAAATGCGAGGTATGAATATAAATGTTCTATAACACAAAGTAGCAGTATTTTCGTGCTTTAGTATCTATGATAAAACACCTTATAACTGTTTTCCAATATTTTATGAATATCAAATTAGCGCTCCAACTTCTTCGCAATAATTTTCTTGAATTGCGTGATTATAAACGTATAAGAAATATTTTTGAAATAAGATTATTATACGATATTTATTACGGTTTACTAACGATTTAAAAATGCGACGAATATGAAATTTAACTGCGCAAAAGGAATTTCAATAATTATTCATAATTAATCGCTTCACTTCAATTAATGAAAATAATTAAACATCAAATTTGAAAAATGACAATATTGTGTCTATTTTATGTATAAATGATAAACAAGTACATAAATATTTCTCATTTATTTCCAAAATTTAATTAATAAGCAAGTTATCGTTATTAATAAACGTCATGATGGCATTCTTGGGTATTTTCAAACGGTTATTAATGAAACAAGAGTATATTATCTTGAATTCGTGTGTCACGATATCTTTGCAGGTAGAATGCACGTACCGCAATATATAACCAAGGTCGCACCTGCACAATTTTTTCTGGAAGAATCAAGAAGAAGCAACATCGTCGAAAGTCCATGGAATCCCATCTTTCTACGAGAGAGAAGAAGGATTACATCAGCATCTCTCAACATAATAAATACGCATACGAAAAAAAAAAAACCCACCTCCTTTCACTCTCGTTTATTTCGTTCGTCGGTGCCGCGGCAAGCGCCAAACTGATAAAAAAGACGATGAGCCGGTGATCGCGAGTTTAGTCGCATATAATCCGCACGAGGGTATATACAGATATAAACATTTCCGTGTTTTTTTTCTTTTGAATCGTAATCATGGAGTCTAAGTGGATTTTCAGGTCCGCCGTGCTCTGTCTTCTCGTTGGCACGTGTAAGTCTTTGTCCAAAGTATTTTATTGTGAAATTTTGTCATTCAAAAGAAAATCGACATTTCAACTGTCTTTCGACTCTTTACTTCGATCGTAAACTACCTCTTGAAATCAAGTTAACATTTCCGAATGAGCATCCTCGCAAATTAAAACCACAGGAAAAAAATTGAAAATCGGTCGAGTATTGAAATAACGTGATGTCACGACTCTATGGCTTTGAGGGCTGATGTCATCCACTGTGCGATTTGTTTGTATAAATCAGTCATTTTTCAAAATTATCCTCTTCCTTATCTACAAATCGAATCCAAGAACTGCAAGGACTGCCACGACATTTTTCACGAGTATTTTACACGATATCAAGTACCAGATGTTTGACAATAATTCTCCTATTCTCCTTGTGTTTTCGAGAGCTCAAAATTATACATCCGACATTATACAAGAGTACACAATAAGAGAGTCGCGGCGTGAATTAATAATGAAGAAACTAATAGGTGTTACTTCCAAAACTGTTTCTTACTCTCGAAAATAAAAAAAACAATTAGTCATACTTGAGACCTTGAAGCTGTTTGCTATTCAGGAAGCGAATATTAAAAAAATATTTCCTAGAACGCATTTGCTTAAGCCATCTGTATAAATCATCATTTATTAAATGATATATCCATAATAAAAGCTTGTGCTTATAACGAACTAGTCTAATTTTTTTTTCTTTTTCTTACTTTTTTAAATGTATCCGAGGTGAATTGTACATACATTTTGTTGTTCATGTTTTATTTTATTTAAAAAGTTTTTTTTATTGACGTATTGATTCTGTTCTTCATACTTTTTTATTTATATAGTTAGTTATTCTTATTTTTCATTCAATTCTATTATTCATATCTTTTTATTCATATTGTTAGCAATCATGTTTTTTTATTTTCATAATTGTTATTTTATATTTATTTATGTAAGAGAATTTTTCTCCCGTTAAATAAAAAAAAACTTATTTTCTCTTCGGTGCATGTCGCCCAAGTATTGTATAAGAGTCGAGGTCGCCACCTCCTCACAATTTCGTTTTTCTTTCTTTCTCTTAACCAGAGAGACGATCATCAGCCCTAGGGAGAAGCTGAGAGAGTTGCGTAAACGTAAGAAACACATTTGCGTATATCGTTGCAGGTGACTGAACGCTCTTCTTCTTTCGACAGAGTCGTTTCTGTTTTTTTTTTTCGATCATGTAATTGATTAGTGTATTTTTGTTTTGGTGAGAAATATGCTAATTCGATTGGATCGAAGAAGCTTTGGAATTATTTAAAAGCAGAAGTATGAATGTTAAAATAAGAAATGTCTTGAAAATTTCGATTTATTGATCCGCCTCGTTTGATTACAAAGTCATACGAATAGTCGAAGAGAACTTATTAAGTGTCTTCTTAGTTTGAAAGATTTATTAAACTTAAATATCGATTATAAATTGAACGATCATTTAACGAACGTCAAATGACAATATTCTCATGTTCAATCCCACCATGTCAAAGCAGGTCTTTTTGCCCACGACATAAAATAAAAACGACATACGTTACAGGTATTGCGCAATTTCAACCACGTCAACAGAATCCCTTCTTGAATCAACAGCAACAGCGTAGTTTCGAGCAGAGGCCAAACGACTACTTTGTACAGCAACCGCAAAGTTTCGCTGGTAATGCGCAATGCCCCGAGCCGAACGGCCGATTCCCCGTAGCGTCTCAGTGCGACGCTTACGTCGAGTGTGTCGATGGCGTCGGCGAGGAGAAGCTGTGTCCCGAGGGCTTACTTTTCAATCCTGAAGCCAGATTCAACTATCCTTGCGGCTATCCGATCGACGTCAAGTGCGAAGGACGATCCGCTCTTCGTGAGTTTATTATCTCATTCGATGCTTCATTAAAGCGAAATTGGCGCGCATTTGTAAAATATGCAATTCAGCGGTGCCTTTGTACAATGGGCTCAGAGAAAGATTTCATATCAATGAAATTTTGATTTGGTATTTTTTTGCCTGACCATATCGATCTGTGACTACTCAAAATAAACCTAGCGTCTTTCTGGAAGAAAGCAGAAAACATAGATGAACACTTTCTGCAGCAGAATCGTAAAATTAAGCAACGATTCATCGCGAACACTCGCGCATTACCATAAATATTCATAATTTGGTAGAGCCTGCGCAACCGAGCGAGGAATGTCCGCATCAGTACGGCTACTTCAAAATGGGCGATCAAAGAAACTGTGGTAAATTCATGAATTGCGTAGAGGGCCGAGGTTACGTCTTTGATTGCCCCGAGGGTTTGGCATACAATCCCGAAACTTATCGTTGCGACTGGCCCGATCAAGTTAACGATTGCGACGCCGAAGGTGAGTTTCACATAATCTCGTTCATTTGAAAATATCGATAATCCTTACATTATTCTCTTATTTCTTCAGCTTTCCTTGGATTCACCTGTCCTACGAGTGGACAGAGCTCGTTTTTGCATTCTGAGGCGAGATTCTACAGAAGTCCGAATGATTGCCAAAGATATTACGTTTGCGTAAATAATAGACCAAGATTACAGAATTGCGGCGAGGGTAATGCTTTTAACGATCTTATCGGAACTTGCGATGCTGCTGAGAATGTCACCGGATGGTGAGCATCGATAAAATCATTTTTCAACGATTTTCTTGTAACACAGATTTAAAAGTGAATGTATATTTCTTATTAATGATTTGTTTTAGTGAGCCGCCATTCAGGAAAAATCTAGAAACACTGAATTTGATTGATATTAGGTCTCAAAACGACGAACAACATATCAGATCAGCCAAGCAGCAACAATCTTATAATCATGTACGTAATTTTGATGGATTCCAACAACAACAGTACCAACAACAACAGCAACATTACAGAGGCAGTCAGACTTTCAATAGTCAAGGAAATAATCAATACGCAAAATCACGATTTTAGCCGATTCAAAAGTAAATGAAATCCAACGAACTTTCTTTTTGATGAGTAAGCCCTTTATGTAATCAAGCCAAATTGTATAATAGCATTTGTACAAAAGATTCGTAAATAGCTTTTAAACGCATAATACATATATAATATATATACATCAATGATCTGAATCATCTAACAAACGTGGTGTATTGGACAAGTTTTATGACGGCCTTGCACAAAACTTTTGGTCCCCGCAGTCGTGACGACTGAATTATATATAAACTTTTCGATACAACTAATAACTTAAAAAAATAAATTCTCATCGAAATTGATGTTTAGATTATTGCCCAAGATATATATATTATTCATTTATAAATTCTTCATAGTCAGCTGTATCTGTATCTAAAACTACATCCTCTAAGTTTAGCTCTTTTTCCATTTTCGATGACTTTTCTGTAATTTTAATTTTTTTATTAATATTATATACACACTTGTTATAAATAAACAATTTTGTTTTTTGAAAATACAACTAACGAGAATATTTCTTACCCTTAATTGGAATTGAACCTGTTTTTTTGTATTCTTTTATTTCTTCTTTAAAGGCTTCTTCAAAGGTTTCTTGTCTCTCCTTCAATAATCTTTCTTGTTGCTTTTCGTGCCTGAACACTTTTTCGGAATGTTCTTGAGATAACTTTTCTATAAAATTAAATTAAATTTAAAAAATTTGAATTTTGAATAACAACAAATTTCAGAGTTTATGCTAACCTCTAATGTGTTTTAGTTCTGACAACTTTTTTTCTTTGTATAAAGCTAATTGAAACCTATGATCTAATTGATTGTTCTGTAAATCTAAAATCTCCTGTAAATCTTGTAATTCAAAAAGTGCGTTCTCAGCTTCTTCAAACATTTCTTGTAAACCACCTAAATTTATAACATAAATATGTAAACGTTATTTATAAACTATAATAGTTCTTCAATTCCAAGTACTTTTTAAAAAAGTATTTACCAATTTGGTCCATTAGACTTTGCAAAGTACTATTTATCTGTGGTATTGATTGTAAGCTATCGTTTAATACTGTAATATTATTCTGTTGCGCATCAAGTTTTTCATGAATGGAAGATATCAAAGCATCAGCTTCTTGAGCTTTTTGTGCATTGTCCTCCGCAAGCTCATGTAAATTGTTCCATTCCATTTGAAAATGATACAACACATCTGCACCAGCATCATAATTGACATTTCTTACATTGACTGACTTTTTAGGCTTCACGGATGCTTCAGCAAGTGACAGACCTCGTATACTGATACCATATATTTATTATTAGAGTTATTTATCTACATATGAGAACTATTACTTGTATTAAAAACTATTCATTACTATCGACGTTAATTACTGTTAATTATTACTAGAAATAAAAAAATCAAATACATTTTAAGAAAATAAACAAATGGGTTTGTTACCTTGCAGAAAGTCCCTCCTGCATAGATTGGAACTTATCACGAATCGATCCAAACATCTTGTCGCGTCTTATTTATGGTCAAAATAAGTACTCAAAAAAATATCGTTTTAAATATTTATATTTACATATTTTTAAGATGGGACGGATAAACATTTTACTGCTTTTGCCATAATGTTTTCATTATATAACAGGTTAGGGTATTGGTAACTCTCGATTTACGCCATTAAAACGCGCAATATTTGAAAATTCCGAAACCTCTTTTTTTTGGTACAAAATTGGCGCAAACAATGAAATTTGATGTTCTAAAACTTCAGATTGAAATTAAATATTCTTTTTATTATTATTTATAATAAAAAATTGTACTTGAAAAAACAAATCACTAACAAATTATGATAACGTAATAGAATGGTCAATATATCGTAATAGAAACATTTATTTAGAAACTCTAAACATTTATTGATCTAAAAAATATTAAAGGATTTGAAAGAAAAATGACAAAAGAATATTTCAGATAATTTGTTTATTATCTCTTTTAATCACTTGGCGTGTATTAATAACGAGTTTTTTTCTAATTTTATTTAATATATTTAAAAATCACAGTCTTAGTTGAAGAATTGACAGCAGAAAATACTATCTGTATTCTATCCTCTTCATAGTATTTTTTTTAATTTCATTAAATTTCATATTTATATTACAACATGGCTCATTACAGTCGATCATGAATCTAATTTCTGTCTAGTTTTCGTGCTTCACTTCCTATACATATACAATATACTCTATCATTTTTTTATTCGTACAGTTTGTGTGTATGCGTGTATTATTTTCTTGAATTAACTATGTACAATTTTTTTAAAGAACGCGGTTATGTGTATAATTCGTAGCCCAAAAGATACTATTATAGCTATGTAAATTATGTGTGGCTGCACGTTGCTTTCGAACGAAACTGCAAGTATATTTTTATCGTACATGTGAATGAAAGAATATCTATCCGGTACCTCGATCGATCGATAGGGGTAAGATGGCTTTACAATTTGCACACACTGACTATCTCTTTCTCACTCACTCACTCTCACTCTCTCTCTCTCTCTCTCTCTCTCTCTCTCTCTCTCTCTCTCTTTCTCTCTCTCTCTCTCTTCCCTTTCCCCTCTATATGGCATTATTCATGGTCGATAGCGGCTACGTCAATCTGATGTATAAAAAAGAGCTTCATACGATTTTTGTTCGATACAATGAAACAAATTTTTTCAATTCTGCATATAAATTTCACTAAATAGATCATATTTCCTAATTTTCTTTTAGCCTATCAAATTCTTTTTACATTTTGACTAAATCATTGTTTTTTAACAAAAATTCAATATGATACAGAGAATACAATAACGAAAAAAAATCGTAATTTCTTTGCCAATAGCTGGATGTCACGACTCTCAAGCGTTTTATCTCCTTTAATCAATTCGCATTTAGCGCAGAGCATTAAAGTTTCACTCAACACTTTCATGAGCTAGCGAGTTCGTCAAGTATCACCACAATAATATATTTACACTTAAATCTTCTATGTACAGGTAAATGACAATACGTACAATGATTCGTCAAAAGCTCATTCGTGGTCGACAATGTGAAAAAGCAACCAAGATAGGATTACCTGTAAGAACACTTTTACACGTAGCTTTTTTTTTGCTTTTTGTTATTTATATTTATGTGATTAATTGAAAGGAGATTACGCCTAAAAACACACTTAAGATCATTCGCTCGCTTGGGCAAGTGCCATTTCTTAGAACACATCTCTAATTAACATAAATTTAAAAATGAAAATAATTTCTTCATTTCAAATAATCTACGATATTTTTAAGAATCCACTGAACGTTCACGTTACAATAACGATAAAGTAATTTAATATACACCTACATCAAATAAAAATAATTTGTAATTTCAACAACTGGTACATCAATTGAATCAATTGATTAATTTTTCAACATAAAAACAATGGAAAGAAAAAATTACCGCCCTAATGCCTGCGCTTTATATATCTTTGGTTCTATATGCCAAGTCTATTTCATCTTCAGGTTTACAATATACATACAATCGATTCCATGAGCTCGCTATTTTATTTACAAGTCTCAAACGAAGACGTCCAAGCAGGTAAAAAGGGAATGCTCGTTTACGCGCTTTGGTTTTGTGTAACCCTAATTCAACTAACCAAACCAATCTTTCAATTTTATAAGTATAATTCTATATGTAAAAACTTTTCAATAACATTGAGTTTTTTTCAACTAAAGTTTTGTCATTTACCATACCGAGTAATTGAAAAAAAATTGAATATACACGTTCAATATGAAATATCCATTCAGTCGAAACTGAAAGAAGTAGCAGTGAATCTTTCATGAATTTTTGAAGACCTCAGAGTTATCTTAATTTTAATCTACAGTCTTTAAAAATTCTTGAATGCCTTTTTTTCATGTACTATATATATATATATAGAATAGAAATTGCGAAGACCTAAAACGTTCTCCAAAAAAGCAAAATATTTTTCAAAGATTAAATGTAGGTACTCGAAGTCAAACATCTCTGAATGCGCGCATTACTTAAAATTCAGCAGCAATACTGCAAATAAATGGGGCTTACGAGACAGACGTGCTCGTACGGCCGTCGTGTTTCTTTTCTTTTTTTGCTAGGAATGTAAGACTCAAAATAATAATAATAGTAATCAGAAAAGAGACGTGACGACTGTCGACGCGATAGTTTTTTTCTATATAAAATGAAATAAATTCTCTCTTACTCTCGACCTCTGCTAGAATAGTCTTTTTATAATAGTAAATTATCTAAGACCTGATCAATGCGTAATCAGTTATAACCGTTCAAATACAATCAATTTAGAATTGATGAGATCTAATGATAAATACGATGATTAAGCTAGTTAACAAACGTACCTTGAATTCATTAGTAGACAATTGTTGTAACAATTTTGTTGTTTTGCAATAAAGTAACATATATACCATCGTAACTTTAATTAGCTGGGTTTACTAAATTATTACGACGCTTAAAAATTGTACAAATTCTGAATTCTGTCGCAATAGCTTAAAACTTAAGACTTATAACTAGGCTTAAGTTTCTAATCCAATAAAGCGTACAAGATTTTTTATCGTTGAACTCTTTCTAAAAGTCGAGGGAAACCTGCTCAAAAACAATTAAACTAATAACAAACTATGCTATACGTAACAAAATACGTAATAAATTATTTTTGCTTTCAACAGTTTCGATCGATACTACAAGAAGAAATAACTAAATCCTAAAAATAAAAAAGGATCGATTTATTTTCGTCTGTAATAAATTAATTCGAGTATCATTTCCCTTCGGACTTCATCAAGAGTCTAGCGTTCAACAAACGATCGATCTAATCGGCAACAGCAGCGCAAGCATGTTCATCATCTTAAACTTGCATAAAATATCGTAAAGGGCGTCACGCCGTCAAACGGTGATGCAGGAAATGAGCTGCTGACAAAGCTGACTGTACTGTAATTGGTCCCCACTGATCCGTCTCATTTTGATACCTTTGACCTCTTTCTCCTCGCTCTCGCAGACTCGCAGCTCAATTTGCACACCACCAGGATACTCCAAATTTAATCCGTTGCCATCGACTTCTTGTCTGGAGAACACGAATCCTTTTGGAGCGTGTGCGTCGATGATTTGTATAACTCGGCCAAGTATAGCCTCGGAATTGAGCCGACTCGATTCGTCGGACAACGTCACCTCGACTTCCGTGGGTATTGCGGCTGGTCGCCCGATGCCTCGGGTTATACTTGGTCTCAGTGGATCACAAGGCTCCGAAATGATAAATGGAATTGGACTGTAATGCGATAACGTATCTTCGAGTGAATCGGGCGACGGTGATGGCGATGGCGAGCAGCCGACTAAAGTCACCTGCCCGCCCAACACGTCCGTCACCGAGATTTGTGGTGGCGGTACCTGAGTGAAAATTAAAGGGACCTATTTACATATTAGAGCGTCTAATCCGTTGAATAGATAGGGCGGGACCAGAGGTCCTTCTTTGTGCAGTAGGTTCAATAAAAATGTACGCGAGTGATGCAAGAGATGCTAATGTGAGATTTACCCGTAGTACGTCGACCGGGTGCTCCTCCTGTATCATATCGAGGGCAGGACTATTACTGGGCGAGTAGCTGACAGGCGTGGTTGCTGGTGAACGATGATGCCTCAGTGGACTCAAGTCCAGAGGCGTGGCTGGCTGCTGGGTGGGCGTACCGTGGACTATGCTACCTTGCACCGGAGCTGTGGTTAATCCACTGAGACCTGAACAAGCGCGGAATCTCATTCATTTACGTGATCGAATCGCGAGTCAGGTGAACAATTGCGGATATGTAGGACGACTTACCCTGAGTGATGGCAGCGACTCCGCGTTCGTGCACTGGCGATCCGGGAATGCTGGCAGGACTGTGCGAGGGCGAGGCGAGCCTCTGCAACTGCTGGTATTCTTGTTGAAGGGCTTGGATGCCGGGTCCTTGCTGCCCTGAGCCTTCCGAGGCGCGGCGTACAGGCGAATAACGCTCAGCTGTTGTCACGTGCACGCTCGGCTCCTTGTACGAGTCGCGTGGACCGGCTGTTGTTTTAATGAATAATTTAATTATAGCCGACTATCATTGGCACATCGATGGTTCGATGAGATATACGAAGAGTCAAAGACAAGAGAGAAGAACGATTATTTTAATGGAACCGACGTCGAAGCAGGCTACAGTTTTACTTAATCAATTGAAAATCAATTTTACCATTTTGCACTGTCAGATTGCTTTATATAGACTTGACAAGATATTCCGACAATTAATATTTATAATTTTAAAAGTTGCACGTCGAGCTTTCCATTTTGGTCTAAAGCGATTCAATTCTTATTTCTTCTCTTCTTTAGAATATGCGAACGCAATTTTCGCATTATTTCATCCCACCTACGACTAATTAATTCCGAAATTATTGTTTTTACATTTCCATCAGAATGTCGTTATTATTAAGACTGCTTGATTATGGAATATTGTCTATTTGAAAATCATTGAATATAAATCATTGAAAATTGACGTTTCACCTTTCAACAGATTGAACAGACGCACACGTAAGAACTTGTTTATTCGCATTCATTTTTTCTGTTTATCACAGTCTTTGAATTATGCAAATCACGGGGATAGACTAGCCCGTATTATTCATCACGCGAAGTCGCTTGTCATGAAAATCAACTCACACTGCAACTTTGTCATAAACTAAGATCTCTGATGCAAGAAATAAAAAGAATCTCATTTTCAAAACTTGAACCTTACATTCTTCTCTCTCTCTCTCTCTCTCTCTCTCTCTCTCTCTCTCTCTCTCTCTCTCTCTCTCTCTCTCTCTCTCTCTCTCTCTCTCTCTTCCCTCTCTCTCTCTCTCTCTCTCTCTCTCTCACTCACTGTGTCTTCTCGAGTGGAGCAAACAGGGTTAGATGTGTTTGTGTAAGAGACGGGCAATTATGGATTTTATTTAGGTAAGTTACATGTATGTCAATTATTTTAGACAGCTTTTCTGAATATACAATGCATAGACATCCAATATAGTTCATTCACCGTGTAATCCTTGAAAATTTGGCACGAGAAATTTCGACAACAACGACCGCACGACGAAGCGATTAATATTGATCCATATTTTTTTAATGACCGGAAGGCTTGTTATATTGTATACTTTTACTTTGAAAGGGAGGTAAGCATTTGCTTTTGAAACTCCTCGGCTTGACGTCACCACGTGCTTGTATACTTTGCAATCGTGACGCAAAACTTTTAACTATCCGATATATATATATACAAAAATTATCGATTGTCAAAGCTTTTTGGTCATCTTTTCACTTTCTTTTATTTCATTGCTGCTATTGTGCTCGCATTTAATTAATTTCATGGCTACCACGACAAAGAGAATGAAAAATTCAAACTTGTTCAATCAGTTAATTATGGATAGTGCACTTGCCACTGTATGTCTTTATACGATTTGATTGTTTAAAAAATTGTTCGTAAAATTTTTATACGTCATAAAGATTCAAAACAATTGTATTTTGAATTCAGTGAAATTTTATAGAGCGCTATTTTTACGGCAACTTCTGATATTTAAACGGATATACACGACACGATTATCAATATTATACAAAACAGTTCTTTTTAACACCGCGCGTGAATCCACAAGCAAATTAATGAAGATCTTCTATTACATTTAAAAAAATTAATGTCTGCAGGTACGGCATTTATAATTATTTTATTGGAAAGACGGATGCTTTTTTTGTTCTATGAAAGTTTCATACACTTACGTAGTAGTTATTCAATTATTCAACACCATATATGCGGCATATGTCAACTTTTAGTATCTTCATCAAAAATAGTAATATTTTAGAAGTATACATTAAATTCCAATTAACCAATCCACTACTCAGTAAAAAAAAAAAATAAAATGAAGCACACGAAATAACGGACAAAGAGCGCACATAGCAAGATAAATGAAAACATACAACATAAAGGGTAATAAGGAGGAGTGTGTAAGGAGATAAAAGCTGAATGAAAAAATAAAAAACAAAAAAGGGTTAAAATTACCAGTGCTAGCAGAATACATAGAGGTTTTCCTGTGATGCGGCAGTGAGTTGCCGGCGTTGGTTTTAAGGTGATTTGGCAGCAGCCTCGATGGCAGATACGATCTGTTCATCCTCTTTTCCACCTCGACGACCACCTCGGGATTCAAAACTACATGCACATCGCGCGACATTCGCGGTTTTTTTGAACGAGGAGTTGGTGGTGGTGGACACATTGTATAGGTGTTTGTATATATGTATATATGTATATATAGATATATACACACACATACACACACACATTCGAGTATTTTTTTGTTTGGTAGATGTGCAGGTGAACACAACAAAACCATGCAAAACCAAACAGAAAAGAACCAAAAAATATAGCTTCATTGACGACAATAATCTTAATAAGGAAAAAAAGGGATATTTTTCAAATTTATCAAGGGAATTCTTTCGCAGTCTGGCAATAGACAAGAATTTTATTTTTGGTTGGTTAGATATGATCCATATCGAGAGAACATTGATGCACTTCACAGTTCTATTATTACGATTACTAAATTTATAAACGTTTCTCATATTTAATGCAGCGTTCTTCATCATCTACTACAACGCACTATGCAATTGAAATTCGAAAAATTGTTACGATACCAAGAAAAGCACTGTATAATAAATTAATATAATAAAAATAATGCGTATGACGAAATCGTAAGCTGAGAAAATTCAATTGAAGCTAATTTATTCTCCAAATTCCAATACTGCACAAGATATCCCTTAATTATTATTCAATATGCCCTGGTGGAAACTTATATATAGTATTATAAGATATAATTAAGTAGCACAAATACTCCGAAAATATCTGGACGTAACAGTACTTTGAAATATTAAAAAAATAACTAAAAATACTATACAAATAGTCATAATTCTAACAAAAAATACAACTAATTAAATTTTTTTGCTATTCTACATTTCTACCAGAGCACTCCGTGCAAAAAACATACAATAACAAAAATATATAAATAAGATGTATATCGCGAACAATAAAAATGTATATTTTTCAACTAAAATACATACAACGATCCAAACGGTATACATGTATAGCATACTAATTGATCTACCAGGCCAAAAAATGAAAATACTTAGGTACGAAAAAAGATAGGAAAGAAGAATAAATCCCAGTGCTCGCATATAAGTTATAAAAAATGGAAAATAGGTATTGAATGCATTACCTGGACGTTGCATGACAGTTGTGAGGCCAGAACGACGCCTTCTGTCGCTACTAGTACTTGATGTGCTACCCTGACTACTGTCACCTCCACTCGTCCCGCTACATGGCGATAGTGCTGGACTACCAGGCTGTTGAAAGACATTTTAAAATAAAGTTTATTCAATCACACATTGTCCGTCACTGTGAAAAGCAAATAAGAAATTATTATCATACAGGTTGCAAATGTTCTCTGCTACCAGGTTGACTCCAACTGCCCTCTTCCCCACTACTATTACTATGTTGCTGTTGATAAAATACATGAAGATTTGCTCCACCATCCGAAGCTCTTCTTCCGAAACTGCTTGCTAAAAATGAAAAAGAAAAGGTGATAATGAATAGTCAATAGTCGTATTTTTTATTATCAAACTAAATAGTTAACATCGTAAATAATAGCTCTTGAAAGGTACAAATTTGTATTCAATTTACAGCAGAGTATATACGAATTTTAAATTACAAAGCACGAAGCATAAGGTTTATCTTTTATTGATTACGATTGTGAAACTATATAACTTATTTGATATTCAAAGAATTTCAACAGCCTTCTCTTTTTCCCCGTTTTAATTTAAACAGCTAAATAAAGTTGTAGAAGATCAAATAAACACGATGAATGCTTACATATAAACTAATTAAATATTTGGCCGTTATTAATGTATTAAGCACATTAAAAAATAAATTGTTTAGTTCTTCAAATATTAGAAAATTCACTGATTTATGTAAAAGAAAGTACTCACTAGCTCCCATAGCGGAGGGTGGCTTGAGCAGATGTTGATCCTTGATTTGAAAGTTCTGCGGGGGTTGATTTTGGACATACGGCGAGTTGAGCGCGAGATTCGTTTGTGGCAATACCTGTATCTCGACATTTAGATGGTGATTTGGCAGCATATGTAATGGTGGGCGACCTACGTGATCCACGTAAGGATATACGACTGTAGGTTGATGTGCTGTATCTCCTGGACCAACTGTGTGACGACGTGTCGCGTGGTATGGTGTACCTACTGGTAATTGCAAACCACTGCGTTCCTCCATCTCGGCACTTTCCACTTCGTCGAACTGCAATTTAAAGTTTCGAGATTAGATTTTCTATAGATTTTTCAATCACGTATATTATTTGATTTGAAATTGAAACTAGTGTATAATTTACCTACTACAAATTTACGAAATAAATTAATAAAATGTTTCTTTGCAACACAATTTTAATATTACAGTTCACCCATAACGCTTACCAAATACTTTCGCGCTTGTTTAACAAGAAAATATCAAAATACTTCACACTGTAGTAAATAACAAATAACACTAAATTATATTGTATCCAAGGCGAACGTTTGAAAAAAGACTATGGTCTAGCATCGCGCGAGTGTGATGTACTGCATAGCTTATATCTTTTGCAAAATAGCGCAATCAAATAATAGTCACATTAGCAATGTTAAATACAAAAGAGCGTGATTACCTTTTCCAGCTGATGAGCGTCATCGGATACGTAGCCGCCGGCCGGTAGAGTTTGTATGCTGGGCACACTCGTAACAGCAGCGTTCTCCAATTGGTCGACAAGTAAATTGTAAATTGCCGAGACGTGATTGAAGGCGTTGCCCTGGACTGCTTGCAGCAACGTATCCAAATCCAAGCCTGGCAGCGTTAACATACTCTCGATGACCATTTGATTAAGAGGCGGTGATGATTGCTGTTGCTGCTCAACTTCTGGTTTATCGTCGATTGTGCGACCATCGCCACCCATCCACGGATGTGCCAATATCTGGGGGATGGTAAAACGACGCTCTGGCTCGACTACTAGCATGTGCCTTATCAGCTTCTCGCACTCTGCAAGGGAGACAGCAAAAGAGGGATTATTTGATAAGTGCGGCTGATTGTGTAAAATGCGTTGTCGGTGTATGTTGTAATGCTCGCTCTCTTTCGCATGAACTTTTACTGATAGCAAATACTGAAGCGCTATAAGTATACATTTTATATACTTTTTTTTCACTTCGGCTTTAGTTTTATAGTTCTGTTTTTCTGGCTTTGTATTGTTTTTAACACATGAATAAATACGAAATACTTCAAACTGGGTGCGAATGACAACGATCTTTCTAAATTATTAAAAATATGGAAGTTTCTTAATGTCAAGCAGAACTGCTTACTATGTGAATATTAATTGAAAAAGTAAAAATAAATTACCTCCAGTCATGAAAAAAGGTATCCTAAATTTTCCTGACACAACAACTGCTCTCAATGTATTCATTGTAGGCCCATCAAATGGCAAAACTCCACAGACTAATACATATAATACAACTCCCAAGCTCTGTAAAGTGTGCAGGTCATGTTAATAAAATAAACAAAATATGCAATATATTTTTTAAATGTAACGAATTTCCTTACCCAAATGTCAGCTCGTGGGCCATCATAATTGTCTCCCTTAAAGAGTTCTGGTGCTGCATAAGGCGGTGAACCACAGAAAGTTGTAAGAGTAACACCTGGTGTATACTCGTTGCTGAATCCAAAATCAGCTAGTTTTATATTATTGTCAGCATCCAGCAACAAATTCTCAGCCTGAAAAATTGATTAATTATTATTATACCTATTCAAAACATAATTATTGTAATACAATATATAGAAGTCAATTAAGGAAAAGTGTTCACAATAAGTTAGCAGTTTAATTACATACAAGATAACTGATCATTTGTAAAAATATTCCATTTATTAATGGAAAGTTTTCTAAAAACTATAGATAAATGTTTCAGGATGCAATAAAGAATTTAAGACAAGAGTAAGTAACCCTGATTTTTCAGTTAATCAAAATGATTTTAATTTACCTTGAGATCTCGATGAACAACTCTTTGTTGATGCAAGTAACGAACAGCTTCAACAATTTGACGGAATACTCTTCTAGCTTCATGCTCTGCCATTCTCCCATTTCTTACAAGATGATCAAATATTTCACCAGAAGCTGCGTATTCAGTTACTAAATATATCATTTTTTCCGTTTCCATCACTTGATAAAGTCTAATTATGTGTGGATGTCTCAGTCTCTTCATTATATGCACTTCACGAAATATTTTTGCTAGATTTTCTTCGCTTAACTTAGTCTTGTCAATGATTTTGATAGCCACCTATAATTACATGACATTTCCAATTGTAATCACATGTAAACTATTAATTTGTTTTATTAAATCACACATTCTTTACATTATTTCGTTATTGACATTTATTTCATCATTTTTCACCAGGCCAATTGTTTGTAACTAAAAAAAGGATATATCCTTATCTTAATTTGATAAAACAGATGTGTATTATCTGTTGATATAACATAAGAACTTGATTGTATGGTTATAATAAACTATTTTACAATTTAGCCAAATCACTTTTGCAGGTTTATGTGTGTATTTTTTTCAAGGTTTATCCTATTTATTTGAAACATTTTCGAGGAAAAACGCCTCCAATGATTATTGTTATTGGAAACGTTCAAAGACTTCTATTTAGCAATTACGCTTGCCCTCGTCTATTTGCAACCTGAGCAAATAAATACACATACACATATATTATATGGAGCAAATTGTAAGAGCAAACAAAAATATTTTCTAATGATTCGCTATCCAAAAACAACCTCGCGCGTAAAATTTTCGTATTTTTCTAGAACTGTATTTTCATTCGTACTAACCTACGATACAACAATCTCAGACGTATTTGAAAAAGTATCAAAAAAAGCTAAAGAGGTCGCGGGAAAAAGAGGCAATGGAAAAGCAGTGAGAGAGCGCGCACCAGCGTACACCGTGTGTTAAAAAGTGAAAAAATAAATAGTCGCGTGTGCGCCGCAGTTCGAGCTAAGAGAGAGGGGGGGGAGCGTGCGAGCTACATCACGGCCCTTTAAACGTCACATACACGCGTATGCCAACTATGAGCGAGCGAGAGAGATAGAGATAGATAGAGATAGGAGAGAGAGAGAAAAAGAAATCTACAACTAGATCTCGTGACGCAAACATCATGCGCCAAATGTGCGTGTGCGGCGATTTCTCTCCCATTCATCCGCGAGAGCGCTCGATTATATGCTCTTATCACTAGACAGCTAAAATGTCTGTTTTTTCTCTTTTTTCTCTAGTTTTATCTGCACGTTTTGCACGAATACGCACACGAATATGTAGAGACGATACACGGTGAATGCACACACACATACTACGTATTCATACACGCATATCGAGGGAGAGTCGGTGAAAGAGAGAGCATTGTCACCTTGGATTTGGTGACGACGTGGGTGGCCATCTTGACGACGGCGAAGTTGCCCTTGCCGATGGTCTTCTCGAGTTCGTAGTAACCTACGCGGATGAGCTTGTTAACGGTGCTGTTGGGCGGGTGGCCTTGTACCGTCGTCGTCGTCGGTGGCCCCGCCACACCGCTGCCTGCCATAGCTAGTACACCTCGTCGTCGTCTTTATTGCCACCGCCACCGCGTGCAATATATAAACGGCACTGCGGCAACGTCTGTGTATAAAAAAAATCCAACCACGATCAACACACTCACTCACACAACACCTCTCTTCTTTTTCGAAATTGCTCTAAATGCGTGTCTATCACAAGTGCACGCACGGATTGAGTAGAGACCGAGACAACGGTAGCAGCACGATTAGAGACGACGACGACGACGATCAGACAATCGCGCGAGAGCAGCGCGAGAGAGGGCCTGCCGTCCTCTCCCTCGGCTCAGACGTCTACTACTGCCAATCGTGGATTCTCTCGTCGGATCGGAGCGACAGTGCCGCGGCAAGGCAATCGTGATTCGCGCCGCACAACACATCTTTTTGCCCAGCTGACTGTAATGATACCGTAGTGTAACGTGACGTACATTTAGTTTACTAAGTGCTTTTTAAAACCAAGAGGGGTGTGTGTGTGTGTGTGTGCATTTCATTTTCATTTTTTTAATCTGCTTTCACCAGTTCCGACAATTTTTAAGTTTTCTTTTACATAGTTTTAGATTATTGATCAAAGATAAGAAAGATAATTGGTTTGCACTAAAAACGTGCTCTTATATTGGGTGAAATTTTGCTTATAGAATATTGATATTATTAGTTTACATAATTTACAGTGTTACTTTTCATATCTTGACGATGTTTGTTGATAATTTGAAATGACACTTCAATTTTCATAACAGAAACATAGTGTCACATTCCTTTCCTATCCTATCTTAAAAAAATGATGTGTTTAAATATATCAATCAGCGCATTGTGATCGATTGGTTGATGCTATACAATGTACGAAATTTTGAATTTTCGTATACTTTGAAATATTTTTATTATATTTTTAGGAGTGTGAGATTTATATTTCAGCAGTAAATTCAATTTATGAATAATTAGTATGGATAATAATCTGCAAGAATGGAAATATGTGGTTAATAAATCGTTTTCTGAGCATAAGATGTTATATTTTGAAATTATCATTACAAATCGTTAATTTTATAACATCTGTAATATTCAAATTAATATTATCTTACAATTTAATTGAAAAAGAGAAAGTGAATAAAAAAATAAGGAAAAAAACGTTTTTATCTTGTATACATTATAAATTAAGAAGTACGCGAGCAACAGAAACTAATTATTAGAATAGTAATACCGTCAAACTTGAAGAAAATTCACGGGCATTTTCATAGAGACAACAAAAAACACACGATGTTAAGCGTATTATTCAAACTAATATACGATGGGAGCCATAATCACTACGCTTAAGTATGCAAAGTTTAATGTTGTATAATAGCATGACAGCTTATCGATCGTAAGTTGAATTAATCTTTTGGATAATTTATCTCGAAATGAGTAAAATTTTAGTTTTTTTGTGAAAGAATAGGTGAAAGTTCTATTTTTATTCATTAATGAATATTGATGTATATATGTAGTCTACTTTGAACAGTATGATTTATTCATGCTTATTAGAACCTCCAAGTTGGCATGTAAAAGGTTCCAATAATGTAATAAATAACAGAAAATCAAAAGAAAGAGCGGACGAAGCGCACTAAAGAACACTATAGTGTTATAACAAGAGAGTTTGTAAGTATTGTAATGATTTTTTTTCTCTTTGTCTTTATTAAAAAACTACTAAAACTTCAATGCAGTATTTCAGTATTGAAAATTTAACGATAATATATTTGGAACAAGATTTCAGAAATAAAACGACAAGAATTAGAAATGCAATTGATAAATACTACATTTTGAAATATATATGATACATCTTAACTAAGCATACCTGAATATTCACTTTAACATTATTTCATAAGAATGATGTATTTTGATCGTTCGAAGTTATTTTAGCAACATATTCGGCAAATGGTTTTTACTAGACAAATCATTCTCCAAACTTGCTAGAACTTATAGTTAAAGCTCCCAATCTCACGTAGATTAACAATTATGACAGACTGGCAAGGTTGACTTTTCTATAAAAATTTTTACGCAATTCCACCACCAGTGCGTTAGCTGTCTTATCACTCCACTGTTGTACATAAATACTTATTTCTTTTTTTTTTAATAGTTATAAAAATCTAATATTACGAAATACAGAGGCATTCATCCATTCATTTTTAATTTAAATAATGAACATTTTAGACGACATACTGCAACTTTTATCGTAATTAGTCAATATAATTAGCTTGTAGATATATAGGAAAATGCGACAATAATTGACTATAAACTTTTGTCGTGATAACAATTGAAAAAATTTAAAAGGTTTAAAAATGTAAAATAATTGATTCTCAGCTGCGCCTATAGCTTAATGGGAAAACGTCATCACAAATTTCACAAACTGCGGACCAAGGTTTTGTCCAGCATTGATAAGTTGTATAAAGAAAAAAGAGAATAAGAAAATGAGAAAAACATGACCGGTCACACTGTAATCTATATCGAGAGTGCTCCGAACTGAGACTTTATTTCAAGTGTCCTAAGTTATATATAATACCTATATACTTTCATACATACATACATACATACATACATACATACATACATAACTCCGCCACCGCCGGTCCCAAGCCCGGGACCCTGCTACTCAAGATGCAGGGAAGGAGGAGGGGGAGGAGTATCAACCTCGTTAAAAAACCAAGGCTCATCTGGCCCGGATGATAGCACCTTGTTAAAGGGTCCCCGTTCAGGGTAACGGACCCCCAAGCTGAAGGTGTGAAGCGACCCGTGCCGATGTAGCCTTGTTGGCTCTCGGGGGTAACAGAGAGTCTCAAACGGAGCCTTGGGAGCACCTGGCGAAACTCCCTCGTAACTAGCCTTGTCCCACGCATGCGGGGCTCTGCGTGGGATCGACGACATCTTCCCTAGCTGCTCGTGGGATCAGAATGGATACAAAAGAAAAACAAACAACAAAAGAAGACGTGGAACGGACAAAAGAAGGGGACGATGGCCAGCAATGTGCAGACTCGATGGTGAGCTTGTGGAAGCAGCTAATAGAGGGCGACAACCGAGAGCAAGAGCTCTTAAATGCGCTGGAGCACAGGATGCTTGCTATCGAGAAGGTGATAGTGCCTGCTAAAAACATTCACAAGAATGTGAAGAGCGATCACGAAGCGGCCATGTCGTACCTTAGGCGACTGCAGAAAGTGCGGCAAAAAAATTCAGAGGCAAAGAAGGTATTCGAAGATAGATTAGAGGATACGCTGAGACAGACAACAAATGAGGATGAAGATAGGAATAAAAAGAGACCTGCAAATAGTCCTCCTGTTGAATGTAGGGCCGCCAAGGTGAGTGCCACAGAGGGTCGTATGGCTGTTAGCCGGATCGAAGGCTACAAAGATATACCAGCAGATCAGGCTAGCCGGAAAATCAGAGCGGTAAGAAGGCAATCCCAGAGCAACCGCGAGGAGACGGAAGAAATACCGCAAGGACGTGCTGAAGAAGACTGGCAAGTGGCTCGAAGGCAGAAAAAGCCTAAGAAGAAAGAAGAAAGACGTCAAGAAGGCAGAGGAGAACCAACTCTTAGAAAAGTTCCGCCAAGGAAAAACCTTCCAAGGTCAAGGCCGGAAGCAGTGCTGATAAGAGCAAATGGAGAAAATAAAATCTCTTATTCGGATATGCTGAAGGAAGTTAAAAAAAAGGTTAGCACCGAACAGGTGGGGTCCCAGGTTGGTAAGGTGCGGGAAACAAAGGATGGCAACCTATTGCTAGAGTTGATAAAAGGCTCCAAACTCGAGGACATCAGTGTGGCGATACGCTCGGCTGTCGGTGACCAGTTGAGTGTAAGAGCTTTGGTCCCGACAGTGACGATGGAGCTACGAGATCTGGAAGATGGGATCACAAAAGAGGAGGTCAAACAAGCCCTGTCAACAGCCCTAGAAGGATCTGACCCTGACCAAATCGAGATAAAAGTACTCCGAACAGGACCGAGAGGTACCCAAGTGGCACTCGTGAAAGCGCCAAGAGACCTGGCGTCAGAAAAGATCCTGAAACCGGGAAAAGTTAGGGTAGGATGGGTCTACGCTCGCGCGCGTGAAAACAAGATGGTAACCAGATGTTACAAGTGCCTAGAATACGGACACATTGCGGCTGAGTGCACAAAGAAGATTCAGGGAAAGCTATGCTATAGATGTGGGGAACCAGGACACTTAGCGGCAGGATGCGAAAAATCGTATAAGTGCCTAGCCTGTGAAGCGGAAGGTAAACCACACAATCATAGGACGGGTGATACAATGTGCGCTGCATTGAAGGAAGCAAGGGAGAAGCTAGATCCGAAACATGGAAATGGCCGAGCTTCTTAACACAAACATCCTGCAGATAAACCTCAACCGGTCCCGGGCAGCTCAAAATCTTGCCTTACAGACCGCGAGAGAAAGAGAGGCAGGAATCCTCATCATCTCAGAGCAGAATTACGACATGCAAGACGTGATGTGGTTTCGGGACGCTAGAGGAAACGCGGCAATATTCGCATGGAAAATTGAGAACCAAGACACAAGAGTGCTGGCAGCTGGAAACGGATTTGTAGGTGTGGCGATAGGACAGCTGGCCATATACAGCTGCTACTTTTCTCCAAACGCCACAGATGTCATAGTGGAGCAAGATATAAACGCGCTATTGCAAGAAATCAGCAAATGGAAAGGCCCACTTATAGCGGCAGGGGACTTCAACGCCAAAGCAAGGGCTTGGACGGGAGGGCCCCAAGACCATAGAGGCAACCTGTTAGAGGAAATGATGGCAACACTCAATCTCACGGTGATAAATACACCAGGGGTCCACACCTTCGAAAGAGGATGCTCCAGGTCGGTCTTGGACCTCACTTTTGCCTCGACGATAGCGACAAAAGTCATCACATCGTGGGAGGTGCTAGAAGAGGAGCCATTAAGCGATCATCGATATATATTGGTCAAAATTACAGGATGTTCACGGAAGCAGTACAAAACGAGAGGAGGATGGAGTCTAACAAAAATAGATAAGGAAATCTTCGGGCAGAAAATTAGCATAATAGCTAGCATGGAGGGATGTACAGCGGAAGAGGCAGCAGAAAGACTTATGCAGGACATCACGGACGCATGTAACGCGTCCATGCCGCGCAGACCAGCACAATACCATAGGAAACCGGCTTACTGGTGGAGTGAAGAGTTGGCGGAGCTGAGGAAAGAATGCAATAAATGCAGACGCAAGTATCAGCGAGCGAGAAGAGCGAACCGGCCAAATATGTCAGAATACCAGCAGGACTATAAACAAGCCAGAAGAACTCTGCGAATTGCAATCATCTCGAGCAAGAATAAATGTTGGAAGGATTTAATAGAGACGATAAATCGTGACCCTTGGGGATTACCGTATAAGATAGTGATGAGAAAGCTACGAAAGACATTCGGGACGAACGTTCCAAACGATGAACCGAGCCTGCGTCGAATAGTTAAAGTATTATTCCCTGCAGGCGAAGTTCGGACGAGCTTTCCAAAAGAAGCAAGTGGTTCACCGGGAGAACCATTTACCCTACAGGAACTGACGAACGCAGCCAAAAGATTAAATGCTGGAAAAAGCCCAGGATTAGACGATATTCCAAACGAGGTTTTGCGATTGATAGTTCTCAGGAACCCTCAGATGCTGCTAAATGTTTTTAACAAATGTCTAGCTGAAGGAATCTTCCCAACCAGGTGGAAGAGACAAAAGCTGGTACTGATACCGAAGGGGGAAACAAGCTCTGCCGCGGATCCTTCAACGTACAGACCATTGGGAATGATAGATACAACGGGGAAGCTGCTCGAAAGACTCATTCTCAACAGAATGGAGATATGGATCGCAGGAGAAGAAAGCGAGGGGATTTCTCCAAACCAGTTCGGATTTCGGAAGGGAGTGTCTACCCACCATGCACTACAGAAAGTACAGGATCGGGTATCAGAAGCCCTCTACAAATTGCCAGATCGAGGGGGGTACTGTGCTATAATAGCCCTGGACGTCAAGAATGCGTTTAACTCTGCTAGCTGGGAGCGAATATACCAATCTCTCGAAAAAGAGAAAAAGATGCCGTATTATATGCTGAAGATGTTGGATAGTTACCTGAAGGATAGAACACTAGTTATAATTGCCGAAAACGGCAGAATAACTATCGACCTGACAGCGGGAGTGCCGCAGGGATCAATAAAGGGACCCTTCCTGTGGATCTGTATGTACGACGGATTGCTGAGACTGAAACTACCTAATGGAGCATCGTTAGTTGGGTTTGCTGATGACTTGGCATTGTTGGTGGTAGCAGAAATGGTAGAGCAGGTGGAGGCCATTGCAAATGAAGCCCTGGAGCTGATCGCTGAGTGGCTAGCTAGCAGGCTGTTACAGCTAACGGTTCGGAAATGTGAAGCTATCTTAGTGACGCGGAGAAGAAAGTTCAACCCTCCCCAGTTTATAATAAATGGAGAAATTATTCCTTTAAAGAGTGAAATAAAATACCTAGGAGTATGGCTAGATAACAAGTGGTCTTTTAAACACCATGTCAAGCAGGCAGCAACGAAAGCATCGATGGCTTGCACATCACTTATGAGGATCATGCCTAATATAGGAGGCCCATGGCCAACACGTAGAAAATTACTGTCAACAGTGGTGGACTCCATCCAACTGTATGGCGCCTCTACGTGGGCAGCACGGGCCTTGCCAGCGGATGTAGACAGACATATGGGATCGGTTCAGCGTAAGACGAACCTACGCATTATCAGCGCATGGCGGTCGGTCTCAAGGGACGCAGCGAATGTATTGGCAGGAGTACCTCCAGTGAGACTGTTAGCCATAGAAAGAGAAGAGATCTGGAAGAGCGAAGAGGAACAACGGCAGCGACAAGGAGACCTCTCTGAGGAAGAGAGGAATCGTATACGAAGAGAAGCGCGAGAAACACTTTTGATAAGATGGCAACAGAATTGGGAGGCAACAAAAGACGGAAGATGGACCTACGAGCTCATTCCAAGACTAAGAGAATGGGTACTCAGAGGACACGGAGTGGTTGACTATTACCTCACCCAGGCACTGAGTGGACATGGATCCTTGGAGTCTACCGGGCCAAGAGAGGGTTTCGTCTAGACAGCAAATGTGCTTTTTGCGGAGTAGAGAAGGACGACGCAGAGCACACACTATTTGAGTGCCCTGCAAACGAACCTGAGAGACAAAGACTGATAGTAGAACTAGGATTGACTCGGATAACGAAGGACAACCTGATACTGACCATGTTGACGACGCGAGAGAGATGGGACCATATAGCTACCTTTATTAGGGGAGCTATGAAGACCAAAGAAGAAAAGGAGAGAGAAACGCGAGGAAGAGACTGAAGAGATTACAAGACTGATGGGCTGAGAATCACAGCAAACGAAGAGGGATCCTTCGGAATCAGAACAGGCCCCACCGAAGTAATACTGAAAAGGAGTACCGGTGGGTGCTAGAAGTCGACAGGGGAATTTCGTGTTGCGGCTATGCGTTATAACATGGCCGTAGGACGAAGGGTTTTTAGTCGGTATACCACATATTGGAGACTCCGACACAAGACGGCACATTGGTGCCGAGGTCGTTTCGACGGCTTCGTCAACAATGGCCGTCTGGTCATTAAAAGATTTTTACCCAACCCCTTATAAAAAAAAAAAAAAACATACATACGTACATACGTACATACGTACATACGTACATACGTACATACGTACATACGTACATACGTACATATACATGTAGCAGCCATCCGTCGTATAGCTTAAAATCCTCACGTGCGTGCGGCACTCACGCTTCTTTGACGTCATCAGGCGGACGTCGCTTCACTATACATCAACATCATACATATATCCATCAAAAGATATTATAAAAACAGAAAAATGGATACAATGGTCATTTTAGAAGTATCACCCTTTAAAAACGAATGATCTTATTGAAAATACGACGTACACACGTCATAGTCGCGCAACAATAAAAAAGAAAAAAGACATCTATTTCCATCGCCTAATTCTCTTCAGATTACAGATAAAAAAAACAACACGACTGCACGTTTTGTTGACCCATTCCACTTACCATACCAGTCTAAATAATGTATGACAAAAGTACATAAGAAAACAACATGTATATATGTGCTAAAGCTAGAGATTGAGAAAAAGAAAGAGTGAAGGTGTCTCTATACGCATGTACGAATAGGTCATCGTATACGATATTTAATTGGCATGTTTCCGATTCCATATAGTGTAACCGTGCGACGTAGTCAAGTGAGGCTACAATGTAGTAAGCTTGCATCATGCCATCCACGTGGTCGCACTTCTGCCGCCGCACGTTATACAGTAAACTATACATAAGAAAGAGAGAGAAAGAGAACTAATGCTGTGAGTACATATATATATAGAAAAAGCAGGAAAAAGAACTGTTTGCGACACGTATATTTGTAGTAACGGCCGTAGCTGCACGCTGCACACGTTGCACAGTACTAACATAACTATATATTAGTGTCCCGTGAATTGTCGAGGCAAATATACACAACATACGAAGTCACCATGTGCGGCATCTGGGCTCTCTTTGGTCTTGACACCAATTCGCTTACCTGTATATGTGATAACTTCGCCAAAATTTCGCATCGTGGGCCCGATGCATTCAAGATCGAACATGACAGTCGTGTCAAGGTATGCGAATTTAATTGTTTATTATTTTTCGATATTCAGTGCACAGGGATTCGACTTTACGCATGTCCAACAAATCGAGCATGCTTAAAATCTCGTTTCACACACGTGGTATCGAAAAATAAAGTCAGAAACATTTGTAGCAAAGTGATTTCAGTCTTGTTGCGCTCGAGTGCAAACGTCGACATAAGGCTTTTATATTTTATCACATTAGTATCAAAATCTACTATTATTTGAACTCAAGAGTCTGCAAAAAGAAATGATTTGTCACGTTTTTTTGTAGAACTCTTACCTGGGATTTCATCGACTATCCATCGTAGATAGTTTGTGTGGTATGCAACCTATTCGGGTATTCAAATATCCATTGCTTTACTTGCTCTGTAACGGCGAAATTTACAACTGTAAACGGGTGTGTATTAATGGCTGTGCAACAATTTTTTACTTAGCTTTTATGTGCGTATTAATCAACAATTCAAATTTAGGTGAAGGAAGAGTATAACTTTGAATATTCAACAAAATGTGATGTTGAAGTATTAATACACCTGTATGCCTCCCAAGGTTTGGACAGTGTGTGTAAAAATTTGGATGGAGTTTTTGCCTTCTGTCTGCTGGATATGGAAAAAAAAAAAATTTTAATTGGCAGAGATCCATATGGAGTGAGACCTCTTTTTAGACTTGCCACCAAAGATGGACAGTTAGCTGTTTGCTCTGAAAGTAAAGTAAGTTTTACTTTTATTTTGTATTTGCTTTCAATCCAAATTTCGCTCCAATAATTGTTGGTTGTGCCGATTGAAATGTTTAGGGATTGGTTGGTATTGCTAAAATACTAAAGGGAGACTATGTGGTTGAACCATTCCCACCTGGTACATATGAAGAGTACAATCTTTTAGATAATGGACAGGTCAAGTTTGTTAGGGCTAAAAGGTTTCATGAACCTGGACAGAAACCTAGTTTTCTTCCTTTGGTACCCTGGAAAGGTATTTTTTTTAATCTTGAAATTTTTGCTACTCGTATAAAAAATACTGCTGAATATTGATTAAAAAACTTTTTATAGATCTAAGTTCAAAGGACATTGAAGGAAATATTCGGAAGCTATTTGAAGCTGCTATTGAAAAACGTTTGATGGCTGACAGGAGAATAGGCTGTTTATTATCAGGTGGTTTGGATTCAAGTTTAGTAGCTGCACTTCTTGTTAAGTATGCTAAACTATACAATTTCAAGTACAAAGTTCAAAGTTTCTCTATTGGTATGGAAGGCAGTCCTGATACCTTAGCAGCCAGACAGGTAAATGTAGATCAATTAAGTCACAATTTATCATATTTTATTGAAAACAAATAGATGTCAATGATGTACAACTTTTAGGTTGCTGATCACATTGGTACTGATCATCATGAAATAATTATCACAGAAAAAGATATAAAAGATGTTCTTGATGATGTGATTTATCACCTTGAAACTTTTGATATTACAACAGTTCGAGCTTCAATTGGGTAATCTTTTTTTTTTATCATAATGAATTATTATAAGCTATATTTTAAAAAGATTTTTTTGTATATAGAATGTACTTGCTTGCAAGATATATTCAAAAGAATACAGACACAACTGTGATATTTAGTGGAGAGGGTGCTGATGAGTTAGCACAAGGCTACATTTATTTCAAAGATGCCCCAAATGCATTTGACGGCCACACAGAATCTCTGAGATTATTAAAAGATATTTACCTTTATGACGGTCTGCGAGCTGATAGAACGACTAGTGCATTTAGTTTAGAATTAAGAGTGCCCTTTTTAGATCTGCAATTTACAAACTATTATCTATCTCTCGATCCGTCTCTTAGACAACCAAAAGGTAGGTGGCGATTTTTAAAATTAAATATTAAACGAGAAATCATTTTCTCACAATCCCGATTTCACTTCTAGATGGCGTGGAAAAACATTTGCTTAGATCCTCGTTTGACGGAACTGGTTTATTGCCGACAAACATTTTATGGCGTGAAAAGGAAGCATTTAGCGACGGCGTGACTTCTGTTAAAAAGTCGCTCTTCCAAATCATCGGCGAAATCGTAAAAGATCGCGTCAACGACGAAGAATTAGAAACTGTCTTGGAGAAATATCATCACTGCCCTCCAAAAACTAAAGAATCTTATTACTACAGGTAATGTATAAATTTTAACTATTTAGCAATATTTTTACTGAACGATTGATTTGTAAGCGAAACCGGAATAATGTGTTGTAGGAAAGTTTTTGAATCGCATTACGACGGTTGTGCAGAACACTTCGTTCCTTACTTCTGGATGCCAAAGTGGGTGAAGGGCGTTACAGATCCTTCGGCTCGTTTTATCTCGCATTATAAAAACAAAGAGTAATTGAATATGGAACATATTTACATATATTTTTTTACATCTATTAAAAATGTTCAATAAATCGTCACAAAATAATTAATTAAAAAAATGTCTTTTTTTTTAAAAAAAAAGTAACAAAACAAATTATCAAAGTATAATTAGAATAAAGAATGTTAATTTGAAGTGTAAAAAAATAAAATGTACCCCTGGTGGGACTCGAACCCACAATCCCCGGTTTAGGAGACCGATGCCTTATCCATTAGGCCACAGGGGCTGTAGCGTATGATTTGCTTATTACGCCACAACAGCCAAGCGTTTTCTGAATGCTTCTTTTTATTTTTTTATCAAACTTTATTTTCAAACTACAAGTCTTGTATAAATTTTCAGTTAATAATTGTAACAGATGAAGACATTTCATCAATGAACATTATTTTTATTGACTTAAATTCTAATTTCTAATTAATTCTTAATTCTAATTTCTTCTACGGAAAATTGGATATATAGTATTAATAACTTTTATTATAAGTGCAATAATAACGACGTAGCGCGAGTGTTACACCGCACGCATACATGTCTATGCTTTAGCACACACAATTTTAAAAAGAAATATCCGCGTAAAGAGAACCACGTGACTGTCTTAGCTTATTGAGAGTTCCTTAGCTCGTCACGTGTGCACGTGCATTTTTTTTTTATCCGTTAAGTATTTTATATTACGATTATTCGATATACTATTCTGCATTTCCTGTAGTCTAAACAAATAAGCTAATCGAATATTGATTAACTTTTATCGTTAATCAGCAACTTCGGTGATATAATACTATCGCTTGTTTTACTTCTCATCGCGTTATCGCAACTTCGTCGTATACGTATATATGATAATTTGGTGTTGATTCAGTTTGGCGATGATAAGCGCGCCAGTAATTAAAATCATTTATTTTTCGAGGCTAACGCAATTTCAACTTATGAATTAGAGAAAACGCATTCGAAATAAAACAATTATTATAGCTTTTTTTATAATTTTTAGTAATTACTTCCACCATAGTTTCGTTACTTAATGCTTTGTATTATTACATCTTTTGATGAATCAAGAAAAAATAAAAAGAGAATCCAAAGCGAACATAACATCACTCTATGAACACTCGTTCACATTTCCATAAAAATACAATTGATTGCAGATATCAGTATATATATCTTTGTAATAATGTGTGTGAGTGTCTGGTACTTTGTCGTTTTACTTATCAAAGCCACGCATAAAATTACCTGTAGCAATATTCAATATCGATTTACACAATATGTAAGCGGGAAAAAGTTGAATATATGTACTATTAGCGTTATAATTACATACATACATATACGGTTTGTACGTACGTCGCACTTTTCGTTAATTGCATCAGGAATCAGGATAGCTTCAAATAATTCATCCTCTGCTGCAATATCACCATGTATAAAAACAAGTATACGAAGCGTATATTATGTAAGTACATACAACCGTACAATTAGCTCTTAAACTTTTTTGTTTTATATTAACATTCGTTCAAAATCAGTGTAGTGTTTGTGTTCATCACTTTTACGTATAATAAGAAATTTCTAAATCAATTAGATGTTATAACTTTCAAAAATTTAAATTCTTGAATAATAATAAAGATAGATGTTTGACACATTAAAAATTACAATTTAATTAATACATCGGTATAAAACTAACAATTTAAATTCAAATTTTGCCACCTCATTATTCTGAAAAAATGGCAACACCGCACTACAGTAGTTTTAAATCGCGCGCGACAATTGCGCGGGAAACCAACGCGGCAACGTCGTCGAATACGCGCGCTTTTTCCGTTGCATTCTCTCCAAACTGCCGCGTCGTAAATACATCGCAGAAGTCCGTTGTCCATAGTTGTTTGTCGTCGTGCTCAAAAACATAAACGTATTTCTTCTGTGCCACGGCAAAAGAGAATCTCGTAACCGTCGATTGTCGTTCGCACGGCACCTACAAGAGTTACTCGGTGAATCGTTCGAGCAGTCTGAAAACACGGCTACGAAAACGAGAAGCCAGTCGTCAAAGATGTCACAACCATCCGTAGCCTCGTACTTTACTACGAGGAAGCGGCGGGCCAGCGAGGAACTCAGGGCCAAATCGAAGGTTCTAATCCTCGACGACAATGGTAGAAAGGAAGTAATGCCTATCATCCCTGAAGGACAAATTACTAAGGTTGAGCAGATTCCAGCTAAAAGTATGGTAGGTGCTTGTTCATCTTTGTTGTTTTTTCATTTGGTTAGGGTGCATACCTGCAGGAGCTCTTTTTCTGTTGGACATTTAAAAAGGGCTTCTGCTTCGATTTGTCGTTTCTTCACTTCGGTTACGAATCGAAATATCATTTCGATTTATTTATTATTCATTACATAATTTCTTCGTTTCATTTTGTTGTCATTACATCTACTTATCACTATTCGATATTGCTCTTACATTATTTATTTGAATATTATTAAATATTGAGGAGCGTAATCGATACATGTTGAACATGGCTTTTCGTTCTGTTTAATAACAAAAATTAAATTAGTTTTTTATTGATAAAACAATCGGGAAATAAATAATAAATATAAATAGAATACCTTTGTATTTAAAAGTTATTTTGCTAAAACCAAGCAAAAATATGCATTTACCTTGATATGTGGTCTTCATAAAATAGTTTCACACTTTGCTTTTTGGCACTGTTACACTTGATTAAAAATTTAATTTCAGAACTGTAACAATAAATAATATAATTCTGCTTCACTTTCTAACACTAAACGAATTTATGTCCTTGAACATTGTTAATTTTTTTTTAAACCTAAAGTTTGTAGAGAATTCAAAAAATTAATATTTAGGTCAGTATTTCAAAAATATGACAGATACACATGCAATGAAATAAGCAAAGTAATGACACACTTGTCACCAATATTACACTCAAATTTTCGCTTGCATAACGCTTTTGCCGAAGTATTGCAAAATTGAAACATTATGTAAACATTTTTTTCATAACAAGTTGCAATACCAACTTTTTCTCTCTAACAGGATATTTGATGGATACCCACGTTTCATGAAATGTTTTGATAATCACTTCCATGTTTTCAGACAAAGGTGCCGATAAAGAAAGAGATGGTCGTGCGAAACTTACAATTCGACTTGTGCAACAACAAAACTACGAAGCCAATAACCAGCAAACCACGAGCAACGCGAACGCGCAAAGTCGTCGAAGATACTCGTCAACCGGATATACGCGAAACTCTACTTAAAGTCAACAAAGAAATTGAAGAAAACAAGAACGTGGTATTTCAAAAACTTGGCTCTCTTAGCCCGAAAAAAATTCAAAAACGTGTCACAAGAGCCACAAAATCCAAACCGATAATCGAACCCAATTTTGTCAGCGAGCCAACAATCTGTAAAACTCCCACGAAGTCATTGCCAATGAAAACAATGAGTCTCGATGAAGTCAAGACAAAAATCACTTGTAGTTCAAGACTCGCAGAGTTACGAGCGAGGATCAATAAATTCAAAAACTGCGAGGGCAAACTAGAAAAACTCGAAAATAAGTTGCAGGAAAAGAGACTCGAGTCAAAGGCAAATGAAAATCGAATAAAGATCAAAGAATTCGAGCGGATTGAACTTGAGATACCAGTTAGCCCGCAAAAGACACCCAGAAAATTCACAACTCCTACTAAAACTATTCATCTCTCACCAAAAGCCAGTCCCGCAAGAAGATTGCTATTCGAGCCTAAAGAAGTACCAGCCAGTCCAGTTAAGAGTAGTCCTACGAAGGTACCGGCTTATCAGAAATACCAGTCGCTCGTCGATATTGAAGGCAAAGCTTTGCCTCTGCCCTACAAGTATAGATTTCTGGTGGAGGTCTTTAGAAGCGTTGATACCGTTGCCGCGATACTCTACAATCGTAGAGAAATTATTACTTTTGCCAAACTCAAGCCTGCTGTACAGGAACTTATGCGGCGTAATTTTACAGTCGAACACCTAGCACAGGTACGTTATTGATTTTTTGAAAGGCGTGACTCTTTTATTGTATGCCTCTCGATTTAATTCCATTATTTATTGCTTAGTGGCTTCTTATTTTTATTATACATTTTAATAATTCTTTTGCTTATTTATTTATTAGATCAAGAGTGTATACCCACAGGCTTACACCTTCACACAAGAGAAGTTACGTAGCTTTGGCACAGGTGCACCGGACAGATACGAGCTAGTTATCACGCCCATGATCGTGAACAATCAAGAACATAGCGGTCGTAATACTCCTGACGAGGACAACGTTCTCAAATCCGCCCTAGAAACAAACATGAGCCCAAGTGTTTTACTCGATCGCAGGCGGAAATTATACAACATCTTACTGTCGATTGTCAAAGAAGAGCACGAGAAGTTCCTACTTGATCTTGATCCGCCTATGAGAATATCCAAGGAGATGATTACGCGATGGCATCCAGAATTTGATGTTGAAAGCTGTCGTGAGATCGAGAGAGCTAAATTGCCACAACCTCCTGTTCAAGAAAAAGCCAGCACGGCTAAAGAGGTACTTGAAAAGGCTAATAAGATGCTGAACGGTAATTCCAGAATGATGAAGGCTGTCGAGATGCTGGCCGGCGGACAGACTCAAACGGTAGCCAATGTTGCGCAAACGACAGGTAATCAAATGTTTATAATAATAAAATATTGTTGTTTATTTTACTAGATTGAGTAAAATCTAGTTGATTAGCTCGAAAAGAAATGTCTTTATTGATTTCATATTTTTTTGATTACCATGTTATGAGATTACATGTCAAGTAGAAATTAAATTTTATATGAATATTTTGCAAAAATTCTTTTTCATTCGCATCGTAACAAATATGTTTAGTTCAAATAACATTAACGCACATCACTCTGTCGTCTAATTTTATTCGTTCTTAGAATTGTTGAAATGCAATATCGTAAAGATGCTATTGTCAAATAAATATCTCAACAAAGTCACGTTATCCGCGTTACGTTATCTAATTCATCAAAATAATTCATACATAGGTACAACAGAACAAGCAGGCAAGATGCCATATAACGTAGAAATTTCAATTGTGGATACACCACCAGCAACTCCTCAAACTCAAAAACCAACCTGTACGCCGCTTCTCAATGGCATTCCTATGTCACTCTTGGAAAAAATTCGTGTAAAACAAGCACAAAAAGCATTAGAAATGATGACGAGGTCGACAGAAGCAAACAAAGATGCAGTGATGTATGCAAGACTACCGGAAATGGCGAAGATTGTCCGCAACATCTTCGTTGGAGAGAAGAAAAATGTGTTATTACTCGAGCACGTAGTGAAAAAACTTGACGATTCGTATCGTACTAAACTTACTCCTATAGAGCTCGAGCAACACATTAAGTTACTTTGCAAATTATTACCTCTTTGGGCGACGTTACATGTGGTCAGAAAAATCGATTACCTTAAATTGGCCAAGGACTTTGATATGACCAAAGTTATCAAAAGACTGGAGGTTCTGGCGAATGAAAAGGCTTGATAGATCGAAATTAATGTTAGTTTTTAAGTTTAGAATTCTAATGCAAAATCTTAAGTGATTTGCTTAAACCGAACTGAAATATTATATTGAGTAAACTTATTTGGAGTTGTAGTGTGTTAAATCGAATTTTGTTAGTTTTCGTCGCATTGTTTTTCACACAAATCTGAAACGTGGAATTCCTTTTGTTGAATTTCAGTTGTACATTGGAAGCATAAATTTCGTATTGCAAATGAAAGTACGTTATGATTGATATTTCATGGTTATTGAATAATACTGCGATGAAAATACTTTGATAAAGACATTACAAGATAATCTAGAATCTTATTTTTAAACGAAACTCATTGTATAAAACTTTTTGCATGGTACAAAGTTCGATAATATATCTTTCTATGTAATATGAAAAAAAATTTTATGTTTACGTTAACGTACTTTTTTTACATTGTAATGCGTATCGTTGTACTATGAATGCCGGGAAACAATTTTTTTGACAGCTTTAGAAGCAATATATCCGATTTATTTATTTATTTTTTCTGAAAAGCATGAGGTGACGCATATATATTATTTTGTTGTGAGCAATATACAATAAATAATGATTGATTTTGTACTAAATTTGTTGATAATATACAACAAAAAATAAATATAAGAAAATTGATGTATATAAAATTCATATTTTTTATTGCAAAGAATATTAAAAAGTTTTAACAATTAATTCTTGCAGCATACATATATATACACATAGTATAAATAATTTCTTAATTATAATACGACATTGTTTGTTAATTGATCATGCTGACTGTTACGTCAAGTGATTATTTGATTGCTGTAAGACGTATATGGTTGAAGAAAATCGTTTCTGCCACTCTTCCAATGTTGCTCCATAAACAGTTTTATCATTAAAGATTTTGGAAACTATGTCGCGCATGGTTTGATTGGTCCTAAAAAACAAACAAATCATAAATGGACTTTAAGAATAAAGACTAAAGTTTTCAATTAAACAACTTGCGTACACATTCATGTATTAAAGACCTTTGAATCACTTACCAAGTTTTAAGGACCTGTTCAAACTCTTCACTGTGTTGTAAAGTTCTTTGATAATTTACATGCGTTAACTTTAACATTTCAAGAATACATTGGTAAGGAACATTACTAATAACAGTCGGAGGATCCACTGGAGATTCCGGCGTATTGTCGAAAATATCTATGGCTCCTTCGCTAATTCGCTTACTTAGCGATACATTAGCAAGATAAGTCTTGTAAAAATCTATTAAATAATAAACAGGGACTCGCAACATTGGGAAGTTCGACACGCTCATTCCACAACGAATATCTACAACTATGGAGGCTCTATTTAGACACGTTTGTAAATGTTTGTAAGCACCAGTTTCTCCCTTCAACATTATTTTTCGCAAAGTATCAAAGTTGATATCATTGAAAATCTCCAACTCGTTACTGATATCAATGCCGAGCCATTCATGTTTTATTCCTGTTTGTATTAACTTAAATTTTTTCACTTCACTTAAAAGGGATTCTTTTTTCTTCAGTATCGAGATACCTGATAACTTGAGATGTTCAAAAGCATTTTGTACTTTTTCAATGCATTCAGCCTGCAAAATATTACATGTAATTTATAAACGTGTATTATAGTGAGAATATTATAAGATTAATTTTCATGTACCATTTCATTATCGACATTTTTTATTTCATTCACTAACTGTGTCAAAGTGTCATCAATACAAAAATCTTTTTCTAGCACTTGATCTCGATGTATTTCCAATTCTCTCTCAAGATCACTTTTTAAAATTTCTAGTTTTTTTACTTCTAATGCCAATGGTAACCAATCAGTCAAATCTGGCCTTAATTCTTCAATTATTTCCTGAAATACAGATATTAAAAACGATTTACCAGTCTATGCACATATTTTGAGTCAATGATATAAAATTTTTTAAATTTACTTCAATCCTTTCTACATAGTCCATAGTAATTTCTTCATTGCTTTTCATCCTGCCAGCATATATGTGACGATTCGCAACATTACTAATGTGTTCGCTGCATACTTCAGCTATACCTCTATCTATATTAGCTACATTTTCAGCTTTTATACAATTTTCCTCAATATCCAAATGAATAAGTAAGTCAGTATAATATGTTCTCAGAGCTAGAATAGCATTAAATAGCACAGGTATTTTTATTGGTCCTAGTAACTCTGAAATAGTATTCCAAATCTGTAAACAAATTTTGTTTGATATAACAGCCAGTGAAACACTATAAAGTTAACAAAATAATGCGTATAAAAAAATACTTTTCTTTTTTCAGGTCCACCAGAATAATTGCTAACAAATGATAAACATTCAATAAGAGTATGCTGTGATATGTTATCAACAGTTGGTGGCATTAAATTCTTACAAATATCTTTCATTTTTACACAATTTTGTATTTCCATGGACATTTGTTTAATCTTTATCTTAAAAATTTCTTTTTTTATTTCTAAATTCTGCCTTTCTTCTTTCTTTTTCTCCAACAAATTTGCTGTCCCAAAAAATAATGATTATAATTAAATTTGAAATCTATTTAGCTATTTAAAAAAATGTATTATACCTTTTTGTCGACATAAATACTCTTGTTTTTGCCATTTTTCCTGTGCAATTTTTATCTTTTCATTAAGCTTTTCCCTTTCATCTTTCAAATGAATTACATTTCTAACACTTTGAATTAATGGATCTTTCGGTTCTTTCCTAATTTTGTAATGTAAAATATTTTTTCTTGTCTCTACCACTTCATAATAAGGTCTTACGGTTTTTGATAAATCCTCCCATAACAGCCCTAATACTCCTCTTTGAAGCCTGTTATTCAATTACAATTAAAAATGTTGCATTGAAAATTTATGTTACATCTAATAAAAGTTAAAATTACGTGTTCATCACAAGAATTGAAGTACATGTTTTCGGACACTCGATTTTCTCTAGCCATTCATTGAAATCAGTCACATCAGCCATATTTGTATTTGATACAAGTTATATCTATTATTCATCCTAAAATAAAAGAAGTTTCTGATAAAAATTAAAGAAAGCAAAAATTCATACTATTATTTATCAAAGTTTAGATAAAATTGTTCTTATGATGTGTCACTTTATTTGAAATTACATGAATATAACAACGACAACAACAAAAAAGCCAAATTAAAAGAAAACACTACCGAATATAAACACTTTCTTTTCTGGAGATTTAGCGATTGTCCAATCAAATAAAATGATGTACAACTTTTTTAATTGTAATTGTTAATGAATTATTATGAATACATTCCAAAAAATAATAAAAATAACAGTTACACTACCATATATATGTATAAATACAAAATTTAATTCCTACTCTTGTGTTTTAGTAATGTATCATATGGAAAATAAAAACGTTTTTAAAACAAACACACACTTTCATTACATAGGTATTGCGATTATTAGACTTTTTTTATAAACGATAAAAGTAGTGTATGGTTAACGGATGTAAAATTCAAACTTCAAACACAATTAAGGCAACTAAACTAAATCATGTGAAGTTGGCGACTTTTCAATTAGTTCTGTGAATGCACTTTAGGGTCTGTCTCCATAGGGCCTGCCTGAGCACGTCCGAGCCGGCCGAGATTTTTTATGGGCACGCCATCTCTATAATTTCGTGTTCATGCGTTTCTCGTATTGGCTGCGTCCGATCGGGCTCGTTTATGTAAACGCAGCCATTCACTATGAAACTCGCCATTGGATACGCAATTATAGAGATGGCGTGCCCATAAAAAATCTCGGCCGGCTCGGACGGACTCAGGCAGGCCCTATGGAGACAGACCCTTATGGTCGCGTTTGATTTAACCGTCATAGAATGTTTATGACATATCACATATGGAAAGAGACGTCAATTCTGACACTTATCAGACAAGACCATAGTGCGCTGATTTATATAGGGACTTTGATGGAACGCGTATTTTGAAATAAAGAAAATAAATAATAAAACTCGTCACTAAAACAATTAATTGCTATATATGAATTTTATTAATATTAATATTAATTACAATATGAAAAATAAAAGGTATGTAATATTATCCACGGATTTTGTATGGCAGCACAATTAAATAAAAATTAATTTCTGTTGAGCGAAAATCGACACCCGATATTGGATAGGATATAATTATTCATAGTTACAAAGACTTTAATGCATAATATATAAACTGTATTTAATAGCTTACGGAATAAATTTTTTATGTTCATTGATTTTAGAAAAAATACCGTCTAATTGTATAAGACGTAAAACAAATTGCAATTGGAGTTCAAATTTTGTCCTCAAATATTTGCACAAAAAATATATTTTACTATATCTGCAGGAATGTTTCATGTTCGCGGAATCTAGTGGAATAATTTCTAGGGACCTGAAGAACAATGTTTCGATTAGTAACGATTGCCTACAGTGACGTCACACACGAAAATGTACAGGAAGACGAGAGTAATTACCAAAATTAAACTTACTTTGTAAAATTGTTTTCACGCTTACGTTATCGACTTACGTTATGGCTACTTTAAGACCTTTTACCTGCAATGATTTATTCAAATTCAATAACGTGTAAGTACATCGAAACACTTTATTATACATTCAAGCTTTTTCAGCACTTTTTCTTTAACCTCATTTAAATTAGTAATTAAAATTGTATATTTATTACAGTAACTTAGATCCTCTTACAGAGACAGTATCCTTTACAATTCGTTATTTATTCAATTAATTATTATTACGATTATTTTATTTGTAGAAGAATAATGTTATTGAAAAATCATTGTAATTACTAGTTACTAGCATCAGGAGTGTCTCTGTATTTACTTAACAACAAATAGTATGGATTATCATTTTATATGCAATATTTAGCTCATTGGCCTGAATATTTCCAAGTGGCTGAGTCTCCAAGTGGCGAAATTATGGGCTATAGTAAGACCATCCTATTTAGGTTTTCATGAAAATTTTAACAGTGAATTAACAAACTCTTTAATTAAAAATAGTTATGGGGAAAGCAGAAGGAGCTGGTGAAAACTGGCATGGTCATGTCACTGCTCTTACTGTTGCTCCTGATTATAGAAGACTGGGCTTGGCTGCAACACTTATGACATTTTTGGAGGATGTTTCAGAAAAGTATTTATCTTTATACAATTTCAGATTAAAATTAGTTTTTATCCATCACAGTATATCATTATGCACCATTCAATTTTTTTCAGGAAGCAAGCCTACTTTGTAGATCTTTTTGTTAGAGTTAGTAACAAAGTAGCCATAAGAATGTACCAACAATTGGGTTACATAATTTATCGGACTGTTTTAGAATATTATAGTGGTGATCCAGATGAAGATGCTTATGGTAAAATCATATTACATTTATATCCTTAAAAGTTATAAGATCAAAATCATAATTTCTACTTTTTTTTAGATATGAGAAAAGCATTATCAAAAGATGTAAAAAGAAAGTCTATGATTCCCTTAGCACATCCTGTGCGACCAGAAGAAGTAGACTAAGAATGCTATAAATAATTTTTATTTATTTAATATAACATGAAAATGAGACATGATCATAAATGACATTTTACTATTATTCTATTTTGTATGTATGAATCAATGACTATGTATGAACATTATGGCTCCATACCTCGCATTATGTATAAGCCAGATGCAACATATACATCATATATTTAGACTATATATTTATACAATTCGTACATTAATATTGAAAATAAAATATTAAAATCATTTTATACTCTTAAATAAAGACTAATTTCATTCATCAACCTTGAATATGAAAATAAAATTTGTATGAAACAAAATTAAATTACATGTAAGCGTCAATAGACATATTTGTACATAGTTATACTATGAATTTTATATAACATATACTAGAATTTGAACAGCGTGCACCAACCTTCATTTTTTATTGTCCATAGATGAACCTGCTTGTGATTAAAAATATTTCTTTGTATATTATACTTGTTTTATTAAAAGTTTGACCTTGCCACTTTATTTATTGTAATCGCAAAGGCTAATTTAATTAGAAACTAACTCTATTTGAAAGTGAGAGAAAATATGTCTTCACAATATAAAGTTATACGAAAAAGAAGTGTCCACTCCACTTTTTAAAAGCAAACAACATCTAGCTATCTCACAATTGTCAGGACTTTTGTCAAAGATTACAATAATACAATAATGCAAAGGAATATATATAGCTGCTCAATTTTCTGCTTTCTAACAATAATGAGAGTTAAAGAAATAGCATTTTTCTTAAAACTTTTAATTAATTTTTAAAATAAAATATAATTCATGTACATGGAAATAATTTGAATTTCATATATTTATATTTAAACGAAAACAGAAATTAGCATAATTTTGATGAAATATTTTTAAATTAGATTAAGTTAAATAACATTAGATTCAAATAGAATTTTGCACATTGCATGAACTAATCAGATAGCGTTTATTTTGGGTTCAGAACATCCAGTCATGACTGTTTTATAAAGGGAATATATATATATATATATATATATATATATATAAATTGTCATCCCATATTAGGTCGGTAAAACAGCTCTTTAGCAGCGTTGCTATTTAATTATGTGTGTTTGTGTGTGTGCGTGCGTTCATCTCTCTGACTCAGCTGGTGTGGACACGATATATGGAAAGAAGCGCAGTGCAGCCGCAGCGGGCAGACGGTGACCTGACGGTGATCAAAGCAAGATGGCACGTCAGCAGAACGACGTCGACGAGCTTTTCGACGTGAAAAATAACTTTTACATCGGAAATTATCAACAATGCATTAACGAGGCACAAAAAGTCAAAGTAAGTTGCTATAAGGACCTTGAGAAATATACGTGGTTACTTATCCGGTTTGCGTAGACTTTGTGGTTTCGACACATGCTTCTTTTTTGTTGTTTATGAATTGCTTTATCTGATATTCTTGTTTAACAATTCATGACTTTACAATGTTAGACTTATGTATTCATAATGATATTGTTATTAAATTTTTGAATGAGTGGGTATCGTTTCTGAAATATAGGTTAAGACAGGGAAGTGTTTATTTGCTGCTATTAATTGAATGGTAATCAATTATTAATATTTGAAAAAATTTATTAAAAAAGTATAAACTTATTATTATTAAAAAAGTTTTATTTTATATAGCTATTACTTTTATTAACTCTGCTAATTATATTGAATAATAGTTTCTAAAGAATAAAATGTGTTGTTGCATTACTATTTTGGTGAAAATTGCTACTTTAAGTGGATTATTATATAATTTCAATTACATTGTTTATTAGACTACATTAAACAAGTGAGATATTTATTAACTCATGAGTACTATTGTTAGCTTCTTGATCATTTTTAAATGAAGTCTTCATAAATAAATTTATTTGATAAGTTTATATATTCAAATGATATGCTAATTACTAATTAATTAATTATTCATTATTTTATAGGTTTCTTCACCAGATCTTGAGGTAGAACGAGATGTCTTTTTCTATCGTGCATATATTGCCCAGCGTAAATTTAGAATAGTATTAGATGAAATCAAGGACAATGCTCCACCAGAAATATTACCATTAAAGTTGTTGGCAGAGTACTTTGCTTATCCAGACAAAAGAGGAAAGATATTGTCAGAGATTGACAAATCTGTAGCTGATGTAACACCTAAAACTCATAATTTCAAGATTATTGCAGCTACAATTTACTTTCATGAAAATAATGTGGACAATGCTCTAAGAGTATTACATGAATCTGAGAACATTGAATGTTCTGCATTGAGTGTACAAATTTACTTGAAAATGGATCGTCTTGATTTAGCTACCAAAGAAGTTAAACTCATGCAAGAGAGAGATGATGATGCTACTCTGACACAACTGGCTTTAGCTTGGGTTAATCTGGCTACTGGAAAAGAAAAGTATCAGGAAGCTTTTTACATTTTCCAAGTAAGCTTTTATTAATAAAAATAGTTTTTGTATTCTACAGAAAATGCTAATAAAAAACTCTTATTCAAGGAAATGATTGAGAAGTATTCAGCTACCACAATGTTATTGAATGGAAAAGCAACTAGTTTAATTTTACAGCAGAAGTACGAAGAAGCTGAAGCTGTGCTTCAGGATTCCTTAGAGAAAGATAGTAATAATCCAGATACCCTAATTAATATGATTGTCTTGGCACAACACATGGGCAAACCGGAAGAAGTCGCAAATCGTTATCTGACTCAGTTAAAAGATTCTCATATGGAGCATCCATTTGTTAAAGAATATTTGCAAAAGGAAATTGAATTTGATAGGCTAACTGCTGAATTTGAAGCAAGTCTTCAAGCTTAATGCATTAAAAGTTACTATAAACAACTGATAAATTATATTTGAGAGGATATAACTATTGCTTAGTTTAATTTTCATTTTTAATCATTTCTTATGAAATTTTGGTTGCTTGGAAAGAAAATATTAATCAATTAGATGTATTTATTAATACCTCTCGAATATATTATCGTTGCTATTGACAAAAAGTTGTTTATAGAGAAGCATACTTGCAAGCCTTAAGATATAGTATGCTCATACATACTATATTTTATTTAATGAAATTTTATTATTATTCCACACAAAGATTAATTGACTGACATGGTAACAGTTGTTTCTTTTTTAAAAGCTATCTTTATAGAAAATTTTGGTAAAATAGAAATATATTCATGTAAAATAAGGTTTTTTTTTAAACAGTTTTCTATTTTACGATTATTTTTACTTAGAGTCATGGTCAAAGAAACAACTGCTTTGTAACAGCGTTTATTACAATAAAATTTAAGAGATTGCTGCCATTTTATAATCTTTAGCATGAAAAAGAAAAATTGTAATGAGAATTGATTATTACAAGAAAAATATACACTTTCAAAATATGAATTTCATAAAATTTTCCACTTTTCCAACGTATTACTAGGTACATTAATTTTTATGAATTTTAGAACTTTTGTTTATATATTTTTAATACTTGCAATGTTTATTTAAAAATAAAAAGAATATTGATTCTGAAATTATGTTATTATTTATTTTTGAGTTGGTTATTTGAGTAAATTGCGACCAATCAACATTTGAAAAACAATATAATGTATCCTTGTATATTTGACATTTGAAGAAAGTTGAAAACAGTTAACAAAGCAAATCAACGAATTTCATTTATATATAAAATTATCTATTACGAACACACTGCCGTATCAGCTGAGTTTGTTTTTATTGCTTGTGCGGTTGCGGTAGGTCGTTGAATAACCGCAAAATTTTAGCTTGATAAAAAATAGTATAAAGCAACGTCCGATGATACTAAGTTCATCAAAATAATGTTTTGCAGTACAACCAGACATTAAAATTAAAAGAACTAATCAAAGTGATACCAATGAAACATAATCTTGGCTTTACTAACGTTCATTCTATTTTTATGTAAACAAACTTAAAGTGACTTTGCAAATTTTTATAAATTTATTATTAATTTAAATTAAGTTTTCTGGTCAATTTTTATTGTTTTTCATTTTGTGAGCGATTGCAAGTCTGTGGCTAGGTAAAAAGAAGTAACGTTATTTCAAACAGTTACAATAATTCAAATAATATCTGTGCTTGAAAGCTATATCAAATGTTTTTCAGTCGTATATCATTCTGCCAAAGGAATAATCTTTTCCTTAGAATTATATCCAAAATGTCAACAAACACAGAAGAAAGTCTTTTGAATTCAGCAAAGCTCTTGGTGCCCAGCTTATCAGAGCCAAAACACAAAGGTCAAGATGGAAGAATTGGAATTGTTGGAGGCTCATTAGAGTACTCTGGTGCTCCATTTTTTGCTGGTATTAGTGCCTTGAGAACTGGAGCTGATTTAGTACACATTTTCTGTTGTAAAGAGGCCAGCATCCCAATAAAATCTTTCAGTCCAGAACTTATAGTTCATCCAGTTTTGGATGATTTAAATGGGTTAAATTTAATTGAACCGTGGTTAGAACGTTTACATGTTATTCTAATTGGCCCTGGACTTGGAAGAGATGATCAAGTGTTTCAAACAGTGTCAAAATTGATTACAAAGTGCAAGAAATTATTAAAACCTTTGGTTATTGATGCAGATGGTTTATTTTTGGTTGGTAAGAATCCAGAATTAATTAAAAACTATCCTGGTCTTGTGCTAACTCCAAATGCCATGGAATTCTCAAGATTGGTCAAAGCTATTATACACAAGGATATGACACCATCTCCAATTGTTGAAGATAAGATTATCAAGGAGCTAGGTGAGATAATAATTTATTATATCTTAAAATCTACTGTTTCAAAATTCTGTGACAGTCCAAGAATTGTTCATCTGGTATAAGCAATTTAGCATATAACAGATGAACAATTATGCAAATAATAGTTACTCTTATTTTTTACACCAGTCATTTAATTTGTTTATAATTTTTTAGTTTTTTTTTATATAATTAATTTTTAAAAATTTATTTTGATATCTATTTTATATTTTTACACAAAAAAGTAGGTCTTTTAAGTCATCATATATGAATAAATCTAATTGTGAGTTTAGTGTTTAATTAATTTTTTCTCAATGTCTTCAACAGCCGAAGCCATAGGCGAACAAGTGATCGTAGTACAAAAAGGAAGTAGCGACGCGATTGCCAACGGCTCTAAGAGTACCGATCCAATTCATTGCAGCATTTCTGGTTCAGGTCGTCGTTGTGGTGGTCAAGGGGATCTTCTTTCCGGTGCAATCTCGATATTCACATGCTGGTCAAAGGGTCGGACGCCAAATACAAACGATCCGATTTCACCGGCAATGCTCGCTTGTTACGCTGCTTGTCGTCTTGTGAGGGAATGCAATGCCGAAGCTTTCAAAGTGAAACGACGCGGAATGCTTGCTTCGGATATGATCGAGGCAATCGCTCCGACTTTTTACAGACTTTTCGAGAAGGTTTAGCTTGTGACGCTGGTCGGGAAATTCGTTTGAAAAGATTAATTTCTTTTGTTTATTCAATCATATATGATAATAAATATAATGAAAATTAATTTGTTATATTTTATTGTTCTAAGGATGGATGCAAAGATTGATGTATACAAAATACTAATGCGTTTAATTTGTGTAAATAGATTTTTATACTTATTTTAAATCATACAACTGAATTATCCACACAACGTACATGAACACACATATAAAAAGTATGCTATAGCAAATTCCTCACTGTACTTCTTGTCTTCCTTTAAACAAGTCATATAATATGGTCTTTAAATAATTAACTGCAAAGATTTTTCATGACAAAGATATGATAACCAGTGGAATAGATTAAAGACACGGGAAGACTTTTCAATAGAGTGTGCGAAGTGTGATTATGGCAGTGGCTTTCAGAAATGAATTTCGGCGAGAAAATGATGGCGTAGAATCTTGAAAAACAATTCAGTTAAATTAAAAATTGCAAATAAAAATAAGCAAATATGTTGTATAATAGGCTAATTTTATTTTGAGTAAAAACTTGCATTTTCTGAGCTCTCTATTGTTCCAAGTAATGTTCCTCACGCATCTCAAATGAATATATGACTTTAGAATTTCCGATACAAATTATGTTAAACTATTATGTAAATAAAGTATCATATATTGATATTGTATTACTACTTGCTATAAGGATCAAAATGAATGAAGTTTTAGTCAACGTCTTTTTTAGGACGAAATAATCAAAGTAGAATTCTTACGAGCATATGATTTTTATTTAATGATCAGATCTTGGCACTTCATCGTTACCTAACTTAAATTCACATTTTTAATTGCTTTCATATTCGCAACAGCTACTTTCATCAACGCATTCGAACATTACAAATTGATTGTATAACGATGAGCTGTAAAAATGAAAATGACAGTAAGGCGGAACAAAAGAACAGCAAAGATGAATACCTATTGAATAATAATTATGTGAATCTCAAAATAACTTGGTAGTATTGTATGGCATTGTATATAAGTTAAAAGCTCGTTATTTTTATGTCTTTTTATGGCATCAATTGAATACATTGAAGCTCTATGAAAATAAAACTATAGGCCATCATCGAAAGAAATTATAACGATAAATACTGCTGAACTATATATCACTGGTGACGAAAAGTTGGAATTCTCTATATTTTTTGATATCACAAAAAAATTGTGCGCTAGATAAATTTTATATAATCTTCTGTCTGCCGGCCAAAAATACGAATATTATATTTACGCGTTAAATATAACATAATAATATGTTTACTTTCGAACTTAAAAACTACACTATAACAGTACAATTTGTATAGTTGTCCAGTCTTGACACTAATTTCATTCTTCGTAACAATGTCATTCTTATCAATCAGTATTTCATAGCATGAAAAAGGTTTTACGGACGAATCTACAGACAAGTTCGAAGCATATCGTTGATATATTTGATCTAGTATTCAAAGATATAATTATATGCATAAGCTTTGTATTAAGACTGGCATTGAAACTCGACTAGCAGTCAAATAAACGTAATGAAAAATCATAGCGAGTATGCGCTGCGTTTACAAGTGCCTCAATTAAAAGGTAAAGCCTATATACCATATGGCCACGGTCCAGTAAAATTGCACTATAGGTATTTCGAAGTACAAGATGGCCAAATAAAAACGAAGAGCAACGATTTTTTTTCAAAAACAGTGATAATCTTGTACCTCGGGCAAACCGTCACTTTGTAAAAGCAACTTACGACTAACAATTGCGCAGTTTTACAGCTCTACGTAGAAACTTTGGGCTGTTTTCGGCGCAGTTCCGCAATCTCGAGGAATGCTCTGCTTTACTCTTTTCATATAGTATTAGGAGATTAATTGACAGCACTAAAATATCTCTTTTCGCGCGCCTAACCATCGGAAAAATATTTGGTATGTCTCCCTACAGTTTGACGTGTACTATAGCTAATGATGTATTTCTTTTTAGTTCTGCAAAATGAAGACTCAGTCATATGATAGTTCTAAAGTACAGAATTCCTCTCTTTTCGTAAAAATTAAGAAACTCTCAGCAACAATCTTTCTCTCTTTCTCTCTCTCTCTCTCTCTCTCTCTATAGAAACAAATCCCACCGACATACAGTACGACGAAAAGAAGCCACTATCTGGCACCAATAAATAACAATAGGAAGGCGCTCGATGAATAAAAAGAAGAAGCGAGGGATGTTAAGTAATGACAAGTAGTATGCAATAGTACTACGAGTAGAAGGTTAGCACGGATGAATGATTGCCGCGAATCAGAAGCGTGGGTGGCAAATCCCGCGTTAACGCCTCGAGCCAGGCCATGTACAGCGGTGCTGAAACTGCACCTTTCCTCGGCATCGGCAGCGACCTGAAAAGACAGTCATAAAGATGCTGTTGAAGCTATAATAAGTCTGACAAGTCTACAACTTACATTACTACCAGAGTCGAACAACTCGAGTTCTCCAATAACAGTTCTCGCAACCTCAACTGCCTGAATGTCTTATCCCTCAGACTGTTGAGTTCAGCGTCGGTTACGCAGCATTCTGCAACGAAATAAAATAATAATTGTCAATTCACGTTTAGTCGACGCTTCGAGTGGAAAATAATCGTCACACCGGTATTCTCGGTATTATCATTTTTGCGGAAATCCAAAATGATTTTGTCGAAGAAGCTTTGAGTTTCCGGTCTGGGTTTCACGCTGATATCGTCGACCATCTTCAAACTCGTATACTTAATACGGAATTTCGCCATGATTTCCGCCATCCTGACGACAGATATTTATCGTTAGAGTCGTGACAATTAAATCGAGCACATTTACTTGTTGGCGAATGCGAGCTTACTCTTTTTCTTGAGCACCGATATCTTGCTTGTGATTGGCCAGAGCGAAAAGTCTTATCTTACAATGCTCCCAGTTCGATCTGGTGCTGATTATGTATGGTAGGAGTATCGTTAAACCTATAAAACACATTTTTTTTCAACGTTTCGTTCGAGCAATAATGGATTTTGTAATTGCAACAAAAAAAGTACCTCCGTCGTCGTATAACCACCACACGTCGATAGTACCATTTTTATGTTTCTTCTGGAAAATAGATGTATATTCGGGTACAACCGATAGACCATTTTGTTTGTTGTGCCTGCAGTACAGAATTGTAAATGATTTTTTTGTAAAAACTATGATATTGCGGCTAGCAAGCTTACTTACATTATCAGTTTATCGGCAACAATCCTCTTCTTATTCTTCAACTGTTCTCGGGCGTTCCAATGGGTCGGCGAGTCTCTCATTACCACAGTCGCGTCAGGCGGAGTATATTGACTACCTGTCATGAAAAGCATATTAAATTCAGTGGAACTACTGGTGTACGAAACGAAGAGAAGAAGATGAAAATGGCGCAGCGTTGGCAGTGAAAGCTTTCGTAGCACCTGTCTCGAGCTCACCGATGGTAGGCACACTCTGTACGCGGGCGATGCCACGTCCGCTCATCGACAGATCGCTGTCGGCGTGCATGAGCGTGTTGCCCGCCAAGTCGTAGCTGCTCTGTACCAAGGCGCCCTGCTGCTCGTCCTCGGCGCTGCTCGCCACGCTGGAGCAGTCCAATCCTTGGGCTATGCGCAGGATCGCCACTGCCAGACGGTGATCGAAGGCGTTGCTGTTGACACGGAAGGTTTAAGCGTTTGAGAGGCAAAGCGGCGCGCTCGGCCGGTCCGCGAGAAGGGAGTCGCGCGGCCAGACTCACTGGAGAACGTTGAAGTACTCCTGGAGGTCCTTGTGGCTGCAGCTGCTCCAGTGCGTCTTGTAGCCCATGAGCACGACGTTGGGCGCCAGCTTGCCGACTCCCGAGGTCTGCATCATCGCCGAGGCGCCCTTCTCCAGGCTCAGCTCCTCCACCACGTGGTAGAAGGACTTGACGCGCTGGCGCTGCAGCCAGGCGTAACCGGCGCGCAAGTGGGCCGAGCGCACTCGGTACGACATCCGTGACTGCAACAGTTGGGAGGCGTGACTGGTGAGACGGTCGAGCCGCGGCCGTGGCCGCGGGCCGCTCACTTACGGGGTAGACCTCGCCGCAGATCAGCAGCGAGTTGTTCTTGGTGATGAGGTTGGCCAGGTGGAGCAGCGGTGGGCGCACGTTCGGCGCGCCCGACAGCGCCAGAATCTGCGGGCAGTAGTTCTTCACGTGCTCGTCTATCGAGTTCAATCTGCAAGGGGACACAATGCGACAGTGTTCGGCGAGATTTCGATGCGAGCGAGGGGGAGGGGGGGGGGGCGCCTCTCACCTGTACGCGATCGACAAGGCCGTCTTGTAGGTCTGCGCCTGCGTGCTGCTGCCCCAGTTCACGTCGGGCTTCCTGTACACCACTATGAGGTACAGCGCGAAGATGATGACGAAGGTGACCAGGGACGTCACCCAGTCGATCAGGAACATTATCGCCACGCAGCCGATGAAGCCCAGCAGCGACAGCCACGTGTTGTAGTACTGCAAAGCGAGTCGTCGTCGTCGTCGTCTGCCGGACTGATTTCCGCGTCGAGCCGAAAATGACGATACGTACCTTGAAGGTCGGTCGCCAGCCAAGGGGCCTGACCAGCGCCGCGTGGAATGTGCAGAAGTTGATGAGGGCGTAAGAGGCAAGGTAGAAGTTGGAGATCAGAGGCGCCACCGCGTTCAGATTAGCTGCCGACAAACAGCAGCTCGACAAGCCCGTTCCAAACGTTCGCCCGGCCAGTCGCGTACTCGCGTACTCACCGATCAGCAGAAACAGAGCGGCGACGAAGAAAGTGAGCACGTAGCCGCGGTACGGCTCCCCGGATTTGCCGTAGCCCTTGCTGAAGTATATCAGCCCAGGGTAGATGCGATCCTGGCCCAGTGCCTGGATGAGTCGTGGCACCGACAGCAGATTCGTCAGCGCGGTCGACAGCGTCGCGGCGAAGCAGCCCGCGTAGATGAACGGTCCCCACACTGACATCAGCTGCATCATCTGCACGGAGACGCCGCAATCAGGCTAACGAAAATTCAAGCTTCACCGGGGCGCTTAAACGAAGCACCAGGGCAATGAAAACGCGCCTACGCGTCTCTCCGTCAGCTCGCGTGCGTTCCCCAGCGAGCTTTCCGTCTCATCGGCGCTTTCAGCTTTTATTAAAATCTCCCTGCCTCTGCTTTTTTTTTTCTGCATCACGAAATGCCAGCTCCCGTTTGCGCGCGGCTGCATATTTTTTACGCCGCGCGCACGGAGAGGCGGAATGCACGCTCTAGTAGAAAGAGGGAAGAGCCTTTAGAATTGGAACAACCCACCTTTCCGCGAGTCTTTCAAGATAAATGCACTGCTCAGTGGCGACGTTGCGACGCGCGGGGCAACAGACTTGTCAACCGAAGTTTCGCATCGGTGGTTGGCCTGTCCACCGAGCAACTCACCGAGTAACTGTTGTGCAGTCCCATGTTGCAGCCAGCAGTGGTCGGGCAGGGTTGGATGACAGTGGAATTGAAAACGAGACCACTGGCGTCGCGCGTAGCGGCACCGCCGGCGAACAGCACGAAAGTCACGTAGCTGGCCATGGAAATGAGGAGCGCGAGCAACGTGCCCACGGGTATGCTGCTCGCGGGATCTTTCAGGTCACCGGATATGTTGGCGCCGGCTTGGATGCCCGTCACCGACGGGAAGAAGATGGCGAACACAGAGAAAAATGTCTGATTGCTGTTCTCCGAGAAACGGTAGTCCGGATACCAATTGTCCGTGAATACCTTGCCTGCCAATTTTCCCATTTTTTTTTTTCATCGTTTTCGTGCGAGCTCGTCGGCCGCGATAGATCATTAGATGACAAGCGTTCACTCACTTGAAAATCCATTGAAGCCGGATGCCTTCTGCTCGATATTCCGAGGCCCAATCACGGTACCGATCAGAAAGTCAAAGATAGCGCCAACGATTATGGCTATCAAAAAGTTTTGCGCCTGCAGGCGAACGAAAACAGTTGTCAGCGGGCGAACTACGGCGTAAAACGCACGCGAGCGCTCACCTTCGATTCCCATTCCATGCCGATGGCACAGATCAGCACCATAGCGAGAATGGCAACGATGCCAACGACCCGCACGTCCTGCACGCCATTGTCGATGATCTTGAGGCCGTGCTCCTTGAGCAATTCGTTCAACGAGTCGCAGAAGCCAATTGTGTTCATCGACGCCGCTACGGCGTTGGCGAAGGCGAATACGATGCCGACCGAGGCACCGAATTCCGGACCCAGAGAACGAGAGATTATGAAGTAGATACCCCCTGCAAAATAAGAAAAGACGCCTGGCTGAACGCTCGCACAAGAATTTTCATTTGATATACGGAGCGAACCTAGGCTTGGACCTTTTTACATTCGTTAAATTTTTCAGATAAACCAATCAAAATATGTTAGAAACGACGTTTTTCTTCATGTTACGCTCCAAATTTTCACCACTGAACTTTGACAATCGCAATTTAACCGTGAATTAACGAAACAATAAAGCTGCTACGTTTCGACAGTCTGTCAAGATCAGAATATCGAGCGAAGAGTGGAGCGAGCAGTACATTTGGATACTAGCGCGAGAAAGTCCGTGTACCGAAGAAGCCACGCGAGGCTGCGAGGCGAGATCTGGAAGCGCGCTTGATTTCTCGAGCTTGCGTAAAGTTTTTCCGAGTTTCTCTTTTAATTGATCGAACTACTGCCGTAGGCTAAAAAAGTATAAGCTTACGCGACATCTTCGGGTGGGCTAGTCATCGTTATGGAATAGTACTTTTCTGACGGAATCGCGTAGATATGAGCCACATCGAAGATTGTTTGCATAACACGGTACAATCCATCCCAAAAAGAAAATTGTCAATGGCAGCGTGGAAAGTGAAACCGCGCACGCAGTAAGTAAAAGCACGAAGAGCGCGCGATATTTAATTACACTTAGAAGAGCCGCAGAGGCGGGGAGCGAGGATGGAAATAAGTGGCTCAATGTCTCTGGCAGGGAAGGTGGAGTCGTGAGTTTAATGCCTCGATCGTTATGTCGTTTGAATCATAATTAACGGGCTGCGCTATCGATTCGCGGAAAAGTTTGGTCACCAGAGGAAAAAGCGATTAATCTAGTAAAAGTACGAGGGTATCGAATTAAATCAACGACAATCATGGGTAAACATAGCGCGAGAGTGCGCGCGCGCGCGCGCGCTCGATCGATCAACCTTCGAGAGCGTCGTGTCTTTTTTTCCACCCTAATTTGCTGTATACACCTATAAGATGTAATAGCTTCGTCTTCTTTTTCCTTCTGCTCACCGTGTCACCGCGCGGCGCGTTGCGTGCCCGTACGTGTAATATCCACGTGATCTCCGAACTGTCGTTATACTTATTAACTACAGTTTCCGTTGCATACTTGTCGCCAAGGAAAACTGACTGATGCGGGTTACTCTCTTTCCGTCCAGCCACGTGACAAAGCTCGGCGGAACGATCCGTCGGATGTTTCCGACGTAAAAATATCTTTCTTTTTCCCTTTCCAGCTCGGCTAACGACGACGAAGCAAGCGGAATTGGCCTTTTTGGAAAAGCACGAGGGTCATCGCACGAGCTGCTGCTTCTCCGAAGGCAGATTGCCTTGATTGCTGTGCTTAAACCACGTACACGCGAACAAGCGCCAAGAAAAGCAAAAGGAAAGACTCACCTCCCTTGACCTCCCCATTGGTGCTGATAGCGCTGAGACTGAGCGTAGTAACGACGCACACGAGCGCCGATATGCCGATGATGATGCAGGTGTGAAAGATGCCAGCCTGCGCGACCACCCAGGAGAGTCGCAGGAACAGCATGACACCCCAGATGTTGAGCAAGCATGGTATGAGCACACCTTGAATCCAACCCAGCTTGATTCCCTCGTGATGATAGCCCCCTGGTGCCTGTGACGCTGGCGCCGACAGGCCGCCGCTCTCCATCGTCGCCGCGTTCGCCGCTGACGGCGTCGCGTTCGCCGCCACTGTCGCTGCTGCCGTGGCGTCCTGTACACGTGTGCACCCTTACTCTCACTTCGTTCGCATTTTTTACGAAAGCTCGCAAGTTCACCGACAGCCGAATAGTACTTGTCACTGGCATAAAGACGCCGCGAACACCCTCCTCTATTTCATTGTCACGAACGGCTTGTGCAGCGAACAACCGCGATTAACCGCTTACCTAATCGATGAATAAATAACGTGTATTTTTCCTCGCGGCCTATATATGCCTTTGGATCGGGGCTCCTCTCTCCGATTACAATTAAGATTGCGAGAGAGAGAGAGAGAGAGAGAAAGATTTTTGTTCGGGAAAAACTTTTGGGCGAGGGATTGTCCCAAGGATCAGAGTAATGACATTGACTCAGAAGCCTCTCTCTCCCATCTAAAGGCTGTATTTACGGCCAGATCTTATCATCCATTTCCCTGGGAAAATTTTATCCAAGTATATGTGTGTGTTTGTGGATGATACGTCAAGAAAGGACAAACACAAAGTCCACGAACGGTGGCATTGATCAATTAGAAAAGAACATATTATGCGAAGAAAACACCGAGGATAATGAGTTCAGCGTTCAGACGCGCAGGAATCCGCGGAAAGACGAATGCAAAATATATCCGTTCCGTCGACGACCACACGAGAGCTATCTTGTGCGATCGTCTTATCTTGTCGTAGCTTCGTCATCCCTTTTCTATGTAGATCCGTAGACCGTCCGGCGTTCTTTTGAACAATGGCTCAGTTTTGCGTAACGTACAACGGCGCGCGATTACGTGACAATGGTGCCACCAAATCTTGTTTTGATAATTGAACGATTAATTAGCTTCGTCGTCCAAAGCGTAATGGCCAATTAAAATGGATTGCACGTATTTGGACAATGAATGGAATTTCGCAGCAGAAGAAGCGCGCGGATGGACTTAATGGACTTTATGTTTTTTTTTTAAAATGGCAAATAAGTTTGCAGTAGATGTAAATCGAAGTCTATTTTTTTTTTCTTTTCAACGAATTGTAACGCAGAGCGCGCGCGTGTGTTTGTGTGTTGAAATGGCGACTAATTCTACCTTTATTTACGCCTAAGCAAACTTAATAAACTATCGTACCACCTGCAAAGCGGTTTGTTCACTCTCGCAAAGTTAGTGTGGGATACACGCACACGCGCGCGCACACACGTATACAGCCTCTAGAGACGATGGCGACGTCGTCGTATGTCACGTGATTGAGGGGAAGTATTTTCGTTTCTTACGTCGCAAGTTGCAAGGCAACTTGCTTCCTAGTTCTTCTCTTTTTTCTTCTTCTTATGGCATTTGCGTCGACGTGACTTTTCGTGAGTAGCAAGTTGATTTTTCTTCGGGTGACTTTGTTAGCGATCTTTCGATCTTTTTTTTTCCTATTTTACTTTATTTACAGAACAATGTTGCAAGCTCCAGATCTCCACGTGGAACAGAGATTCGTCAAAAGTACAAGATTTTCATAGAGAAGAGTAGAAAAAAAGACGTTTGAAGTTAATGTTTTGAAGATGACAAAAGTAGTAAAAATTACAAGATCTATTAATGCAATCTTTATAGATTGTCTTATTGCAAGCTAGCGCTGAGAAGGCAGAGGCAGAAGAAGGAAGGATAATGAATCCGTTACAGCCAGCGCTTACAAGATGTTCATTTTCATTTCATTTCATCGCATACAATAACAATCCAGGGTGGTTTTTCCAGTGGACAAATTCCAGTTGCCAACGCTATAAAATGTAATTTATTTGTCATACATGATTACTCGCGTTAATATTTCGCGGACAAGGGGGAGAAAACACTCAGCGAGCTATTTTTCCTGCATCCTCGTACTCTCTGTTTTTTGCCCATTGTCCGCGAGGACACCGGCACCGCGAGGACTGCCTTGTTCTCGTTCTTTTTCGCGTATAGACTCTCCAAGCCAAGAGAGTCTGGGATTACAATGGAAAGAGCGCAAGAGAAAGCGTTTTCTTCGTTTGCGAAAAATTTCGTTCCGGTTGGATTTCAGCGAAATATCACCTTCCTACAGGTGTCTTGGTCACTCGTCTTTAGACGTTGATTTTTGCCTTCGAGGAATATCCAGTTTCGTGCGGTGGCGCAACGGAGGATGACACCCCGACGGAGATGCGCGCGAAATATCTCTCCAGGGTGAGCAGTCAAAATATACTTCGACGAAGGCGAATTGTCTTCGTCGATATTTTCTCGAAGCTTAACACCGTTGCTTTGCCGTTGATATGTGGTCGAGAGTGAGAACGTGGGAAGAATGAAGAAGAATGTTCTTCCTTACTTTTTCTCCAAGTTATTCGGACGGTTGCCCAGTTTTTATCGATCGGGCGGAGGAAGAATCGGCAGTGACGTCATGCGGGGATCAAACATACCGTTGCAAGTATCGGTGTGTATGGGAAGACGCATTAAATGGATTCGATTAGAAGCGGCAAACGATTGCCCCTGAAAAATCATGGCCAATTGGCACGTATCGCGGGTGAACGAGTAACGATTAGGCACGAAAAGTGCGATCCGCGTCGAAACCATAGACAATGGCGAGTAAAAAACAAATGTCTACAAAGTCCAATTCCATCTCCGAACGAATCCAAGGCGACGGCACCGTTCAAAGCTAAAGAAAAAACAGTGCCGGTCAATCTGCCAATATATCGTCGATAATTGTTTCCAGAGGCTCGTAAAGCGTCGTCACGGGGGCATAACATAACGCCCGCGCGATACATGAGCCAGTTCGATCCAATTCGGTCTGGTTTTAATCGCAACGGCAACCGCCTGCTTCTGCCACTCGCCTTGAGTTTTTTTCCTCTTTCCCCTCTAATTGTCATCGTCTTAATCTAGTTTTAAGGTTGTGCAACGGCAGACTTTTTCTTTTTTATGATTGTTTGAGAATGATTAGTTCCCGTTAAAGCTTCGGAGGAGCGGCAAAGTTCTCTCTCTCTCTCTCTCTCTCTCTCTCTCGCTCTCTTTGTTATTTCTGTCCGATTCGACGTAAGATGTTTTAGTTTGCTTTTTCAATTAGAAGCGTGACTCACGCGATTTTCCAATGCGCGCACGCAGTTCGATCAACCGTTCTTTTTTTTTTTTTTTTCGATTACCAAGAATTTTTTACTTTTGTTGCGTCTTCTCTGATTAATTCGCGTATTTGCCAGCTGATTTTCCGTATCGCCAGAATGATTTTCGATTCCGATAATTTTGATCATTAAAAATTTCAGTGCGAGCTTCTGAAAGCAGCGCGAACAGAAAAAAAAATTGGTGGAATATTAAAGCTCGCGTATACTTTTTCGCGACACATAAGTCTTGACATTATTCCGAGGTCAAAGAGAGGAGGGACAGGGAGAGAAAGCTCCAAACAATGAATAAATAAGGGAGCTAGAATGAAATAGTCAGCATCTACCGCTTTATTAATCTACCGGTAAACAAGAAAAAGGAAGAACAAACGAGAAGAAGCCAAATCTACGACGGTCAAAACACTTTTTCTTGCTCAAATAAAACTGGAAACCCCAAGGCAGAAGCGAAGTCGTTGAGTGAAATACACGATAAATCGAAAGCTTTATGCGCAGCGAAGAAGGAGGAGAAAAGATAAATGAAAAATAATCGAAATAACTCACCTTGCAAGCGAAACTCCCCTCGTGCAACTCGGCTAAGGAGGGTCGTTTGGCTCGACGACTCAGCCTGCAACGAACAACGGAACATGATACTATTTCTATGGAAGAAAAAAAACCGAAACTCGATCTCGCGTGAGAATATCGAAAGCGCGCTGAACGTTGCTGTGCGAGGTTGCGGGGCTCGCGAGAGCAACAAAAAACATTAAGTGAAAAATTGTATTAGCCCCGGAGCTGTTTAACGGCTCTCTGCCCCCTCGTGCCTTCAATATCGCTGTGAAGTTGGTGCAAAATTTAATCATAAAATCGTGGTTTACTATGACGAGCGGGCAGCTCGCGCGTGTTAACAAATTTACGAAATGTAAATTGGAATTTCAAGTGATATTTTACGCGGGAATTGGGCATGCAAACGGCCAAATTGATATAACCCGACGAATAGCAGTTTCAGACGAATTTTCGACAAACAAAAATCCAACCAATCTTTTGATTTTCGATTAATATATCAGTTGCTTAAAACGCGTACACTTTTAATTTAATTAGTGCATGCTCTGTAATGTGCCTGCGCACACAGCAAAAGGACGATGTGGCATTCATCAAAATATGATTATTTTATACAATCGAAAAATAAGTGTTGCGAAAGAAAATAAGCCTTTTAATATTGGTTGGTCCGTTCGATAGACCAAGCTTTTCTGCCAATTAGGATGGTATTGAGCTAATTGGCTGATCTATATCTACGATTTTCCGAGAACGCGTTTGTACCAACGTTTTTAATACTTCTGTACTATCAGAGGTAATAAGCTTTTCTGCAGAAAGCTTTTGCGAATCAGAGAGCCTTTTCGGAATTTCTCATAGATAACAATAAAATGAAACATAAAAATAAATGACTTTTGGTCGACGAAAAATTGCCTTTCGACGAGATCGTAACAATAATTGATAATTTTGAACTCAGCGGAAAGAATTTCATCAATACCATACGAAATCTCAAGGAGACAAAAGGGAGATACAATAAATTGAAGAAAAAAAGAGAACTCTTGCCTGTAATGATCAAGTCGGGGCACAACATCCCAGAGGCCATTGACATTGAGCGTCATTGTCGGCCTCTTGCTGTTCATCGTGATTTGCTCGTTACCGTCCGCTTCGCCGCAGCCAGCCTTTGCTTGGAACCGACCCTCCATTCCGATTCTGCAACAGAAGAACGAATCGTTTATATTCGCTTTTCCTATTAATCCAAACTGCCCTTTTTCACTTCCTGCTCGTGCTACCTCCGCGTCCACGGCTATAATTGAAGCAGACATTGCCAGAGGGCTTTTGTGCAGCGCTGATTGGATATTATTTGCATAAAAAGCCAGTTGCATTGAGAATCGACGGAAAATTAAACAGCTACAATGCGCGTGGGTCGCGCTCTCTGACTGATAAAGTTTTATAATAAGACACTGAACTCGACAAAATTAAAACTTCTTAATTAAACATCTTGTGCAGCGTACATAAGTTCACAATTTTTTAATTTAGTGGCGGTGGCGGGGGGGGGGGGGGGGGGTCGAGATACGTTTAGTCTATAGGTGCGAAAAAATTCTTGGAAAAGTCGAGCGACGAGTTGAATTTAGAGTGAGATTTTACTGCCTCGCCCCGGCACTTTGCCGACTGTTATGAGCCCTTGGAGTCCGCCTTTTTTTGCTCTCGTCGTTGCCGCGTGCAAGAGTGTACTTCTGGAGACGAGACGCCATATACAATATTACATAGACATGTTTCCGACGAAACCATGGTTCGTCCTCTCGCCCACCCGTTGCATGTGAGCGCGACAATTATTTCGCCTGCGCATTACGAAACGAAATTGCTATAATCATTCGCGTAATACGCGTTACGATCACGATTCCCGTGCGAGCACTCTGTCAGCGAAACTTCGATTGTTGTCACATAAGCGCTGCCCAACGAACAAAGTGTGAAAATTTACGTAACTAGTTTCGAATTGAAGCCGACGAATATTTCATCGAAGACAAAACGCGCGAATGTCTAACGAGCCACGTAAACTCGGCAAAAGACTCGTCGCGCAGCCGTTGTCGGGAAGCTTTCCGTCGAAAAGCCTTGAACCCATCCCCTCGACGCGATAAATACGTATACGCGCGCACCCGATATATATTCTCTCGGCTCGTTCTCGCCCTTCTGCACGCGTATACATGTGCATCGGCGACGGTTTGTCGATCACGGCTGCTTAGACGTCTTCGTGCCTATATTATACATCTGCCAAAGCTCCTTTGCGTGGTTAGCCATTTTTTCGTACCGAGCTTTATTGTTGTTTGCTTTACTTTTATTTATTATTGTTTGTAATTGGACGGTTTCAACGTGACGAATGTTTGCACGGTGAGAGACGAATGCTTTTTGTTAATGCTAACGCTACAGAATGAATATCACGAGATATTAAATCGAACGTCAGGGAAGCTCGATCTGGCAAAATAATTTTGGATCGAGGCTGAATAAATGTTTTGATATTATTTGGGAAAAACTCACGATAAATGCAACTTACAAGGAACGTTGCAATTTGCAAACGCACGCCGTTGTACGAACTATCGTCAGTCACCTCGTATCCAGAAGCCTAACGAAAACTACGAGATACCAGCGGCAATCGCAAGAAAAGCCATTGCGAAGAAGGCGTGAAAAGGAACTGCAGAAACCAAAAAAGAGCTGTATCGCGATGTCATACGAAAAAGAGACGTATAACGCACAGACGGGGCGGCGCGCATAATTCGTACGTCGCCTATCACGGACACACATACACGCCATAAATCGTCCGCAGGCGAGTCGCAACGGAGGCTAGGCCGTCCCCATTCGCGCGACCTTGAGGAAAAGCACAAGACAAAACGCGCACCGCGTGAGTCCTATTCCCCGCGAGTAAACACCAGTGAGGGAGTGTACCGGCCCCTCTATCTCCCTCTCACTTTGCTCGTCCCCTTGGCAATACATGAATTGGGTCAGACACGAGATACGCTCGCTCGCGCGCGTGTCGTTACTCCCGAAAAACTTCCGTACGAATAATTTTTCCCAAAAGATACGATCCTCTGCCTTTCTTACCTGCGCAATAACGACGATCATTTGCATGTCTATCGGTGCGCGGATTATTTTACAGCTAAGCAGATACGAGTATATCGAGTCTATAGCTGACGCTATCGTCGCTTCTATATAAATCATGCAATTCCATTTCTTTTGTTTTCATTCTTCTTTTATTTTTTGGATCTGTAATGCCGGGAGCTAGAAAGTAGGTCATCCGATTAGCCATTCAGGTCCACTATCAGGGGCTTTAACGATTGATCATGTTGTTCTCTTTAAAACAATACTACGTGAAAACATTGATATCGGCCCGATATCTCACAAATAAACCATACTAACCGTGTAAGCTGCTATCCCTTGACGCGTTCAAAGGAAGAAAAAAACTTTCAAAGAAAACTCAACGACCTTTTGGTATTAACCTTATCTCTCTCTTTCTCTCTCTTTCGGTCTCGACATTCGTATTACCCTCATTATCATCGTCGTCAGCGTAAAAGTTGAAGACGCGCGTGACCCAATTACATCGACAGCAACAAAAAACAGTAAGACAGCCGAAAGTTAATTTGTTCGTTTGCTTCTGCACGCGGAATGATGATGAAGTCGTAAAGCTCGAGAGCGTGTGTTGCACGCATGTATATGGCGCTATTTATAGTCTTCGGCTGCGAATCCGATCGCCAGAGCTTTTTCGGCAAAACGGATTTCAAACCCTTTTTCTTTTATGGACGCCAGGGAGAAAGAGAGTGGTTCAATTTGAGAAAGGTCGTGCCAATGATGCTCTTCGTTTCGTCTTATATTTGATGTTTTAGATTCGTCTTGATTACTTGAGATCTACTATTCACATTGTTTACATCTTTGCTTTCGCACCTATGATCGTAAGCTTGTATTTTCAGTTTTCTGATTTATCTCCTAAACGTTATTTCAGACTGAATATTTCGATTCGGAAAAATATTTCCAAGCAGCTGCAAGATTTATCTACATAAACGTGCTTTTGCTAATATTCGTTCGAGTTCTCCGTGTTAATTTTCTAATTAAAACATCGACGAGATCAAATAAAACAAACGAAGAATCCAGCAGAAAAGATGAATGAAACTCGGAAAGTTTCGTTCGTCGACGAGCCGGTAGTCGAGTATCAAGGTCGTAGAGATGACAGCCGGTATTTCCTGCACGCGAGTGATGATTAAGCTTTCTCCCTCGCTCGCGAGCTTTTCTGAGCTTTTGCCAATTGCTACATTTCGCAATGATTTTCCAAGAGATAGCGAGCTCGAATCGTCGATTCTCTATCACAGGTGAATAGAAAATGATTCTGCTTCACTGGACTAAACATCGCGTCGCCCAGTGCAACTGCACTCGCGGAAAAGTGGCATCAATGTAAACAAATACAAGAGGCAAAAATAGCTTGACAAGCCCAATAACAAATCGACTTGTTGCCAAGCCGAGTGCGTTCGCCTCGCAAAGCGCTCGAGTAAACGCCGAAACGTCACTTCCGAAAATTTCTCCGCCTGGAAAAACCAAATGTCTAGATCAGAAGTTATTTTCGGGAGAGCACCGGTTGATCTTCCGCATACTTCCTTTTTCTCACTCTTTCGCTATTCGTAACGATCGCGAGACCCGATAATCCAGAGAGATAATTCATTTTCGAGGCTTACAATTATTAGAAAATAGCATTTGAACCTTTCGATAACTACGATAAAAATCTCGAGAAACTTTCTTTGTTAACGTACCGCACATTCCTGCAGCGCAAAAATAAAGAAAGAAAAATGTGCATCGCAAGTGACTAATAAAGAAAAAAAAAGACTCATAATCATACGCGTACAGGTAAGAGAGAATCGGTTGAATCCGGTAAAAGCCGGAATTCGCGTGTTTCAACTGGAATCCATCTCTACAAATACGTCGCATGTACACAAGTTCTTATCGCATCTGCAGAATCGTCACGATGATATCACGACTAATATACCTTTTCCAGCTTTTTGCCTCTCGACTTCAAATTTACGAGCACCTGCGCTTTTTCTTCGCTTTCGGCTTTTTGTACTATTTTGGTGCGATTTTTTTATGCGTGTGATTGATGAAAAACTTATTGGCAGTGCATGACTATTTTTTAAACTTCATAAAAAATAGTTAAGACAGTTGCAAATGGCCTTAAAAATTGAATTTCACTTATTCATCGATCAGTTAGGAGAAATTTCGTTTGCTCACGATTAGCATTTAGGAGCACTCAAAACCCCGTTAAGTATGGTACAAAGTTTGATCTTTCATTATGCACGCACAGAAAACGCACTCGGAAAAAGCTTTGATCAAAGTCCGTGAATTATGAACCATCGATTCGAATACTTTTTGTTAAAACACCCGCGAGAACAAAGACATGCGAGAAGCGATGTCAGTCGATCGTGGCTGAATTGCAACAACTGAATAGTTTACGATTTCAAATGTTATTATATAGCTGTCTTGTCTTATCATTTTTTATTACAATTACAATATATACGTACTCAATCTTCAACAGGTAAATATATCGTGACAAAAAGGGCAAACACGACATCGAGCTTAATTGAATTTAGTTTTATCACTCGGCGAAAATCCAAGTTAATCTGTCCCTACCAATTAAGGCTAAGTACCACTCGAACGAATTTCGGAAATGTGATTCGTGTAAAAAATTCAAAGCTGGCTTTCCGCTCGCGTTGTGTTTTAGTCGTGACCAATGCTCGTAAGAATCAACCGTAGCGTCCATTCGGAAAGCTCGAAAACCAAACACCAATCCGGAACACCGTATTGATACGCGCGCGCGCGCTGAAGACGATCTTTCTCCCGCGAGGCAGTACAAATAAATCCAAAGTTTTCGTTTCACGGCCGCCTGCTCCTTCGACGATTATTAATAAAAGCCGCTAGTTATAGCAACGTGCTGCGAGCTTGCATTGTGAAATATACTCGCGCGTTTTCTTCCGACAAAGTTGAACGCTCGTTTCACGTTGCTTGGCTTTTCGTCTCGTCGGCGGATAGGCGAACTACCCGAATCGCACTCAATCAACGCAGAAAAGAATTCGGGGCGAAACTGATCTCTACTCGCCGACTTTGGCATGCAAAAATCAACCTACGCCCATTAACTTTAATCTTTTGCATTTTTCTCTTCGGCGCCTCAACGCGGGAGATGA